AGGTGTATTCAACTGAGGAGGATTAGGGACACTGAAAATAATCTGCCTTATATTCCTTTTTTGGTCCTAATCTTTTTCCGTAGTATTCAACTATCTATAGTTTATCGGATTTTAACTTTGTTTCTTAACAATTTTTCTTACTTTTTAGCTTATAAAAGATGGGTAAACCAAAAATAAATAAATAAAAAGACAAAACATGCTACCTCAGAGAACAACAAAATTCTAATTCAAAACAACTTCAGTGACCCAATAGATAAATTAAATGCACTTATGCATAACAGGGTTTTATTTTAACAATATTATTAATGTCAAGTTTGTCAAACTTTGTCTATTTGTTCTTTGAATTTATTTTTAGTCAATAAGTTGTTTCTCCAAACATTTCTTGGCGTTTTACGTTCCGTTACGCTGTTCTGGATGGTTGGTGGCTACCACAGCAACCACCAATCACCTCCGCTATTCTTTTGCCTTCCTGTAAATGTACTATATACAAGTATTATACTTTAACATATATTTTAGACCAATTTAATAATATTCAGTGTTTCATAATTAAATTTTATTTACGTTTTTAACTGTTATTAATTTTGTGCATTACAAATGTTAACTGCTTCTAGCTGCTGTTACCGCTAACTACTGTTAGCTGCTGCTAACTGCTGCTACCGCTAACTGGTGCTAGCTGCTGCTAACTGCTCCTACCGCTAACTGCTTCTAGCTGCTCAGTGCATTGTAGTTTGTTGAGGGTTATTTATTATATTATATTTAATTTATAGGGGGCAGAAACCACCAACTTGCGTTTCTCGTTTGTTAGAATAAATCCACTAAACCTGAGTGATCTGAGACAAACATACAAGCATTACACATGTTCTGCAGAATTAGCATTAAAGCTTAAATATACAATCATGGATTCCCAACATTTTAGAACCTCGTGGCGCTGAGGTTCTAAATCACAGATCCCAGCCGTGCAGAAACACAACTGCAGCTGAAAGAAACAATGTGTTGCTTTGTTATCTGCTTTGTTAATCTCGTACTGGTGTGTTATTTACAGGAAAGTCCAGCCTGTGGGATGACACAGCCTGAATGTGGTGGTTAAAGGATTTTTTTTCCTCCTTAAAGCAACAGCTACAACTACTAATCAGCTGGTAGAAATGAGCCTCTAATTTGTATTTTAACACACTGTTGCTTCCATTTATTTTGTCCTAAATCATTAAAATTTTCAAAGTACTTCAATTATTATTGTTATTAGCTCCTTCTTCTGTGATGTTGTTTTCAGGAGTCTATGAACAGATGTACCACAATGAACAATAGGTAGGTTAAATTTTTTTTGTGAATATATATTTTTTCTTCTTCGGTCTTCTTCTCTTCTAATATGTTTCTATATATTTAAGTTACTTCTGTGTGTGTTTACCTGCTTGCCTAAAACAGAAAATCATAGCATGACATCTGCCTGAGAAAACATTTTGAACTTATTTTAGTAACTCAGTTCAGTGAGTGAAATACTGTATATGGATAAATTAAACAGGATGTTCTTAAAACTTTATTTCTGTTATCTATGTGCTGTTTTTTGCAAGCTGGACCACCGCTAACCAGGAAGCTGGACCAGCAAGGTTGAAATCAAGCAGATTATTATCTTTATACGTTGTGTTTCAGACAAGATTTACTCGTAAGTTTTGATTAATTGTGAAAATAATAATTGTTTCTTTGTTTTATGCAACTGTGGCGTAAATAATTGTACGCTGAAGTAATTTATGAAAACGCTTTCTATTTTATCTAGCAGCAAGAATGGCTACTTTGCAACGTTCGTTAGCTAACACTAAGTAATGTCAGTGGCCAGATGCCACTCTTCAATAAACAAGTACAAAAGAAATAAGTTTGGTTATTGGAGCGTCGTTGTCTGGCTGTCTAGAAAAAAAAAAAAATCAAAAATCAAATCCAGGTCGAGGACAGAACAATTTATGATGATTTTCTGCTTATCGCCATCAAAAACATAACATTTAGGATTTTTACATTATGTTAAACTTATTAAAAATATTATAATTTGTATTCATTTTTAAAAATTTTTTCTTTTAATTATGAAGATTAATTCTAATATATTTGAGTAAAAAAAGATCCCTGTTATATTAAATTCTACCATCTTCCAGTTAGTCTTCCATGTTAAACTTTAAACGTCCAGCTGTCTCTCTGGATAAAGAGTGTGCTTCGGACAGTTCCGCACACGTGTCTTGAACTCTCACTTTAGACCCAGTGAGAGTCTAACGTTGTCCATTGTTGCTCCCATGGACTGAGAACTTTAACTTCCTTCTCTTTCCAACATTTACAATAGTACATTCTGGATGCAGTGTATGGTGCAGACCATTCCATAAGCAGATCTTGGCTCCCTCCACTTTCCACCTCTCTGAGTAAAGCCTCCCTGACATGTGCTGAATAAAGCACATGTTAGAGAGTTGGCTCTCTCACGGCCACTCTGCATACAGACTATACTTCGCAGTGTTCCGCCTGCAGGTCTTGAACTCAGACCCATCGGAACCGCAACGCATGTCTTTACGCAGTGCGCCAACCGAGCACTCACCCATCAAGCCGCTCGAACTCCTAAAAGTACCTCAAAGTCGGTCTTCCGTGTTTAACTTTAAAACTCCAGCTGTCACTCTGGATAAAGAGGGTGCTTCGGACCATTCCGCCTGCAGGTCTTGAACTCAGACCCATCGGAACCGCAATGCATGTTTACGCAGTGCGCCAACCGAGCACTCACGCATCAAGCCGCTCGAACTCCTAAAAGTACCTCAAAGTCGATCTTCCGTGTTTAACTTCAAAACTCCAGCTGTCACTCTGGATAAAGAGGGTGATTCGGACCATTCCGCCTGTAGTCTTGAAATCAGACCCATCAGAACCGCAACTCATGTCTTTACATGAACAATGGGTGGTCCAATTTTTTGTAATATTTAACATCATTCAATTGTCGTTCAACTTCACATTTATATTGTTCCCTACTCATAATAACAATGGCCGAGCCCTTATCAGCTGGCTTTATTACAATATGTTTCATGCTTTGTAATTCCCTAAGGGCTTTAACCTCTAATTGTGTAAGGTTTTGTCTTTCTTGTTTTGGTCTATAATTTTCTTAAGAATGTTCTTGTCTTCCTCAATTAGTTTTTACTTCCTCTGGTAAAATCAATTGGAGGTAACCAAATGGACGGTCCTGAAAAAGGTATCAATCTCCTATTCCCGAATTCCTATAATAGGCTGCCAATTTAATTTTCCAATGATAGGTTTGTAAATCAAATTCAAGTTGCGTCTTTTGTCCTTTTCCTATGTCCAGAGTTGGAATAAATGATAAGCCTCTGCTTAGCAAATCATGTTGTGTTTTGGATAATGTACAGTTTTTTGCTAAAACTACCACTCCTTTGTGTGGAAGGAGAAACTTCCCTCCACGCCCTCTGGTTGCAGGTTCAGGGGGACATGGAGTTTAACGTCTTCAACCAGTGGCCAAACATCCTCCTACCTGTGTCATCTGTCCAATGTATATCATCTATTTCAGTCTCAAACTGGTCGCAAGGCAAGGGTGGAATGAACGGCATGTTCCTCCTATGTGCTCATTTAGAATCTGCAGGTTCTCCTTTTCATCCTCTGGGAGTTCAGGTGAGTAATTCACTAAATGGAATCCAGATTTGAGAATATGGGAACTTTCTTTTGCGGCTCTAAGAGCCCCTTGCAGGTTTTACTGTAGTTTCTCTGGACTTATTTGCTCGACTGTTAATCCCAAACGACAGGATTATTTTTTCCACCACCAGGCCCTGCACAGGAGTGGATTTCTCAATCAGAGCCTGTGCGTGTCGAAAATGGGCCCTGGATAACTATCAACTTGTAAGTCTCTGCAGAAAAAGGATGGAATTTGCACAGATTTGAGTCACCCATGATCAACCATTTCTTCCTCACCACTAGATTCCACTCGATGCATTTGCGTTGAGTGTGGGGATGTTTGTGACTGTATATCGAGGAGGATCCGGTGCAGAGAACAATTCACGGGAGTCCTCAAAGACCTCCCCATCTGTTTCAACCTGATGCTGCACCGAGTGCTCTCTAAGATACTCTTGTTCCTCCTCTCTTTCCTCTTCCTCTAGAGTGAATCAGATGTTTGTTTCGCTGCTCATCTCCTGCCAATAAATCAAAGAAAAAAAGAAAAAAAACTTCTAGAAACATCCTCAAGCCTCAGTCTGTCATGTCGCTGCGGATAGACGCCGCACGTACCGGAAATGAAACTTAGATTTCAAAATAAATGGGCCGTTTAATCAAAGAGGAATTCAAAAATATTGGCAGAAAATACCTGGTTTTGAAAAGTAACTCATAATAATTAGTAGAACGGATTTTATTATTAAAGTAAATATTATTCCTTCAAAGTTGTTTTATTAAAATTATCATTGTATTTAATTTATACCAGTAAATGGCTATCCATATGAGAAGGAATGATCCTGTATTGCTTGTAATATAAAAATAGCAAATTAAGTATTAATTTTAGTGTAAATTATATATTGAAATAACATAAGTTTGATGTTTGCTGTTTAGCCTCAATTTTTCTGGTCTCATATTTATTATGCATGAAAATGACTATATAGTTACTACTTTGATTTTCAATTTAAATTTAGTGAACAATATTTGTAAATCAGAGTTTAGAAGGTATATTCACAGTGATCAGAAAGAAAACAGAGTTAAATTTGGGTTGTTTCCACCAACAACTGTTATATTATGATTTCAGTTTGTTGCAAAATTATCTTAGGGCCAATGTAGATAAAAAAAATAAAAATAAAAACTTTGAGATAAATTTTGTTTTTAAAATATCAGGATACCTGGCAACCAAAAATTTTAGACTTCTGAAAATTTCCTGAGTTTGAAAAGACATTTTTGTTCCTAAATATCTCTTCTATTGACCTAAATCGTAAGACGCTGGAGTTTTATTTTGAAGGGTTCTGCAGGAAGTGTGGTCTCTCCTGGGGTTTTTGACGCAGAGGTTGCTGCAGCAGCTTGCTTTCTCTCTGAATCACATGTTTGCACCGTTCTGTCATCCAGGTTGGATATAAATAAGGGCTGCAGCGTTGCTGCTGCTGCTGCAACTTCAGAGGCGGCACAATCCCAACAAAACTACCAACACAGGTGAGTCCAGAGGCTTTCAGCCATTTCCAGGTGTCTGCAGCAGACTACTGCACTGCAGGATGTCTGTTGTTCTTTAACATTAGATCCTAATTGGTGCTGTTTTGTTTGCATCAAGTTAGAAAATAATTGTGAAACCTTTGTTTTCCTGAGGTTTAAACTGTAGTTTGCTATGAAAATGCTGACTTTATTTCTGATGTCTGCACATATAATCCAAGGGTGTGGCCTCCATCTCTGGATAAAAACAACGGGATTAGAGCAGATGATCTCACCCGGTTGTTGATTTACCTGTAATGTAGCCTTTACAAGGTCATTTAGAATATAAACATTAAAGATAAAAACATCTGAGATATTTCTCAAAGTTGCATTCAGTGAGATAACAAAGGATGGTATCGGTTTTAATTTGCTATAAGGTATCCCAGCCTTGTGTGCAAACAGTCCTCGTATTTTCTTGATAAGACGTGACCCTGTTCTCGGTTACTCTATAACAAGTACATCCTGAGGGTGCACAAATCCCCCAAGCATTAACATAAGGTGGAAATGAGGGCACATCTGCTGCTGTCCCATTTTTTAAAATAAAATGGAGCACAGATCTTCCAGGATTACTTCGTTTTTATTTCTTTCTTATACAAGCTTCACCAGGATGAGAACATGAACCCACATGTAATAACTTAAAAGCATAAAACCAAAACAAACTCTTGACTTTTTTCATTTTATCATGAAATTATATTTTAACAGTTAACCATGACATAAAAATTTAATAATAGCAAACTAAATCCTTCAATTTTAGTAGCATTGCATGGAAAATATGCATTAAAACATGAAATCAGATTTACTAGTGCAACTTTAAGTTGCACTAGTAAGTCATATTTTACTTTTGATAGCAATAGCAATATATATTATTAAAGTGCTTTTTCTTCCTCTCAGACGTTTTATTTTATCATACATTTTTTAACAGGGAAATGCTTCAAGTAGGTTAAGTTTTCCCTAAAACTAATATATTAAACTATGTTATCAGAAAAAATAAAAATATTTCTTGTTTCATGAGGAAACTTGAGAAGTCCATGTTGAGTGCAGTGGTGGTGCGTTAAAGGTTAAAATGAACTTTCTAGAAGACCTCGGAGGCAACATCTGGAGCGGAAGAGAGTCGGTATTTTGATTGTGCAACGGCTGCAGCTGCACGTCAGAAAAAAATATTAGTGATTTTTACAGTGCTTAAGCTCTAAGTTTTTATTTCAGCATTTTGACATTTTTCACCTTGATATGTAATTTTGCTGCTTCTGTCCCATAAACAGTTACTGGGTTTCAGCAGCAGTTTCTTTGATTAGACTTCTTCTTTAAGAAGTTTATGATTTTGTGAATAATGAACTGGTCTGAATGGACAATGGACAAACACTGGGATATGTGAGCGTTCCCAGTGCCTTTCCCACTGCAGATTAAACAAATCACAGAAGCAGATGTGTAGTACAGATATGATAAGAACTGAAATATGTAGTCAGAGTGTATGCCTGAAAGTCTCTGAAAATATCCTTCTCATATTTTTTGGTATATTTTGTATCAAGTGAAGAGATTTAAATGACACCATGTGCAACAACATGCTGCACATTCTGTACTTTTCTCATTACCATAGAAACCTGAGACGGTGGTGGGCGAGAAAACGACTGTGGAAAAAAATAGTAACAACGCAGCACTTGGTTGCAAAAAACAATGTTACCGAGGAGCTTTGAACAATTCTTTTAATAGATTTTTAAAACATTGCACTGACCTTTTGCAACTACGTCACTTAATCATTTGAGGCGCCATGATGGACGCCTCGCTTTGTACTTTCAAAATAAATTAAACAAAGTTTAACAAAAGTTGTTTTTTTTCCCAGTTTGTTTATGGTTTGTCCTTGCTGGAATAAAGTTACTATGTCTGTGACCGCAGGACACCTGGTTTGGGCTCATAGACGGAGGTAAGTTTCTAAGCTAGCCTGAAGCAGCTAGCTTAGAAACCGAGCCGAACCTCCTCCCTCCTGTCGTGTTGCTCAAATTACCGACTCTGTCTGAATTCACACCACATAATTTATGTCACTGTATCATTAACAGCGTTTCCCTTTCAACCGAAACAGCATTGAAAACGTACATACGACGAGATGCTAACCAGTCTTTTCCAGACATGCTGGGCTACACGATGGCGGCACTGTCTCCATGGTTACCAACGTTTATGCAACGTAATGCAATATTTAATATATTTCTAATCATAGTTAAGTATCGAGGATATTAATGTTAATTTTCTTACCTTGTCAAAAATGTTCGCTGCTAATCCGCGGTTACACCGATGATTAACGGCTGCTGTCCAACAGTTTGTTCCATCGCCGCCATCTTTCCTCGTTAAAAGTTATGCAACAAAATGACAAGTTTGGTTTCCAGAAGCCCTGTCTGTTTGTGCGGCCGACCCCGCAGCAGCCTATGACCGGTTTAACTGCGAAATCAGGTCAATAAAAGTGATTTTAGGTTACAGATGTGCGTTTTTTGACGGGCTTTACCGGAGCGCGTTGGTTGTTTTGACGTTCATCATGGCGGAGCGGGCCGAGTTCCGAAGAGAGTGACGTCACGTGCAGAGGGTCAATGATATCAGGAAGCGGGATATTTGAACACTCTTCTTAGCAGAATTGGTGTTGTTCTTTGAAATTGCTTGGCTTCCTGAACTTGAACTTTCAGTAAGGTTATGTTATGGGAAATAAGACCAGAAGTTAAGTAAATATATTTTTATATATATTACAAACTTTGCATTTATTCCCAAAGATGTAGTAGTTTTCAACAAATAAGCAATTTCCCCTCAGGGATTAATAAAGTATATTCTCTTCTAAGTTGTTCGCTGGTTGTTAATTTTGTTTTACATATTTATGGTGCTATTGGTCTGCTGGCAGTCCCAACTCTGCCCAAGTTTCAACCATCTAACTATTTAATAGGGGAAAAGTTGAAACCTTCCGAATATTTTCTCATGGATTTTAGTATTTCATCCAGTTTTATCAAGAGTTGTGTTTCCATTGACCATAAGATCAAATTGGAATTACAAAAATAAATTTGCTTAATGGAAAAACTCCAATTTTGTAAACACTCATGTTTTTTGATAAAGTGAGCTGTTTTTTTTTTTTTTTTTTTTTTTTTTTTTTTTTTTGCTATAGTGCATTTAGGAAATGGTAGGAGGATGGTTTTAATAATGCATGAACAAATTTATTCTCCTGGGCTTTTGATTTCATTTATTATTTACTCAAAACGTCAGAGTTACAAAATAGTTTTTTTGACATTAGCTGAATATCCAAAAAGTTTTGTGCACATTTGTAATGGACCCCAAAACACAAATCAGAACTGATGATAAATAGATAAATACTAAAATGCCTGAATAGGCTCAACCACAGACTGTTTAATAAAGACACACAGATCCAATATTAATGTATCGATCACAATATTGGAAAAATAAATAAACAGTATACAAAAAGTGACAGCATGAAGTAGCATTTCAAGTCAGCTGTCTGGGTTTGTGAAGAATTCATGCAAAGTATTTCAAAAGTATTCTTTGTGGTTCATCTTTGCAGTCAGATTTCCAGATCAGCTCTACTTTGTTGACCCGACTGGTAAATGAGCCAATGAGAGAGCTGAACTTACCCATTTTAATCTACTTAAAAATAAAACGATGAAAGCAAAGCAGCCAATATGGCAGATTATATATTATTCATTTAAGAAAGGGAAACAGTAAGCACATTTTTGTGTAAACTTTTAGCCTCCCAAGTTCTGCCGCCTATGCCTGAAAGATTTTTTCCTCTCTGGTTCCTGTGTGTGCAAATTTGACAGCGACATGACAGAATGTCCTGGAACAAATCCCTGCATCCACAAAACTCAATGTTTCTTCTTTCAAATCCATATTTTTCTTCTTGCCAGTAAATGCAATAAGACAAACAGTAATACTGCATTTTTACAACACAATAAGACTATTTGTAGGTGATATTCTTGAAGTGGGAGTAGAGGAATAACAAGATAATGAAGTGCAAGTGTTGAATTTTGTTTTGGAAAATAGCCAATCCTGCTTTAGCTAATTATAATCATAAAAATATTCTATTTTCTTGTTAATAGTGTATGCAAGGCTGGAAAAAGTAATTGTGGGTTTCTAAAAATGTGCATTAGTTTTAAAAAGGGAGCCTTTTTCCTGTTTATCTTTTGTTCTGATGCAGGCAATAAAGAAAGTCATGCATGCAAAAAGAAGCTGCGTTGAAAAAATTGCAGGAATATGAGAGAAAAAGCAGAGACACACAGCCTCTCTCTGCTGAATCTGTCATTGTTAATAAATGGGCAGCTGACCAAGCACACAGAGAAGAAGATGGTACACAGAGAAAGGCTGTTCCTCTTATATAATGCTTTTCCAAGCGTGGTCAGAGGCACATGAAGGGGTGATTAGAGGTCAGTTTGGTCACAACATCTCAGAAACTGGAGATAAAAACAAGCATCACTTGTTTTTATACTTTGCTGACATAGAAAGCTCATTTTTCTGCTGCGTAGGTCTCTGTCAGGTCGCCCTCTGCTGGAGACTTACAGTAACTACAGATATTTGACTTAAAAATGACATTTGTTTCCAGGTCTCTCTCTCTCTATCTTTCTCTCTCTCTCTCATTATATCCTGCTCCCTCTGAGGGTCAGAGAGGATGTTAATGATGATGATGATGATGAAGAAGAAGAAGGAGTCCAAAGAGACGCTGACTTTGTTGGCCCTTTTTCTGGCCTCGGCCAACTGCATCCTGCCTCCGTCCACCGAGGAACTTAACAGTACGTTTACAGATTTAGCTTTAATGTTAATTTACCAATTTATAAGAAAATATATTTTTAAAAAGACTAATTTATTTTTAAATACTTTCAAATTACACATCACATAAATGCATGAATATAAAAAAATATATTTATGGGAGTAGTGAAATGTATGTCAAAATACCTAGGTAAAAGTTGATTTCTTTGGCATCAATGATTGGTCCTGATAAATAACTTATGTTTATATTATGGTCAAACAAGCATAAGGGTGTCCAAAGTGTGGCCCGGGGTCCAATTGTGGTCCTCGGAGTGTCAGAGGTTAAACACATGTTGCATGTTGGTTGTTGTTCACAGAGATTTCCCTCCAGGGTGAGAAGTATCTGGATAAACAGATTGAAAACGCCATCGATGGCGTGAAGGAGATGAAGACTGTGATGCAGAAATCCTCCGAGGACCACCAGAAGTTTTTGAATGATCTGGAGAAAACGAAGCTGCAGAAAGAGGTGAAGAGACAGATTTCTGGGGAGTTTCTTTCCTATCAAGCAGACTTTTGACTTAATTTTTAAAATTTAAATTTAAAATATTTTGGTATCGATCCAATACACAAGACTGGTACCAATATCAACCAATAGACCTCTGACTTTCCTTTTAATTATTTTGTTAAAACCAAAATAATTCAAATTAGTTAAATAAGTTCTGTCCTTTATTTAAAAGACAGAATTTTGATAAAGTTTGTAGGGGTCGAGAAAATACTTTAGTAACATTTTTACATTGTTTACAGAAACTATTTAAAGACAAAACACTTTGAGTCCATTGTTTTATCAGCAAACAAAGTGTAAAAAATATAAAACAAAAGTCAAATAAAACACCGAGAGAGAATCTGAAGCTACAGCATTGATCCGATACAGATACCGACTTGGTATCAATATTACTGATATGTTAGCTCCAGCATGTTTGGTCAGCTGGTTTTACCACTGTGTGCACTGTACAATGACTGCTGGAATAGACAAATGTTTTGTTGTTGATTTGTCATTCAGAAACCACTTGCACCATTCTTGTTAGTTGTGCAGGAGGCTCTGCTAATGCTTTTCAAATGCCACTTTCACATGTGAGTGTAAACATCGAGTTGACCAGACTAAAATCTGGTCAAAAAATTTCTGACATTCATCTAAATGATGTTTTGTTTGGGCTGTAGATTTATCCTAACCTGTTCTAGGAAGCATAACAAGTCGCCTTCACTGCAGGAGGCGATCCGTACAGCTGAGGAAATGGAGGCCAAGCTGGCGAAGGAGGAGGAGGTTTGCAACGACACCATGAAGGCTCTGTGGGAAGAGTGCAAGCCCTGTCTGAAGAAGACCTGCGTTAAATATTACTCCAGAACCTGCAGCAGCGGATCCGGATTGGTTGGGCGTCAGGTTGGACATTCAACAGATAAACACTGTGAGACTGAAACTAGTTGGGTTGGTAGGTCAAAATGTCTGACCTGCTCTGTTCTGTTTAGCTGGAGGATGTGCTGAACAGAACGTCTCCGTTCTCCATCTGGATCAACGGGGAGCGGATCGACTCCCTGGAGCAGGAGGACCAGCGGCAGAACAAGGAGTTCAGGAACCTGGAAGATAAATACTCAGTGATGGCCGACGGAGTGGATCACATCTTCTCAGACAGCATGAAGGTGCTTGTTTATGTCTCAGAATCACACAGATGGGGATACTGATCTCCATGTAAATTTATCCATATTTAGATAAATAAGTGGAGTAAATGTCAACTGAAAAAACTCAAAACATTTAAGATTAATCTTGGAAATTTTCTAGAAAAAAATGTACAAATTTCAAAGTTTGAAATGTAAAACAAATTTACATTTCAGTCTGAAAATGTCCAAAAGTCTAATTTGTTTTTACTTCTAAAATAATTTGCAAGCTTTTTATAGAAAATTTCTGACATTAATGTAAATTTCTTTTTTGTTTTTTCTTGTAAATGTTTGACCTTTTAATTTCCAGGTTGTCTTCAAGAAATTTCTGACAATAATATCAAAATCTTTGAGTATTTTGGCAAAAATGTACTCATTTTTAATTTACAATGTGTCTAATTTACCATCATAGTTTAACCCCCAAAATTAAGATAAATAAAAGAAGTAGCCTGCACCTCTGCAGAATCTCCTTTCCCATTTCTGAGTAACTTGGAATCCTGAATATTTAGGGAGGAAAATTGTTAAACACAGAGGAGAAAAAATTCCTGCCAGGAACTTTAGCTAAAATTAAAATGATACAATAAGATATTTTCCATCCAGGCACATGGAAAATGTTTTAAGCTTTGGAGAGACTTAAAACATAACTTTTCCCACACAAAACAAGAAAATGATACTGAGTGAAGATTTGATCTTAGCAAGTAATTTTGTTTCTTCTGCAAATATCTTAGCACTTTTGGGATAAGACAAAACTTAAAAGTAACTTTTCAGCAAGATTCTGAAGCTTGTTTTAAGTAAATAATAAAAAGATTGTTTGAATTATGACACAATGTCTTGCTGTAAGTAATTTTTAATCAATATTTAAAAAGTATCTACTTAAATAAGCTCCAGAAAGTTAGTGTACATTAGGTTTTTCTTATTTTAAGTGTACTAAGATATCTGTACCAGAAACTAGGCAAAAATAGTTTTTTGTGTTTTTGCAGTGTAGAGGTGCAGGAGAGATTTGTAATCAGGTCAGAAGAAATGCGTTGAAGTTTTGTCTTTCAGTTTACCTGAAGTTTATCCAAGTACTGCACTTGCTAAATTCACAAAAACAAAGCAAGATGTTTATGTTACTGGAAAATAATTAAAAATGCAACCGATGATAGAAGATGATATAAAATGCAGCTTTCATGTTCAAACATAAAAGTCATTCCTGAAGGAGGAACAGACCTGGGAGGTGAAAAGAAGAAGGATTTCAGTTGCCACATTGGAAACATTTATTTCTTTCAAGTTTGCATTAGAAATGAAGGAGCTCGCCTGTGTTTGTTCCAGGTTGCCGATCACATCAACCCTCCTCCGTTCTTCTTTCCCAAATTCCTGGCTCCGGCCGTCCGCCGCGCCAGAAGCATCCACATGCTTTTCCACGATCCTTTCCACAACTTCCGCAGCTTGTTCTCTCCCATGATGGGAATGGGCCGGAACCTGTTTGGCCCCATGGACTCCATGATGGACCTGGACTCCGACGACGCCCCAAACAAAGGTACTTTTCATGCACTGGTTCTCAGAAAGGCCTAGAGATGGTTCTCCTGGAGGATGGACAAGGATGCAGACACTGATATTATAAACTGAAACAACATTTAAACTAGTTTTTGTCTATTTCTACAGTTTTTATGAATTATTACAAAGATATTTAACTAAACTCTTGATTATTTCTTATTTAGCTATATTTAAATGGCTAAATATAATAGTTAATAACCATTAGTTATTAGTTAAATATTAGTTTTAGTTAATAGCTATTTAGCTATTGGCTAAATAGATATTTAGCTATTTATAAATAGGTAAATAGCTATATTATAAATAGGAACTGCTTATCTGTACCGTGAACATTTTGGTGTTAATATAATACTACTGCACTGTCAGCTTCAGAAGTTCATCTAATATGAAAGCAAAGTCAGGTTACTCTGTTGCTGAGCTTTACTGCTGACATTTTAAAACCTGCCCTGCGTTTGTCGGCTGCAGACGGCAACGTAAACGAGGACGTGATCGTCACAAGACCCTTCGGCAACGGCAAGATGACCTGCAGGGAGATCCGTCGCAACTCTGCCGGCTGCATCAAGTTCCGCAACGAATGCGAGAAATGCAAAGAGATCCAGCATCTGGGTGAGATGACGAAAAAACGTTTAACACAACTGGAAACAGACCAGAATATCTGCATTAAATAATCAGAAATTAGAGCGGAATATGACTTGTGTTAAATTAAAACACAAAACATAGGATTTATGGTCCTGATTCACGAGGATGTGGGCCCTGGGCTGGAAACCGTTTTCTTGCCCTATCCTTGCTAAAGAAAAAGAATATTATAGATGCAACTTGGGCAGGAACTCAAAAAATTAGTGTAAGTTCATAATTTTCAAATACTTCAGTGTTGCTTATATTCACAAAAAACCCAAAATGCTATTACAACTCACCTGATGTGGGTCTTTGACTCCTTTTAATTATTTATTTACCTAGGTGAGTTATAAAGAACAAACTCTTATTTGATCAAGCTGCACAACATAAGCAACCATGTAAAAAGCATAAAACAAAGGCATAGGATAAAATAAAACCTTTAAAAGTTCCCATCTGCAGTTTTGTAAAAGATTGATTCAGAAAATAAAATTCTGCGGGGCCGCCCCCAAAAGTTGACGCCCTGGGCCACCGCCCATGGAAGCCTTTCCTTTTCTGAACTAAATAAAAATAGAAATCCATTTTTCTCATCCTAAATCAGTAAAATTTTGGAAGTATTGGAGGTTTGATAAAACTCCAATAATTTTCGTGGTTGTGGCTGATTCTTTCCCTGTTTCTTCTCTCAGACTGCTCTGGGAACAAACCCCTGGAGGGCCCGCTGAAGGAGGAGCTGGAGGAGGCGCTGGCGACGGCCGAGCGCTTCACGCAGCGGTACAACTCCCTCCTGAAGAGGTTCGAGGAGCGCGTGTTCAACACCTCCTCCCTGCTCGACATGCTGAACAGGCAGTTCGGCTGGGTGTCCTCCCTGGCGAACAACACCAAGGACGGCATCTTCAGCGTGAAGGGGGTACGGAGCTTTCTGATCACCACAACTGGTTCTTTTTGTTTTAAATATCTCGCTATGATGTCACATTTCCTGTTTTATTTGCCATTTCCACTCCGTGTTGTTTATTTTTAAGCAATTATAAGGAATCTTGAACTGCTGCTCTGCTCTAGGTAACCAACTTACCTACGCTAACTTTGCTTAGCTAGGCTATGTTGAGAATGCCGCACAAATTCTGGGTCAGAGTTCAGTGAAATTATTGAAAATACTACCAGACGTGTCAATAACCAATATTGACATATCAATATTGTTATGGATCGATTTGTTCAGCCCACTTCAGTCAAATCCGTGGTCGTTTGGGACCAGAGAGCGCTCCAAAAGCAGGCAAAGGACTACAGCGCAAGGCATTCTGGGTAAATACAAAGAAAACAAATGCGCTAGCCTAATGCTAGCGGGAGAAATGGCTCGTGGTGTTTCACTGAAAACATACAAGCGCTAAAATCCATTTTTTATTTACACTTTGCAAAGACAAATGTTGTGTTGCTTCTTCCGAGGTTTTTGTGTTGATTCCATTCTTGGTGCAGCGCCCCCTACAGGTCAGGAGGGCAACAGGTTGTTCTGAGTTTGGATGGTTTGACAGTGCAGCTGAAAATTGAACAGTTCTATTCCTTAATTGAACCCAATCTCCTGTTGCAGCCTCTGTTAAAAAGAGCCGCTACTTCATATAGTCCAACATTATTTAATTCAATGAAAACGCCAATGTTCAAACATTTTCTATTCAAACAGATCAATCAAGGTTTGTTCACCAACATTTGGGTAACAAATGTTGGGTCTTTTATGGGAATTAAAAATTTTGGCTTGACATTTAAATTTAAATGTGTAACATTAATCTAAACTTTTTTTTGTTTATATTCTTGAATCCCCCAGTATTTTGAATGTCAAACACAAAAATTTGAGACATTTTTAGGAACAAGAAAATTAGTAAAAAAAAAAAAAGTAAAAAATCACACCAAACAAAATAAAATTTTTCCTGCCAGAGTCAATACTTCATTATCGATCGGTGAGGTAACCGCTTCATGTTTCATCTGCAGTAGATAAAAACCAGAAACGCCAGACATGACCCGTTTGTTTGTGCTGCAGGTGATCTCCAAAGGCGACACCGAGGACAACCAAGGCGGGAACACAAAGGATGCTGACACCAAAGTGACCGTGCAGCTGTTTGACTCTCCGCCGATGAACATCACCGTGCGTGGCGACATTCCCTGGACCGACCCGAAGTTCTCCGAGGAGGTGGCCCAGAAAGCCCTGGACCGCTACAAAGCAACCAGCATGTGAGTGGCGCGTCTTTACCAACACCTTTTGATATATATGCATATACATAAAGTAAATGAAAATCCACTCCTGTAAAATGTAAATTTCTCTTTATTTTGTTTTTTCAGTGTCGCTAAATAAGGTTCAGCTGCTTTCCTGCCTGGGTCTTCGAGAAAAACTCTCCATGTCCATGGAAACGCAGCTGGAAGCCAACGCTCCCATCCTAAGCTTCCTCCTCCAGTCCTGCTTTTGCAAATAAATAAAAACCAGCAACACCTGTAAGGTTTAATGGTGTATTTGTCCTGCTGTAAGAGATGTTCAGGAGAAAACAGTTCATCTGTTGTCCCTCCGACAAACAGGAAGTCCTCGCATTTCCTGCTAGCTAGCAAGGCCCAAGCTACAGTAAGTGTTTAGTGCCAAAACTTTCTGTGTTATTAGGACACAAATCACCATATTCACTTCTGCTGTTCATGTGTTTTAGAGACTGTATGAATTTAGAGACTGTATGAGGCTTTTTCACAAAACGCAGAATAACAGGAGAAAGCTGGATCTGATTTCTTAAATTGCCGTTTTACTGCATTTTGATGTTAAATAATAAATAAAAAGAAAATTACACAGCACTGAATGGAACGATAGATTAAATATCTTTAAATAACCATATCTGGTAGTTTAGAGATGCTGAGTGGGTCACTGCTTTTATGAAATCACAAAGAATGAATGAATATTTTCATCTATTAAAGGTTTTGTGGAAAAGCTCCAGATCTTCATTGCTACTCAAATGTGTTTTTTGAGTTAACTCAGTAATCTCAGATTCAAATTTTAAAGTGATTTCTTTTCAGCTGCTCTTAGGGTAGCAATAAAAACATTCAATAAAACATGTTTGGTTTTTGACTCTTTTTACAGTTTCTGGTTCTCTGGGAAGATTCTCACCAAAACATTTAAATATTTCAGAGAAATTACACATTTTCAACCACTGGATTGCAAAAGCAAAAAAAAAAATGTTATGTTTTTATGATTGCATATAAGGGCAATTGTACATAGGAAAAGAAGCAATTTTCTAAAAAAATTGGAGAATTTTCCAGGTCACAAATTTGCCTCTCTCCATTCTGAGAAAGACACCAAAATATATATTAGCAGCTTTCAATTTTCCACAAAATTCCTGGATGGTCCAATAAATGATCAGAAGGAGCCATGTTTAAAATATTGTGCCGTTTTTTATTTTTGTGTAAAAATCACACAGCTGCTAGTTAATTCTGCAGAGATACAGTACATCCATGCAGTTAAACATCTAGGATCCCACAGCCAAGAGAGAAGGAATTAAATAGAATATTCTTCCGCTGTTAGCCAGCAATTAATGCAAATTTACACGAGTCCAAAAGTGTGTATCATATACAATATCCAACACAGATCTGGGGAGAAAATGGCATCTGAAAGTTCACAGACTTCATATGAGACTGATTGCTTCTGCCTGTCTGGATTGCCTTTTTTATTTTGTTTTTTGATTTTGGGTGGAACGAGGAAAGCCGTTGTGCGAGCAAACATTAAATATTCCTGGAAGGTTTTTAATCCGGTTTCCAAACAATGTCCGCGCACAAACACACACGAGAATTACACCATCATCCACAACAGCAGGAGGAAAAAAACAAAACAAAACACAGAGATCAATCAGTCTCTATGGAAACCTGAACACCAATCCAATCAGGGCGAGTAAGGCTTTAGAGAACGATGCTTCACCTACAAAACATTCAGAAAATGACACATTTCAGGACGCTCCAAGTTTCCAGGTTTAAAAAAAAAAAAAGACAAGAAGAATCGGGTTGAAAATAAATCAAATATGGACGCAACAAGTGGATGAGTTCAAAGTGCATTTTGGTCGTTCAGGTCTCCCATATTGCCGACTGGCCTCCACCAGGAAAGGTCACATTTCGCAGATAAAAATAAAATTCTCCTCTGGAGCCGAGGAACACAGTAAGGGAGGAAGCTCGTCAGTACCAACAGAAAAAGGCAGACAAATACCACAAACATACAGCAGGTGGAGTTCTGGAAGAGCTACGATACAGAACCGGGTCACACAGCTGCTACGACCGGAGAACAAACAGCTAAAGTCGCTCTGTGGAAATGTTTCGCACGTAGTTGCATAGCGCTGCTTCGCCCAACTGGAAAACAGCTCATTTATATTTTACGTATTTATTTTAGACACGACTCAACTCCCAATCAGATCTGCAAACGCGTTTCTTCATAAACAAAATAAAATAAAATAAATGACTTCCCAAAAACCTGCAGCTTGAAATGTTTTAGATAGAAAACAAAAAAGTATGAAAAAAAGAGGAGGATGTGCAGTTTTCATCTTCAAATCAGAAGAAGTGAAGGAGCAACAGTTCAGTCTTCAAGCATTCAGTCACAACAAATTGAAAACAAAAGAAAAACGACACATAGATCTATATATGTAGAGTGGACTGGCAGCAGCAGGAAGGACTGAATTATAATCACAGGATGAGACACCAACGCAGCTTTCCTCTCAAATTTACACGCATTTCAGCGCTGCTGCAGATAGAAAAAAATAAGAGTAGAAGAAATAAAAAGGAGTTTGAAAAGTATAAAATTTGCTGAAAAAAAAACCCTTAAATTTTGAAATGTCAAAAATTTTCTAGAAAGTTTTGATACCAATCTCAGAAATTTTCTTTAAAAAAAAGTGTGTCCATTTCTGAGTTACAAAAGTTGTTAATTTTAGACTTTTGAATCTTAGGAATTTCCACGTTTTTTCAAGAAAATTCTGAGATTAATCTCAAACTTTCAGATGTTTTTTTTTCTATCAAAATTAAAACTTCTGTTTTTCTAGACAATTTCTGAGATTTTGTTGGTGCAAATCCACTACTCTTTTTGTTACGTCTACATTGACGCAGTTGTAGAAACGAGCTCACTTGGGAAATCTTTTTATTTGGTTCTTGTAAATCAAATAAAAAGCTGCTTACCCCACATTTGTCAATTTGATGAAAAAGCAATAAGAAAAACTTTGGGCTGTCCAATTTTCAGTCTTTATCGCAGCTGGTAAACACTTAAAAACAGTCATTTCTCTTTTAATTCTGCATAAATCTACAGCAGGTATGTTTAAAATAATTGTTTTGGGTTTTTTGAAGTGAAGTTCAGTTAAAACAGTGTAATTATTTTATATTTTACAGACTGCAGTTGACTCTCTTTGTGTCTTTATTTAGCGTAAATGCAGATTAGTTGGAGCTGAACTCGATGTTTTATCAGAAACTATTTTCTGAACCTTTAAATTTGTCGCAAGTAGAAAATTGATGGTGGAGGCAGTCCGTCACCTTTCATCTTCCCCGAGAACAGAACGTGTAAAGCATTTCCAGTTCAATTCGTTACCTAAAATAAAGCTGCATCAACTCAAACTGCCATAACATTTAGCTATTTATGCAGCTTATTTACAGTTTTTCTGACTGGTAATAAATTATATGTTGCATTTTCAGAGTGTGTTTCAGGTTGGAAGACTATTGGTGGCGCACCACCTCCAACATGGGTTTGTTTTGTGAAGTAAAATCCATTTCTGTGTAAATAACCGTCAAACACAAACCCGACAACTGGTAAAAGGAAATAAAAATAGCAGTTTTAATTTTTTAGTTCTTAGAATAGAGTTGTTTTGGTCTTTAAACTGTCCAGCAGCTAATCTAGATTGATACTAAATGAAGACGTCAAGAGAGTTATCGACTGACGGTAAGATATTAACTGCTTATGATGTTTCCACAGAACCTTACTTCAACTTTTATTTTTTCTTTGGTCAAAGTTTTGTTACGTATTTAGAATAAAAACGGGTCAGATTTTAAACTATTTCTAAACATTATTGAGCAGATTTTTAGTTTTTTTTTGTTTCCCACCATTTCCCTCAAAAAGTAAACACATTTTTCCGTTTTCTTAGATCAACCAAATTTTCAACTGCAATTTGGACTTACTGGTGCGAGTCTCTAGCTAAGCTGCTTTACGAGGAACAAAAAGAAAACCAGTCACACCAACACAACGATTTGTTTCTGAAGGTGGAGAAACCAGGCGTTTCGTCTTCACGTTTCGCCGTTTTTTTTTCCGTCATCCTCTTCAGAAAAAACAAAAAGGGAGATGTGAAAAGTGCCGGGTGGTGAAATCTGCTCCTCTCTTCTCCGTTTGTTGGTAAGACTGTGCGACAGAGTAGAGGGAGAGGGTTTAACGGAACGGCCGGCGGCCTCTGACCGGGGAAATGACGACGGAAGGCGAGAGGAGAGGAGGGAAGGAGAGCGACGCGGCGAGTTACGGCCGAGTTCTGCTCCGCGTGTTCGGCTAGAGGTGGGAGAAAGGCCGGAGCTGCTCCAGCTGCACTTCCAGGGATATCCTCTCCTCCAGCAGATCCTGAAAACATAATCGTGATGCGACGTGTTATGGACATAAACGAGATTACAACTGTTGTCATGAAGTAAATAATGACACTATTGAGTCAATAATTAATGCAAAAAATAAGTGTCCTTATTTACTGAATAACACTTCATGACAACAGTCTCAAAATGACTATATTATTGCAATAATTTCTAGGAAAACTGATCATCCAGTTAATTTTTATAATGTTTTTACCTTCAGTTGTTGCTGTAGTTCACTGTTAAGTCGAGCCAATACTGTGTTTGTCTCCTTGTTTCTTCTGATGGAAGCTTGAATTGCCTTTTTGTCCTTTCCAACCGATCTAAAAATACAGAAAATGTGGTTTTTTTTCCACTAAACTTTCCAAGCTGCAGCACTGGAAGCTTTTGAACAGACAGAGGGTTCAGACCTGGGGATGGAGGGCTGAGAGGTGAGGGGCGCAGCAATGGCGGCGGCTTTCTGGGGTCCGATCTGCTCGTCTTCGGGTCGGAGCTCGTCCTCAGACTTCAACCGCCGCCGAACGGGCTTTGGTGGAGGAGCCAGAGGGCCTGAGGAACCTTTGACCTTTTGGGAGAGTAAAGCACCATCACTGACTGGGATTAACGGTCTAGTTAAAGCACTCCGTCTTAAATAAACATGTAGATATAAAATGTTTGAAAGCCGTACAGTGTAAGTATCTTGTTACAGCGTTCATAGCTTTTATTTTAACTTTAAAGGTGATCGATTATGCACACAAAACGTGTCAGTCACAAAGTTCTTCTTAGATCATGAGATTTTATTCTGCTCACTTCTAAGAGGAGTTTTAGAGCCTCTGTCACTTTAATGTAAATAAGCTGCTGCTGGTCACGCCCCTAAACTCGACGCTTATGCACATATCTGAAAATGGCTGCAAAAAGATGCACAACTATACAACCGTACATCTTTGAAAAGGAGAAGTGGAGCCTCCTGCACAACCAACAAGAATGCAGCAGGTGGTTTCTGGATGGCAAATCAACAACAAAACTCTCGTTTTTTTTCTAGCAGCCATTGTACGATGCAACTGATATATATATGTATATATAGACAGATCTATTTAGAGAGAGAGATCTCAATATATCGTTTCATAGAGAGAAAGAGATAGATAACTCGCTACCTATCTAGCTAAATTATCTATCCATCTATCTATTTATCCATTGATCTTAAAAGCTATCGAAATAACAAAGGGTAAATGGATTTTAATACTTTAGTAAGACGCTGTATAGAGTTTAAAAATTGACTTACAGAGTTGACTGTAGCCGATGTCCTCTCATCTGCTGGGCCATCACTTTTTACTGTTCTTAAAGGGCCGGCACCCTCCGATATCTTGTCCGCCTGTTGGTGCACACACACAAAATCAGTACTTTTAGTAATTACATAGAAAATTTAAACACCACTTATAATATTTTCACAAGAACCAGGTGTGAGCGTACCTGTCCCGCCTCGCTGTGTTTGTCGATGTCCGGCAGGCTGGACGGCTGCTCAGACGCAGCAAATGCCTGAAACTGGCTGAAGTCGGCGAAGTTGGGCTGCTGAGGAATCTGCTGCGGGGAGGTGGTAGTGAGAACAGCGCCCCCTGCAGGGACACCCTCTGCCTCCACACGATGCCCAGTGAGCGGCACCGAAGACTGCAAGTGGACGGGACAGGAAACGGATCAGTGGAGGCTTTTGTGACATCGCCAGGAAGTAAAACCGGTTCGTTTGGTTACCTGTGTGGGCAGCGGTCGAGGCGGCACCGCAGGAGGAAACGCTATCGCAGACGGCTGGGGTTGACCTGGTGCCGCTGAGGCAGCGAAGGTGCGATTCATGTCCAAAGACGATGAGCGCGAGTGGGACTGCTGGGGGCGAGGAGGCGGAGGGGGCGGCGCTACGACCTTCAGCGCCTCTGGAGACGCACCCGACTGCGACCTGAACACAAACAGTTCACTTAATGGATCAAATGTTTACATTTTATCTAATCCAAACAGAAGCTAGAAATAAAACATCACTTGAGGTTTATAAGTGATATTAACCCTCTAAATTATACAATATTTTGCTTATTTTTCTCCTCTATGCTTTTCTCTCTACATATGAAATGACATGTGTTCTAGTAGTTCCCATTTTGAAGAAAGGCTCTGAAGAATGGGCTTTTGCGTTACATATTTAGGGATGGGAATTGAAGAGATTTAACAGCAACACTTTATTTGAAGGTGTGTGGAAAAGTCTTCTTGAATGTTTGACTGTTTTCATGAAGTGTCAATAATGACACTTTTAATGCAAAGTTGCACTATAAATAAAATAACTTCCTGACATTGGATTCTCTCCCACCTCTAACTAAATGAATGTATGGCAATTACAGATTAGAATTAGCTAAATTACTTGCACTAAATTATGGCAATAAAAATGAAATTGTTGTAAATTACAGAGAATAACTGAAAGTTTTGTTCTAAACTATAAAACAAGAAAAACAGACCTTTGCCTGGTGATGGGCTCCTGATCTGATGTGAAAGAGTCGGAGCTGCTGTAACCGTCACCTGTAACAGAGGAAAATAATGATCAGTAAAAAGTTTCCCACAGGAAAACACTTTCAAGGATTTTAAGTACCTGTACGAACAAAACAAAAATAACCACACTATTGATCCTTTCATTTCAAAACCAGCTTGACTTTTCAATCTCATGATTAGTAAATAGTTAATCTGTGTTGTTAATAGAAGTTTAAGTAGAAATAAATACTTTTTTATATTATTAATATATCTACATATTCAACCATCAAAAAAATTAATTCTATAAATCCGTTTGACTTCTTTTTTGATTTTAACCAAATTTGTAATCAATATGATCACCTCAAGTGGTTCAGTTAAAATGACTCAACAAACCCATAAAGTAAAAATTTTAACCAGAACTACAATTAAGACTATTGACTAAAACATTAAGAAATAAAAGTTGCATATTTTCATTTATCCCTCATGTCTTGATCCTTTCTGAGGAGCTTCAGCGCCACCTTTTGGCCACTCACCGACGGTGTTGGCAGCTACAAACTTCATGGAAGGAGGCAGTTTGGTTTCTTCGGACAGTTCTGGGGGTTTTGCCAGTAGCGGACTAGTAGGATGATTGTGATCTGGGAAAATAAAATGAAAACTTCATGAAAAGTTAACAGAAAATATGTTTTTTATAAAACAATAAATTCAAGAAATGCATTTCCCCTGCGGTGCTGCAAGGTAGGATTTGCTCTCTTTTATTCTGAAATGCTTAGATAGACAGAGAATTACGGCAAATAAGCAACAAATCTTAAAGCTAATATCTGATTAAATTTAATACATCTGAGAAAATGATGAACATCTGTTTAGATGTTTCTGGGTAAGCTTCACTTTCCTCAGATAAGATCAGAGTTCAAGACTCTACAGTGAAGATGGAAGAAGAAAAAGGGAAAATGGCATTAATGAAAAGTCCCAAGGCCAAAACTGAAGCCAAGGTAAAAAGAAAAAACAAAACTTATTGCTTTTGATAAAAACAAAATGTGATCTCTTTCGGAAAATATTTTGCAGATTCAGCAAGCAATTTCTGAATTTAAGAGAATTCGAAGACAATAATCCAAACTGTCTCAACTCTTAGTGTCTCAAAAAGAAAAATGATTTGGAATGACCTAGTCAAAGTTCTTGACTAGGTCAAATTCTCTGATGTTGCCAAATTAACAAAGAATCTGCAATGAAGGAGTTGAATAAAAATTTTATCCTGTGCCGGTCATGGCAGCTCTGCCACCTTTTGATTTGCTCCTAACTTTTCTGGTTGCTGCATTGCTTTTTGCAGCAATTATTCACTCCAGTCAGAGAAAAAGTTTTAATTAGATGTTTTAAAAAGCTCCAAACTTGAGCCAAAACATGTCAATTTAATTGCAATTTTATTCTTAGAAAGCAGGGAAACAAAACTGTGGGAACAAATGCAGAAAACAGAGAAAAGTCGCACCGCTGCCCGTCCTCTTCAGCTCCATCTCCTGCATGTGAATCTTACTGGGAGTCATCCGGATGGGAACTGGGTGGACGATGGCCGTGTCCTGAAAGACACGCATCCACATAATGAACTCAAGGCTTAAACAGGCGGTTTGATTCTTTCATTGTTTCAATTTAGTGGTTTATAATAACCATTTCAAACACAAAGTGTCATCTTACGAGCATAAATGTTGGAGCACAAGATTTATTTTTTAAGTATTTAAGGAATCTCCGGTTGGAGGAAAACGAGCCGATTTCTTACAGAAGTCGAATCAGAAATCAACATGCGCAGAGAGGATGATACAGATAGAAAAAGATCCAGGAAGGGTTAATGTCTGTGCATTACTCTGTGAAACCGTGCATGCCAAGTGATTGACTTACAGGGTCAGCTGGTGCAATGTTAGAGTCAAATTGGGTCAGAGTTTGTGAGCTGGAGGAGCGCTCACTAAACGTCTCCCACTGCTGCAGGAGACAGACAGTAAGAAGAAAAAAAAAACAACAAACATGTCAGTCAGCCGGAAACAGTGACATCTCACTTTTATTAAAAAATCCTCGAGTTTGGGCGCGACTTTGGGGGCTAAACTACCATTACGGTCCCAAAGACGGGGGGCAGAGGTGCTGAATTAGCGATAATTATGTCTAATGATGAGGAAAAAGAGATGAAATCTTGAGCAATTAGGATGAATCAAATGCAAACCAAGCAAAGAGCAAACAGAGGTTTGAGTTTAAAAGCGTAAAAATGTAGAGGTGTGATGGTTGAACCTCGTTGCTCTGGTTCATCTCTGGCCAGGCCTGGTTGAGCGAAGGCATGGAGGGTGATTTGTTGGGGGTGACCTCCACCGGCGAAGCAGAATACCCGACTTCAGCGGCCGGCTCAGGAACTTCTGGACACGGGAAGAAAAAACCAGGAAGCAAAAAACTCATTCAAATTAAAACCCTCATTTCCTGGGATACACAGCAGCAAGTAAAAAAAAAACATTTAACTTGCAAAACAAAGGTTTCTGTCTTCCTTGTCCTTCATATGAATAAAAACATAAACAACCACAAAATCTAAACTACAGCTACCAACAAATTACTGAATCACATATTTAGGTCATTAACAGGTACAAATAAAGTTGCAACATTGTTTACATTTTCAGCTGCATTGAGTCAAACTAATTTAAAAACCTGTTTCCCTCCTCGCCTGTGGTGGCGCTGCACCAAGAACGACTGAAGGAAACCACATAAAAACCTATGAAGACACGAGCGCAACTTCCTTCTTCTCAAATCGTAAACAAAACTGGCGAAGCTTCAGATTTTAACGGTTGAAGGATTTCTGTTTTGTCTTTGAGGCAAACGTGAGGCATTTCTCCCACTAGTGCTAGGCTAGGCTGGTGGCATTTACCCAGAATGCCCTCTGCTGTAGTTTTTGGATAGAAACTTTCATGGATTAATATCAAGATATTTTCTTACAACAAAATCAAAAACATGGAAATATCTGAATTTCAAATTAGAAACTTTCTAGATCATTTCTGCGACTTCACACAAATTTCTGCTTTTTTGATGGAAATTTACTCCTTGATTCTATAATTTTTCAGAAATTTTCTAAAAAAAAAAAAAACTTGGAAATTTCTCAATTTCAAATAAAAAATTTAGAAATTTTCTAGAACATTTCTGAGGCTACTTACAAAATTTCAGCTTTTTTGATGGAAATGTACTCCTTTTTTTGGAGACCCTTGCCTTGCAGATCATCAAGCCTTTGGTTTTAAAAATGCACATCAGCTTAAACAGATGAGTCAGCAGAATATGCGCAAACCTGCTGAGTCGTCCAGGTCAATCAGCTTCGGCATCAGGCTCTCTGGAAGTTTCTCTGGAAGGTCGTAGCCGTTTTTTCTGGCCACGACGAGGTGAAAGGCCGCGCAGAACTCGTCCAGAGTCAGAGCTCCGTCTTTATCGAAGTCCGACAGCTCCCTTCAAATAACAGAAGAAACGCGTCAGGTCTGCGTCCTGAATTTGAAACAGTGCTGCAGGAAGCATCAGCAATCATGATAACTCACCAAATATGTGACAACTCTAAAATCGGTAGCTTTGATTTAGTGAAGAACTCTTTTGCAGCTGAACCTGAAACACAAAAAGTGACGTTTAAAAGACTTTTGTTACGACCTACGGAGTCCCCTAAGGGACAAGGGAAGGAAGTAAGGAAATGCATCCAGGTCTATTTTTTATACAGTCACAAATGTCAATTTTAAATTTCAGATATATACACATTTAAAGAGCATCAGTGAAAACATATTCTTAACTCTTGGTGCAAAAACTGACTGAAAATCAATTTATTCACTGCATGTTTCAGTCTGTATGTGTAAGGTTGACCATTAGTAAAACTGTCAAACGACTTTATGGATGCATTTTCCTTTTCTTCTTCCAGAAAGTTTCTGTTTCCATCTTAGAAGGGACAGAAACAGATGTTTTGCTTTTGCACATAGGCTTGTGGTCCATTTCTACCCAAAGAAAATGATATAAAACTTCAGATATCTCACAAATGACATGGAAAAAACCACACGAAAACTTTACAATATAGCAGAAAGTACGATGGCCACATTAAAGACTTTCAATTATGAACATTATTGCAAGAGAGAGCAATACTTTTGCACGGTAACACAAAATAAATAAGTCCTCTATGTTGCCTACTGGGCTCTGTAGCAACCTTTATTTATAGTTTATAAGTTTTTCCCTACCAGGTATTAAGCCAGTGAGGTCCGGTTGAATGGTTTTGAACTGGTTGATGTAATACTGTCTCTGCTCATCTGTGATTTTCCAGGGATCGTCGTAGCCGCTGGACTGTCGCTGGATCTCATTGGTCGTTGCAGCCGAGGCCACGGTTCGTATCGTTGTGCTTTCCTGCGGGCGACACAACTGTAGCTAAAAACCAGCAAAAACTTTTTATTTTAAAGGCAACACTGAAGAGAAATTACAGTAAAGAAAAAAATGTCAGTGCCTTGAAACTTGGAGATGGTTTTTATGTCTCAAAAACTAAAAATAGAATTGAAGTCCACTTGAAATTAGACGCAAGCTTTTATTTGAAGATTTAAAATAGCTGCTGAAGTCCCAGTTGAGCAGCGCCGGCTGACAAAGCAGGGGCAGAAAAAGCTGACTGATATTTAAAGACACAACTGTGTTGCATTTCTCTTGTTTTACATTTGCAGCAATTGCAAATGCAAAACAATTTGCTTATCTGATGAAAGACGTCTGAGCTGCATCGCAGATATTTTTGTTTTAAATACATTTCAAATCAAGAGTTTCTATAAATTTCTAGGAGTGTAGAAATACAACAATCTCACGATACAATATCCGATATTCTGATCATGATACGATATGATATTTGGCAAACAATACAATCCGATTCGATGCATTTTTACCATTTTCTGAAAGATTTTAGAAGGACAGAGTGATTTTAGTGACATTTTATGTCCCATAGACTTAAATTTAATTTACTGAAAACTGATTAAATACCTGACTCTTATTGGACAGAGTCTAACAGTCTACAGCTGGACAAAATGATGCAGGGAGAAAATTAGTTTCTGTCATTGAATTCATGTGTATTTGACATAAAACTCAAAGTTTCAACAGTGACTCAGTGGGGAGATTATCAGCCTCTGTAGACTCTCAATATGTAAATTATTGGACTTATGTTTCTCTTTTGGACATACTGTGGCTGCATTTTGGAGTAAAAAAAGTCTTTTGGACTATAGGAAAAAGGCTTTTCTATCTTGGCTCCAGGAGTTAGCCGTGCCTGTAAGCTGTTTACTACTAGCTGCTTCGAGGATCCAAAATGGCTGACGCCTTGTAAAGTGGCTGCTGGGTTTGTTGTGCTTTAAAAGTAGTCAGACGAGTGGCGTGTTTTGTGCCGCTGCCCTACCTGGACTGATGATGGGTGCATTGCTGGGAGCGTGCTGGAGGGCGGGGTGTCTGCTGTGAAACTGACCCAGCTTTCCTGGCTTGGGGGAAGAGGAGGAGGGGGCGAGTGAGACGACCACATGCCGTCACCGGTCACTGGCCCTGGCAGAAAGGAACCACAGGAAAGGACGTTTAAAAAAAGCCCTCAGATGCCCTGATTAACACACACGGCGGTACAGGAACTTCTGCGGTCGTCACCTGTTTGTGGTTCTCTGAACTGCGTCCACACAGATCCGGTTGCAGCCACCACTTGTTGCCTGTCTGCGTTCCCTCCGCTGTGTTGCCGTTTGTGCTTTCTCCAAGAGTGGGGGGATGTGGGTGGAGACTGGTGTGGGGAGATGACTGGGGACGTCGGTTCGGGCTGGGAATCATATTGAAGCAAATCGGACACATATTTAGTTGACAAAACGATAAAAATCCATATATTCTCTAGTAAAATACACAATTTGAAGTGATCTAACCAACAATATTACACATTGAAGGACGCTAAAGGTGACCGATTGTGCTTTTTGAACATGTTAGGATAGGGCTACATGTTCATAATAATCATTCTTAGATAATCAGATTTTAGTTTTGAACTGTTTTAGGGTCACTTTAAATCCAAATAAGCTGCTGTTGGCCACGTCCCCAAAAATTAACATTTACAAATGGCTGCAAACAAATTCACAATTAAACAATTGTACATCCTTGAAAAGCAGAAGCGGAGCCTCCTGCACAACTAAGAAGAATGCAACAACAAAACACTTTATTTCTTCCAGGAGCCATTGTACAGTGCATACTAAAAGAAATTAATCATTGACTTTTAATTATTTTTATTTCCACACAATTGTACTATGTTAATTGGCAGATTATTTAACTTAAGACATTTTTCACAAGTTAATAGTTCAATTATCTGCTAATAGAACAAGCACTTTTTCCATCACTATTAAGGAATTATTTACTTAAAGCAAACCTCTATTTCTTGCTAAGAAGTTATTTTTAAGTTAGCTTGTCTTATCTTAAGTGTACTAAGATATTTGCACTAGAAACTAGACCAAAAATACTTGGGAAGATTTTGTTTTTTGCAGTTAAAAAAAAAAAAAAGTACAAAAACTTGCAAAATGTGAAATTTGCATAATATCTCCCGTTTATGGCATTCAGAGTGAATTCAAAAGTGAATTATCTGCTTCATTTCACATGCAGGATGTTAAAGCAGCCAGTGAATGAGCATTTCAAAATGCACAGAGATAACCGGCGCGTAAAAGATCTGCTTGGCTGATTGGAAAGTCAAAACACTGAAAAAGCAATCTGATCAACAAAACATCAAACACCCACAGGAAAATAAAGTATTAATACTTCAGAAGCTTATCTGTAGCGGCTGCAGGCTTGAGCTGTCGTATATCACTCTTCAAAATGAAGAACACACCAGTAAAAATCATCCAGAAGATTTACTAACTGAGTGGTTTTGTTGGCAAACAACTTGAGAAATAAGAATACTTATTATTCGTTACCAACCTGAGCTTCTATGCTGGGCGCCAGGGGCTGGATGACCTCGTGGGCAGGAAGTGAAGTGGAGGAAGGGGGGCCTTTCTTGTTCTGGTGACCCCGGCCCGGCGGTCTGGGTATTAAAGCAGTTCCGGGCGGCGGGTATAAGCCTTGGCTGTCTGCATCCTGGTACAGGGCAGCGTGCTTCGCCTCTGCCTCATTCTTCCCCACCACGAACCTGGGCAGCGGCAGATCTTTGACTGTAGAAGTTAAGGAAAAAATGAACTAAATCAAACCAAATCCAGGTGTCTTAACACAAAAAGTGATGATCAAATCTCTTCCCACAGGCGCTGAAAATGTGTCCGCAAGTAGTCCGTCTACTACGCTTTGAGCTGAGTCATACAATTGTAGGCATCAGCTGACAATATTACAGCTTGTAAAATGAGGGAACGGCATAAAATGAGAGCAGTGTGAAGGTTTTTGCTTCCTCAAAATAAAACGCACCTATTTGTTCTCCACAACTCGGCTCATTTGTGCAAAATTAAAAGATTACAGTAAATTATGGAAGCTAATATTTGCTCAGAAGTGTTCAGAGTTACATCTTAAGTGTTATAGCATTTAAATAGAAATGGTACAAAAAACAGGAGAACAAAAAAGGAGGCCAAAACCTGGTGAACCATAAACGCGTTAAAAGCGATCATAAAACGCATGAAGCGAATCAAAAATAGTTAACCTTTGGATGAAAGTGACAGATATTAAACAAATTAAACTCAAAATCTTAAAATTCACAAAAAAGTAGCTACATGGGCTTGATTGGAGATCATAATTACATTTGACTCATTTATTAGTTGGTGCGGTTCGCTTTCTCACTGCACTCAAACAAACCAAACACCTCTTCCCCTGCTCACCTGTGGGGGCGCTGTACCGAAAGCTACAGAAGGAAACGACATGAAAACCTTTGAAGAAGAAATGAGCAAGGGAGAAGAATCAGCGTTTAGCGGTCGTAGGGGTTTTCTTATGTTTAGTAAAAGACAACGACTAACAAGGTGTTTGTTTTGGTTGCATTTACCCAGAATTCCCTTCCTGTCCACTTCCTGATTTTGGAATGATCTGTAGTTCGCTTGGCGTTCAAAACGCAACAGATTTCACTCCAACTGAAAGTGGTAGGTGCCGTGTAATTGTAATGAAAGATGTGAGTTTATCGTAACAAATGTTTGCATTTGGAGAATCCAATCTAACAACTGGACTGACTTTATTAAATCAACATTAATAAAGTGAAAAGCTTGCATTAATAAAACAATCTGAGTTCATATTACCTATATCTATTTGGATATTATAGGTGTGAGACTGAACATAATCTATATTATCATCACAATATTCAGAAATGGCTGCAGTCTCCTGATATTGTGCAACCTTATTTTAAGAGATTAAATTAAGACTTAAATTTCTGCTCCATTATCAGTCTGGACAACTATTCTGATGATCTGATTACAGCAATAAATTGAATAAACCCAGCAGACCTCCTACTGTACGTGTCCAAATCAAATCCCGTCTCTTTCCGCTCTTGAAAAGCCAAATTTAATTTAGAAATATGTATATATATATCCATGATGGACTCTGTTGCCTCTTGTTGTCAAGAATATCTTAGTTTATGATATAAAGAAATGTCTAAAGAAGTACTTTCTGTAAAACTTGAAAAATAAATCAGCTGAAACAGTTGGAGAGGCTGGATGCGTCCAGGATTCTGCTCTGTTTTTTGGAATGCCAAACATTTAATTATTGAGGAACAAAAGTAACATTTTTAACTAGAACTCCTCTATTCAGTATCAACTAAATCTGGAATCTTAACTTCAAACAGTCCACAAAGTTAATAACCTTCATGAGGTACAATGTGTCCTTTTATAGCAAAAGGAAGTGGTCGCTTCGCTTCCTCAAATGTTCAAATTATGAAATCATTGCAAAATGTTGCAATATTTCAGGGCCCAACATGTAACTCGGAATAAGAGTAAAAACTTTGGGTGCTTTAACCAAACAGGGAGCCATGTTGCAAAGACGTTCATTCATGCTACAGCTACAACTTTTTACATATTTTATTCAGATTTATATCTGAACATAAAGTAGTGCATAACTGCAAACAGGAGTGACAGAATAAAGGCACATAATTCCCCCAGTGTATTATAAGCCTGGCGGGCCACCAGGCTTCACTTGAGCCGCCACCAGGCTAAGCATTGCTTATTTATTTAACTCTTTATAAAATTTTGGCATTTTTAAAGACTTTATAGTTGGTGCTCAAGTGTATAATTATCAAGTACTATTTTCAAATTTTGCGTCAACTTTAAACATTTTTACCTCAAAAACAAGACAGGCTGCTGAATGAATGTCTGCTCTAGCGCCCAACCGACGGGCTTAGCAAGTTTTCTGGGGGAAACCTTGAGGTGTACATGTACTCAAAAATGTTGAAAGAACAGATTCAGAGCAGAAATTAAGCCGTAACTGTACAGAAATTATAAACATTTTGCATTCAGGATTAAAAAAAACCTTTTGTCTGTAAATATGTTCCACCGAAAGCTCCTTAAATGTCATTGTTTTAGCTTCACCCAGTTAAAATTACTGTAAAAAAAATCTCCTAAGCACCTTCTGATATTCAACTATTAATAAAAAAAAATAAACAGCAGATCTGCTGAGCTCTTCACATCTTGATGTTAGAAATATTTTTGCTAAAAATGATCAAGGATGAACTAAAGGAATACTGTGTTGCTGAGGCAATAAAATATTTATATTCTAATTTTAAAAATTTAATTGTTTATTTCCATCTCTTAATTTATTTCTAATACTGTATATGAAAATGCTTAAATAAAATATGTGCAAAATGTGCAAGTATTTTTTTATGTCAGAATAATTGATAGAAAAATTGATAACTAAGATCACTTAATTGTAGCTATACCTGTCACAATAACACATTTTGTTGGAAGATTATTATGGCAATAAATTGGAATTGTTTTGAGACAATTATTCAAGTTGTAATGGTATAATTAACTGTAATTTTACAAAAACATTTCACAATAGAACGAGAAGATATTTCAAATATCCCAAACAAACACAACCAAAATAAACAACCCCATTTATAACCAAAACCATAAATGAAATGGATTATGAAGTTTTTATAAGCAAATTCGCAGTAATCATATTTGATGATGGATCAATTTTCTCTGTTTTTTTTTTATTTTTTATAAAAATTACAACCATTCTTTATAAAACTTTAATTTAAATGCTGCCAGTTGTTTCAAAACAAACCAAGGCAGACTCTACTTACAAACTGGGAGATTTTATTTTCCACAAGCAGCTTACGTTCAAAGTAAACATCGTTGTTTCCTGTATGCAAACAGCAGAGGCTTTAATAAAAGGCGTCGCACCGACAATGAGAATATTCATGTTGGGACTCACCCGAATTGAGGCTTTCCACCCTGAGGGGCAGCCCAGACTGGGCGATGGCGATGAGCTTCAGAGCGATGTAGAACTGGCTCCGTCCGAAGTGACCCAGCCGAGTGGCTCCACACAACTCTGTGATCTGAACCAACACACACACACACACACACACGCACATGCACGCACACACACACAGATAAGGAACAGTCAACACTGTATTCAGCTGGACTTCCCTCTCAGAATCCACACCTTGGACGAGTCAACTTCTGTTTCTACCCAAAAACAATGACTGTCCAAACAGTATCGCATTTTTTTTTGTTGTTGTAAAAAGCGACTCTTATTTTGTTAGCGTTCTCGCTAGCAGATGATCAGACGTCATAAACTTGATTAGGCCTGCTGCAATAAGCAATAAATCAATTCATCACATGATGAATTAAAGCAAGCACAATAATTTCCATATGGGTGATTTATCGTTTTTCTCTTTCTACTAGAGCTGAAACAATTCCTCAAATGATTCAAGTAGCTTAATTATTAAAATACTTCAAGGAAAACTATGTGCCTCGAAGCTTCGCTAAGTTATGTTTATTATTTTGCGCACCATGTTGTGGTCGGGCGATTATGCTCTCACTTCCGCCTCTGAGTTGTTGACGAAAGCTAAGTATTAACAGCATAATGTCCAATTTCCAATCCTTGGAGGATTTTATTGATTGATGATAAAGCCCAAGATTTTGTCGTTTTTTGGGGGACCAATAAGTATCCTTAAAATAACTACCGCGATGCCTGGAGTACGGCAGCCTTTCTCCTCCTTAAACTGCGGCCTGGTGGTGAAGAGCGCGGCGGGTGCCTTCAAAGAGGTGAGCAGGCAGACTGAACACAGCCGTAGTGGATGCTCAACGCAATTGTAGCTTTACGGACAAACTGGAGAATTACTTTCATGTCACCCTGGTCTCAACAAATGAGTGGTGGAGCTCATCGTGGCAGTGCAGAACTGGTAGATGTGTGTCTGTGTGACTAAAGAACCAAATCCCGTCGCTAACAAGGACACAAAGCCAATAAATGTTTGGGCAAAGAGAGAATTTATCTATTAAATTGACTGAAAATGAATACGTAAACTAAAAGCTGGAGTATAGAGATTATCAATAAGTTTATTTGTGAGCCAGGCTCTTCATTATTACATTTAATATTATTCCAGATTTTAGTACAACTTTTCTTCAGGTTAAGTTAGACAGGGAGATATTACTGTTAGTAGTTACTTTTCTAAACTACAGAAAATTTATTTTAAGGGAAGTTCAAATATGAAAAATTGAACTGATAGTGATACCTCTGTTATGTTAGATTTACTAATATTTTATTTTAGCAATTTTTAAAAATCTAATAATTCAATTAATATTAAAAATAAACAATAGAATACTTGATTACTAAAATATTTCTTTACAACAACCCTACTTTCTACCAAAAACTGGATAAGTTTAGTGTTTTGGTCTCTTTTTTGGGGACAGTTTTGTTTACAAAGACTTCATAATTAATTTTATTTGCTGTTTCTATTGTTTTGTGTGCATGTTATTTATTTTTAAATGTTAATCAGAATATAACATTTATACATCTTTGAGAATGTGTTCTTGCATTGTTATGCCTTTACCATTGCATTACTTCAAGTCGGTCTCAAAACAACATCATCATCATCATTTATCACAATAACTTCTGGGACAATTTATTGTCCAGTAAAATTGGTTATCGCGACCAAACTTTGTTGATCTGAAAGTCCTTCAGGGTGGGCAGATAAGGAGAAATCTGAAAACTGTTCGAAATGTCTTTCATCAGAAACAACATGGATACACACAACCAGAAATGCAAACTGTAGCCGCCTTATATCAGAAGAATTCAGCTTTGTAACGTTAGAACAAGTGTTCAAGTGGGAGTCCTTCAGGACTGGGAACCGCCACAGCTGACTGATCCCTCTCCTGCTGACAAAGGACCTAATCTAAGTGTGTGTGTGTGTGTGTGTGTGTGTGTGTGTGTGTGTGTGTGTGTGTGTGTGTGTGTGTGTGTGTGTGTGTGTGTGTGTGAGCATATAAAGCACCAGCCACTTTTCTCAGCCTGTTACAACATGACACTGCAGCATCAACACTGCACCCAGTGTGGATTTTCAAACTAGAGAGGGATTACAATTCTTCCACCACACAGCCTCCCCTTGTTGACCTTGAGAAGGATGCTGACTCACAAATAGCAAATACTGGCCTGCTGAGCGACGTCAAGTCACACCAGAAAGGTTTGCTGCAGCTCAGACGAGCTGCTCAGGACTCAAGAGTTAACAGAGATCAGGAGCTGAAGATGCTCTCTCAACATCTCCACGTTTGCACCTGCGCTCGGCAAATCATCAGGCAGCGCAACTAAGTTAAAGAAAAAAAAACTGAGGGGCTCCTAAAGAAATGCATGCGGTCAGAAATTCAACATTATTTGCACAGAAGCAGACAGGGTGGAGGAGGCTGCTGAGCCAACCAGTTGTTGCCAAAGAGCGTTGCAACACCAACTTTGTTTGGTTGTTCAAAATTAAAACCACAAAAATGATGTATATTAAATGCAATGCCCAACAGGAAACAATTAAATATAAAATCTTAAGATGTTAAAACAAATTAAGTCTGAGTGAAACATAAAGGATGTTTCAATTTGGGAGATTAGACTGAGAATTAAAACATTTCTTTAAATGTCTATCACAAATAAAAGCAAAAATCTACTGCATGTTCTCTTTTCCTTTTTTTTATTTAACTTAAAACAATCAATGCACATGAACTGAAAATATTTGACAAAATCTTAAGATATCAAAATGAATATTGATGCATATTATGAATAGAAACATTGTTTTTGTGACTTAAATTCAATACTAATATAATTGGTGCCTCTCTAAATATCCAAACATGTTTTAAAAGCAAGGAATGTATTACTCTAATCAATGAGATTGTTTTTTTATTAAGAATGAAAAGAATAACATAAACTTAAAACATCTCACTAGATTTGCTCCAGTTAATCTTCCCAATAGTTGGATCAAGATTTATTAATGCCACCGTTAAGCAAAATACACACAATTTCACAACTAGATCATAAAACCAAAATATATCTGAGGGTTGATCAGCGGTGAAGACTCTTTAAGCTGGTAGCTGACTGTTGCAGTTACATTAAGAAGTGCACACTGTGACATAAGGCCTGTGTGTTCAGCATGTCAGCTCAACCCTGACAACAGGGAGGCAGATATCAGTGGAAGGAAAAGGGAGGAAACAGTGAGCAGTCAGCACAAAGCCTGATGGGAACATTACATATTACAATGGATGAAACCCGTAGCAGATTATTTTATGTTGTATGACACTTATTTTGACAAGATTAGGTTGATATCTGATTTGTAGTTGTGTCAAAGTTACAACTTCAAAGCTGTTCAATTCTTCATCGCAAAGCTCTTGCGGTATAAAAGTAACGAAGGTTCCTACTTTTTTCTCACCTTTAAGAGAAAAGTTTGGTAGTTTGGACATATTTCCAGATGTTATAAATATAAAGTCATGGTGGGGCTACCAAAGGGGCATCACTTATATTAAACTACAGAAATAAATGTCTGATTATTTATTTATTTAGTTTATTATACCACACGTGTGGAAAAAAATATGTTAATCCACAAAACGAATATGTATAAATGAAAATTAGTAATAATAAATTATAGCAAATGTAGTTCAAATTTGAAAGTACTTAAAAACAGCCAAATACAGCAGGTGCTTATAATACTAAATAAAATAGTTATATCATTAAACATGCAAGTTTATAATCAAATTGTTACTTATTTCTGCTCCTTGTTTGCAGTTGAATGATTCTGTTCATCTTATAATGGTGGGAAATGGGCTTTCACTGGAAAAGGGGCCCCAAATAAACTCCAGCTTGGGGCCTTAAAATTATTTTGATCGTCTATGGATAATAATAAAATGTAAAGGTTATTAAAGCTGCTTGTGTTTCCAAGTTATCCTGTTGAATTTTAATTACCAGCCATGTTGGTTGACTTCGTGTAGCATTACTGAGGTCTGTGAAGGTTTTATTTTGTTGGTCTGAAGCTGAGAAGTTAATTTGCGCCGTGTAGTTTGGCTAACTTTAGCCGGAGGAAGGTGTGTCTCTCGCTGCGCAGCTTTGCTAACCTGCCCTGCTAACCTCAGGTCATCACTCTGACAGGCAACGCCGTTTAACACATCTTCCGTATAAACATCTACTTGTGCGGCGTACGAGGTGGTTGGGAGTTTAAGCAATCTGCTACCTGGTTGTTGTTAGCTTACCTGCAGGACAACTTCACTGGGGAGCTGGGCCGCCCGGAAAAGGTCAAGAACTCTCCCATTAGAAGCCACTTTTTTGGTGTTGTCCGTGTCGCAGTAGACGAAAAGCTCCGAGTAGTATTTCTGCTCGACATCACTCAGCGTTAAGCTTTCCATCGTCGTACCGAGTGAAACAGGAAAGCGGACTAGCTGGCCGTTGATTAGCCCCCTTAGCCAATGGCTGGGGCAGGATCCGAAAACGGATGAGACTTCAGGATCCCAAGTCGGCTAACGGTGAGGTTAGCAGTAAAACTGCGCTCCGCGAGCGTCCCCAATAAGTTATCCTGGTAAACAACGCTGACTCCGGCACGGTTACCCAGCCGAGGATAGCTTTCACACAGTTAGTTAACTTGTTGGGCAGCCAAGCCAAAGTGGCCAACCGCTAACACGGCTACCTTGAATCAAAGTCAGCGGCTCGAACAGAAGGCTAAACTAGCAAAGTGCGTCCGCCTCCTCGACGTGGGCATCAGCCGCGTTGATCTCGCGGTGCAAGACTTGTTCTTCCCCGGATCTGCGACAGGATGGTGGTTCCGATCCCGGCCCGAGGCAGACTCCTCCGCTGGGCCGTTAGAAGTAAAGTTTCAGGGTCTTGGGGCTCCTTCCTTTAGTAATCATAGCCGCCATTCCTGCCGTCATTGTCAAGCCGTCCTGGAGGCAGAGCGCCTCTTCCGGTTTACCCTTCAAAAATAATGGCCGCTTTGCATATAATTGCACAGAAAAAGGTGTAAATTTCCGCCAAAAATCTCAGATTTTCTGGATGAAAACGTGGAAATATTTGAGTTTGAAAAGTCGAGACTTTTCTGGAAAAAAACATTTTCTAGAAGATTTCAAGTCGAAAATATCCAACCTTTCAAATTCAGAAATAAAAAAATCATAATTTGATTTCAAACACAAAAATTACCACGTTTTTTTCACACTGATTTCTAATAGTCTCAAAACTTCTGATATTTTCCATCAATTTTTTTGACTTTTCAAATTCAGAAATTTTCAAGTTATTCTAGAAAATTTCTGAGAATAATCCCATAATGTCTAACTTTCTTTGGTAGAAATTTACTCCACTTTTTTCTATGTACAATGGCCCTAATAAGCTACAATGTTTTATTTACATCAAACTTTAGGTAGCTACAAACAGTTATGGTCATACAAACAAAACAATTGTAATCTACTTTGAGTAATATAATTTAGAAATTATGTCTGTAATATTTCATGCTGTTTACCAAATAAATCTTGACAAGTAATTTCCATGGTTTTATGTAAGTCCAATGAATTAAACATGGCCATACCAAATTAATAATTCAGATAAATCATAAATAACTAAATAGAATAGACATAAAAATAGAAACAGACTTGTCCTGGAACCCTAACACACCATCATACTTTAAATATTCACAGTGTGAATGTTGGATCAGCTGTTACCAATAAAGCATGATTTGGTGAATAATACAAATGTTTAAATAATTAATAAATGTGGTAGTGATTTGGTGGGCTTTAACTGGGCTCCAAAGTCAAATTCTTCTTTGGGCCCCATACAACGTTGGGTCAGCCCTGGCAGCTCTTCTCCTGCATTGTGTTTTTCTGGTAACATTAAACAGATCTGAGTAAATAAAACAAATTAAACGAAATATATAAAAATAAATTTAAAAAATAGCTTTTGTTTTGAAAGAAAAATCGGACCACTTCCGGTTTAAGCCATGGCTTTATGCATGTTATTCTTTAACTTGACGTTTCCAAACGTCACTGGGCTCCTGTTTGGCCTGCAGGGACCCGGATGAGTAATTTCAGAATAAAAAGTGTAGCTTTCCTCCCAACTTTGTACTTATTATGGAAAATAATATGATGCTGGATTTTTTTCTGTTTTTATCAAATTATTTCAGAAAAATGACAGAGGCATAAATGATGCAAAAAGAAGCCAGGATTTTCCTTGTTCGCTGCAAAACAAAACATTAATAATTTGTCTTATATCTTTGTTAAAGTTGTGGTAATTAAGGTTTTCCCCATACCCTTTGATGTAGCAATTCCGGTATGATAATCCACATTTTGAGCATAAAAATATGCAACTGTATGTATTTGGTTATATATACAGTTAAAATATATTGTCATGCCCTTTCAGTTTCAACAGTAATTTATAGCCAAAAAATCAAGTATTACATTAATATAATTTTCTTAAAAAAAAAAAAAAAAATATATATATATATATATATATATATATATATATATATATATATATATATATAATGTTTCTTGTTGATAAATGCATAAATGTGAGACTTAACCAACTTTTAACCTATTATGAACCAGAGATGGTGAAATTATCCCATCTTGTGTCAGTGCTGATGTGTCTGCTGTGACCGAGCCGGCGAACTATGCTAGCTCTTTACTTACTGTGAATTTTCCCGCCAGAATCCTTCTAATTCTGACTGTTCAGATTGAACAGTCCTGGTTCAGTAAATATTAAAATCTGCCTTTTTAGGACACAGCAGCACTTCAATGTAAAACTGATGTTTCGGACACGGAAGATCCGAATCAAATGATTTGGATCCTGAAAAGGAGCCGGAATTCCCATTATTACAGCCAGTTATGGTGATGCTTTCAGTTACATTCAGTCCGGAATGGAAACAAACCATTAAAAAAGGTTCATTTTGACGATTTTCAGTGAAGATTAGCTACATTTAAGCAAGTCAGCATCATGAGGTTCTTTATTGCGCTTCAGTCAGCAAATTTATTCTAATTTGTTGCATTTCTTCTTGATTTTACTTTTTCCTGCCACTGGGATTGGAGATGGAAAAAGCTACATTATAGTGTAGCACACAATTTATCACTTCACTTAAAGGTTTCTGTATATGTCTTCAGATAAATAAACAAATAAAAATGTAAAAAGCAAACCACATTTCTTGCACTTGATTTTAAGAAGCAGGAATTCCGAGTACCCCTGAACGCACCGCCGTTCTTACCCGGTGCAGACTCTTCAGAAAGTCCTACATCATCTCCTTACAGGGAAACGTTCAACACCTAAAAAGGTAAAACCCCTTTTGCTACTGTCATGTTTGGGGATTTTTATGTGTAAAATTTTAAAATGTTTCGTATCTGACATAAAATCAGCTCAGCCGACAGAAAAGGAAAGAAAAAACTCCTTTATCCGCACCAGTAGATCATTTGTCTGCCGGTGAAATCTGTGTTTTGCACCCGGAAGTCACGGGGAAAAAATGGACCAGGTTGTGAACATGAAGCCGCGCCTTAAAATTAACATTTGCTCTTGATAATTAAAGAGCAGAAATATGAATCTGTGTGTAGTGCTGGCTAGCTGTGGGTGCTAATCCTGCATTTCCGCATTAGTGACAGTCCGCCCTGGTTAGTTCAAGCTGCAGCTTGTTAACGTTGATCTCAGCTCTGCAGGCAGTTCAGGTGATCTGGGTGATCAAATGTATTCATATGCTTTTTCACTAATCTGTTTCCTTTTTGTGTGTGTGTGTGTTTCCCCCTTTCAGCAACAATGAATGTGTCTCATGAAATAAATTTGCTTGTGGAGGAAATTCAGCGACTTGGCTGCAAAAGTGAGTCCAGCCTGGGATTCCTGGCATGCAGGATAGCAAACAATAAGTTAAATAATATAATCATGTTGCAAACATAATGAGATAACATTGTCTGGTTATTTGCCTTAAGCTCTAAATAATGTGGTGTTTATTTTATTTTATTTTTTTTTGCATTTTGTCACATTAAAAGCACAAATGTTATTGTATTTCTTTACGGATTTGTGTGAGAGATTAACACAAAAACCTGAATTTATAAAGCGTATCAAGAATTTCTATTCATCCCCCATTTTTAGAGCTAAAAAAGATCAACACTTCACCGTTTTTTTGGTAATAACTTAATGCTTTTAAAAGACTTAAAGTTTCATTACAATATTTTGATAAAAAACAACAGTAATGATCATAATTAATTTATGTAACTGTATTGCTGTGACTACAAACGCCATCAATATTTATTCACTTTCATTGAACAAAAAGTGGAGAAAAATGGTTAAAAATAATAATAATCACAGCAATACGGACAGTTTTTTGGGGTTTTAAACATCATTAATTGGAATTTATAGTGACAACAATAAATCAAAACTCTTGTAAGAAATTTATCACAATAAAAGATGAACGATGCGATAACTCCTACTATTACTTTTAGCAAAATAGTTTCTGTAAATACTAATTCTCATGTCATGACAAAGATTTCTAATGTAATTCATGTCTTGACTTTGATTAGGCCATTTTAGGACATAAATATGCTTTAATACAGGCCATTGTTTTGCATGTCTGGTTGTATATTAGCTTTTTTTTCTGCCTCATTCTCAAGTCTTTTACCTCCAACACATTTTTACCCTTGAAGCTTCATTCATTCAACTTCCCACAACATCCCGCTGCCACCGCCATGTTTTGCCATGTTCATGGTGTGTTCAGGGCAACGCGTAGTCTCGGTTTTCCACTAAACGGGAAGTTTCGATTGTGAGCCAAAAAGTTCCAATTCTCTGATCGCTGCTTTCCATTTTGTGATGATCTATTGCATAAAATCCCACTGAAATACATCAATGTTTATAACAAGAGACAGGATGAGAAAAGCTTAAAACAATTTTGTTATTCACTGTATTTTTTAATATTCCATCACGTTCACCTGTAAAATCTTTTGTGCCAACGTCCTCCCAGACGACAAAGGTCAGACCAGTGTGAAGTTCGGCGTCTTATTTAGCGACGACCGCTGCGCCAACATCTTCGAGGCCTTGGTGGGGACGCTGAAGGCGGCCAAGAAGCAGAAGATCATCGACTTCCAGGGCGAGCTGCTCCTGCAAGGCGTCCATGACAACGTGGACGTCGTCCTGCTGAAGGAATGAAGCCAAATTTTGAATTTAACGAGTCGAGGGTCTGATTGAAACCTCTGAGAACGTCGCATCCCTGCAGCACATCTGTCCAAGTTTTTCTCTTTTTTTTTTCGTTTTGCAGGTCCGTCAAACTGAAATTCAGTCGCACTTTGCTGGCATTTCTGATTTATTTCACTTCAGTGTGCCAAATTGTTTAAGCTCTACAGCAGCTCTGGAGTGCTTTCAGTTCTTTGGACAAATATTTCTTTATTTTTTCTGTTGCACATTTAATCCCTTTAGCTATAACGTGTCTAAAATCTCAAAAGATGCATGTTTCAATTTGGAAAATTAACTTTCTGCTTTGGACTCCTACACTGTCTTGATTGTTACGATCTGATCTTGCCGAGTACAGAAACATCTTTTACTACAGATTTAACATTAAAAATGCACAAACCTAGAATGTAATATATCTTTGTTTTGTAGGTTATATCATCTTTCGCTGCCTTTTTTTGGATAAAGTTAGTAAAATCCAACCAGATGCCTTTCTTGAGCATTTCAGTGCGTAGCAGTTATGACTGCTTGTTCTGAAAAGGCAGCTGTTTTCCCGTCAGATCGGAAAAATCATGTGTTGTATAAATCCCAGCGTTGCTTCAACCAAACGGCGGTTCTGCTTACTGTTTACATGCGCCGCTTCTACTACCTCCTGTGGACTTTCAAACACGGCGTTCAAGGCACAGCGACTTTTTATACAAACTTTGACCACAAGGAAAGTTAAAAGTGCATTTCAGAACTGCTCTTCTGACTCATTACAACAAAAATCTTTTTTTTAAAAATATGAATAAATTTTGTCCCAAAAAAAATAAATAATGCCTTTTTTTGTGGGAACTTGTAATGAACAAATGGAGAATGTATTTCTTGTGCAACTTTGAGTGGTAGAAAATGTACTTCTAATGATTCTCAGGACCAAAAATAAGCTTGATAACTGTCCCATGGCTTTATTTAGTGTTATAAATTGAGATTTATTATATTAATCTTGTGCTGTTGGTCCAATGAAACCTTTGGATCAGGTGTGACTGCTTTCTTAAATCCTTGCTCAAGAAATGTTTTAGAAATAAATCCTTAAATAAAATTTGATTGCATCTTTTTCCTTTTTCTTTATTCGTCTAAATTAGTTGCACAAACGTTTGTAAAAGTAATGGAGAAGGATTATGAAAGAAGCCTGATCTGTACGTTTTACACGACCCGTTTCTATCGACTTCACTTTTTTTTTAGTTCTGGTTTTGGTTCAGAAAAGCGGAGACATTATCAGAGTGAATGAAACCGAAAAGTCTTAGACGTTGTGGGAATGATGCCGTTTGTGTCTCCTTAAGTGCGACGTTACTGTATGTTTGGCTCCATCATTATAACCAACAGAACCGGAGTTGGTTCTGCTGTGGAACAAAATAAAGTCTTTACACTTGAAGACTTGAGTTGAGATTCTTTTTCTTAAATCTCTGAATTCATTGGCTTGAAAGTGTTGCTTTCAAATGAAAATAAATACTACTGGTAAAGAGAAAAAATGGATTTTGTTTTCATAAATTGCTTCTAGCCTCTTAAATCCTCTGTTACGGATCCAAGGGGATTTTGGTCATGTAAGGGATTAGAAACACTTGCACCATGTTGCATGATTAGAGTCAATAAATTACAAGATTTGTTTGTTCTTGGTGCAACTAGGAAGATTTGTACATTAATTAATCTGATGCAAAAACGTAGAAAACAAACATACAAGACAAAATAGACATTTTCTTCTACCTTGCATAATTTCAAACTGTACATGGAATATAAAAAATAAGAAAATAGATGCATGACTTATGCATAAATGTGTTTGTACATATTCTTTTTTTTTTCCAGTGTCCGTAATGCTGTTCTGAATTTGACCCTGGGTGTAAATAGTATGCTTTATACTCTTCGTTATTCCTTTCCGAATAGCCTCTCCTTTCTAGTGCCGTGCTTTCCGAGCGGCCCTGAACGCGGCACGTCGTCGGCGGCCAGCGGCGGGGGGCGGGGCGGGACCAGCGGACGTCAGGGGGTGGAAGAAAACAGCAGAGCAGGAATCAAAACAAGACCCGGACACGCCTTCGCTCTTAGAGGTTATAGCAGCTTATTTCTTCTACCTGCTGCACGCAGCAAAACCCGCGGCTGGAGGAAACGTGCGCCGCCAGGCGAGGCGCAAAATAGAAAGCGCAAACGCTCCGTCGAAGTCCGCAAATGGAGACAACAGAAAAGCCAGACGGCGCTGACGGGAGGCGCTGATAGAGGTCGAAATCCCAGCCGCCGACGTTGCGAATCGCAACGTAAAATGCCCAACCAGAAGAGCAGCAAGGGGAAGAAGAGCAAACGCACGAACAGCAGCGGGGACGAGCAGGAAAATGGAGGCTGCGCGGCCGCAGCGGGAGGCGCGGCCGCGGCGGCGGCGGCGGCGGCTGCTGCAGCCACCGCTGCGCCCCGGACGGAGCGCTCCAGCGGTAAGAGATGTTGGAGAAGTTTGGAGATGTTGCTTTCCGTCCAGGAGAAACTCTAGCTTATCTGCAGCGCTGAGGCGCTCATGCGCTGCGACCCTGCAGACGTTTTCACCCGTCCGATCAGAAACGCATGAGCTGAATTGATTGATTATAGGCAAACAGAGGCGTTACTGCTCGAGGCCTTGCATGAACTGTTTGGTCGTATAAATCAGCTCGTCGCTGTTCCTCAAACTCAGATGGTGATACAGATTTTAAGGCCATCGCGGCTTGTTTCACTCCAACAAAACAAGCTGAAATCACTTTGAAGTGCGCATTTTGGACTCTTGGTCTATGTGGAACTTTAAAACGCCTTCCTGCGGGCCTCAGCTGTGTTTCCTGGCGCACACCTTGTCCGCACTCAGGTTAAGCTTGTGGCCTTCTTCCTCGACGGTAACGCTGACACCTCAGCGCTTGCGTGCGCAGCCGAACTCCACTGACCGCAGCTGGAGAAGTCATCCCGCTGCAAGCCGCACAAATATGGCTGAGGACGAGCTGTCCGTTAGAGGGCTGCAGCAGGAGCCAGGCCGTCAAAGTAAAATCAGCGCATAAACAGCGGGATTAAATGCAGCTTTGCGTCATTTGCGGGGTCAGGTTTTCAGCCGAGGAGCCAAACGATAAACAGCAACAGAACTTGTTGATATCTCCGAAACTTTTTCCTCATTTTGCAGCCACAAGCTGCAACATATTTGTTTACATTGAGATTTTGTGATTGAACTAAAACAATATGCAGACTTGTTTTTGTTTTGCTTCTTTTTTAGCTTTACATTATGGTATAAAGTTATCAGAAACATAACTAAAGTGTTGCTGCGAGTCTTTCATGCATGTGTGGGAAGTCCTTTAATCTCCACGACAACCATTCAGCAGTGAAAAACGCCTGGTTGGACCTGGCTCCGCCTTCAAGGGCACAGCTCCTCCTCCAAGCTTTCTCATAACAAACCAGCTCCTTCAGACTAGCCAGCAGCAATTAGCAAACACGTGGTGGAACTGCTAAGTTCGTTATGAGACTTTCTTAAAGGGTTAATAGTGGAGCCATGTTGTGATGACTTCCTGGAGGCGGAGTTTCAGAAAGAGCAGGAGTTTTTAAAGAGACAGAGGCCCAATTACAATGTACAATTTTTTTCCCGTCATATTTGACCTATCAAGCATTTTTATAACAGAAGGTAACATAGTTACTTGATTTGCTCTAAAATGACACAATGTTTCTGAAAAACGTATTTTTCTCATACAAAACCCTGAAAATGAATGAAGCTGTTAAAGGCTGGACGGGTTTATCCAATCCTCACAGAACATCTGGATTCATAACTTATCCACCGTTTGACTCTGTTCACTTATTGAGCGACTCGAAACCAATTGGTTTCATTGGGTTTTATGTTTCAGACTTTTACAAGAAGTTGATTTGTTGCCTGAAAGCTCAATTAAACGTACTAAAGTTTGTGTTTGTAACATGGCAAAATGGGAAACATGTTCATTATAGCAACATTTATGGCCCACAGATGTGGAAATTGGCGTTTAACTTCACATGATGGTTAAAAACGCATCACGTTACATAATGAAAAGAATCATAACAAAATCACAAACCAACAACAGATGCAACCTGCCAACAACTCTGAGTAAATGTTACTGAATTTGGGATAAATTACTTCTTAGAAATTTGCTTCACTTCCAGAGGGAAACTTAAACTCCTCAAATATGACGACTTTTTGTTTCGTTTACTTTTTGTATAAATCTCCCAGCATCCTTTGCTCCATGTTGATGATCTTATGTCTATACAGACTAAAATACTTTTACTTATATTTAATTTTCTGATTAAATACACAACTTTAAAAAGTTTTAATCTACAGTAAGAATGTTTAAATTCATTAACCACTTCCATGGTGTATAACTATTTAAGTCGGGGTGACCAAAATGTGGTGCAAGGGCCATTTGTGGCCCCAAACTGCAGCTCAAGAGTGAAACATGTCTAATGCAGATTACTTTTTATTTTTAAACACTTTTTTTTAGAATGAAAAATGTTGATTATAACAGAAAGTACGTGTCTTTTTATAACAAAGTTTCTATCTGGAGACTTTTACTGAAAAGCTAACTTTGCGTCACCAAAATCAGATTTTATTTAACTTATTTAATTTGGCAAAATGTAGCAAGTGCTTTTGAAAGAAAGTAACTCAAATCCTGTTCTCATAATTGAGAATAAATGTGTTCAACTCAGCATGAAACATTTTGTAAACTAGAAGCCTTGATTTTAAATTAATTCTGCAAACATGCAAAATTCTTTCAAATTTTTTCTCTCCGATAAACAGTGTTCCGTAGCAAATGAAATTAAATTGGACGACTTTATTTGCTTTTTTAACCTTTAATGTTTTCTTTTTCCACATAACAAAAAGTTTGGACACTCCTGACTTACAGACATACTTTACGAAAAAGTTAGTTGCTCCTGTATTCAAGTTTGCATAATTATTTTTACTTATTTAAAACATTATTTTATTTATCTAATCTAAATGTGTTTGCTCTTTTTCTTGTAATATATATAAAAACAGAAAAACGTTCACAAATCCATCAAAACCATAATAAACGTCACAGTTATGCATGAATGCACTTGGGCTAAATACTAATCCCCATTAATGATTCACACATATATAAATATAACCATAAAACATTTATTATTCATCTGAAACTCCCAATACAACGTCTGAGTTTTGAATGAGAAGATTTCTTAAGAAAAAAGATCAACACTGACACAACACTGGTGTGTAATAGAGACAGAGAGCTGACAGCGCACCGGAAGAGGAAGAAGGAAACCCCCCCCACACACACACACACACACACACACACACACACACACACACACCCCTCTCATGTTCTCAACTCGGTGAAGCCGTCTGCCAATGTTAGTTGGCCTTGTTTTAAAGAAGCTGCTGACAGTCCTGAATGTCCTAATTCAATTCTAGAAATAGATGCTATTAGTGACATTTTCACCATTTTCTGTTTTTATTTTAATTCAGCTTATGGTGAAAAACCTGCTTCAGGCTAAAATGACACCCAATATGAGCTTCATGTGACCCATTACTGGAACAATAACGACAATGTTCATTAGACAAGTAGTCAATTAAGCTTGATTAATCGTTTCAGCCCTACTCAAAATTGGACTTTTTTTCTGGAAATGTCAGATTTGGAGTCATGCGGGTGTTTGACCAGCTGGTTGCTCTTCTTTCTGTCCACTCAGAGGTCCAGTGCGCCTCCCCTCTGGGCTGCAGCCTGGGCCGCCCCATCGACCTGGAGAAGGACGACCACCAGCGGGTCCTCTGCAACAACGAGCTCTGCCCGTACGGCAACTGGATGCACCTGCAGTGCTTCTACGAGTGGGAGAGCTCCATCCTGGTCCAGTTCAACTGCATCGGCCGCGCCCGCTCCTGGAACGAGAAGCAGTGCCGGCAGAACATGTGGACCAAGAAGGGCTACGACCTGGCCTTTAGGTTCTGCTCCTGCCGCTGCGGACAGGGCCACCTGAAGAAGGACACCGACTGGTACCAGGTGAAACGCATGCAGGACGAGCGCAAGAAGAAGCCGTCGGAGCGCAGCGCCGGCAGGACTGGGGCGAGCGGGGGCGCCGTGGGGCCCGGGGACGGTCCGTTTGAAGAGCCTAAGAAGAGCAAGCCAGCAGCAGCTGGCGCATCGGGGGGCAAGTTATCGCAAAGGGCCTCCAGCCAGGAGTTACCTCGTAGACAATCAGTGGACCGCCAGAACTCCATAGAAAGAGGGGGACATGCGGCGGGAGGACTGTCTCCGCTGGGGCCCCCTCAGAAATCCCCATGCGACTCCCCTGGACTGTCCCCTCCCAGCGGGTTTAACTTCTCCCCGACGGCAGTTCTCGGGTCCGGAGGTGCCGGGCTGCGAGGTCCCCGCCAGCTGGGCGAGTTCTTCAAATCGGCCGTCCACATGGACCCCCAGAGGAAACACCTGCTGGCCGGCGGCGCTCTGAGTCGCCCCGCCGCCTCAGCCGGCGGTCCTCACCTGGACCCCGGGTCCGTCTTCCCGCTGCAGCTGTCCTTCGCCCTCCCGCTCCATCCGCGGCTGACCGGCGGCGGAGGGGACGGGACCCACCCTCACCCGGTGCAGTTCCTGAGGAGGCTGGACCTCTCGGAGCTCCTCACCCACGTCCCCCGCCACAAACTCAACACGTACCACGTCCGCATGGAGGACGACGCCCAGGCCGGCCAGGGGGAGGAGCTGCGCAGGTACAGCTTACAGAAATGAATCTTGAAAACGACTCTTAAACTCATCCTGTACGACCATTGTTGGTAGAAAAAACAATTACTTCTTTTCTCTACGTAGCTGTACTACACAATGAAGATGGCATCATACGCCGTTCGTCTCACAAAAAAACTTATGTTTCCACCATAAATCTCAGAAATTCTCTACAAAAAACAAGGAAATTTCTTAGCTTTCAAAGTCAAACATTAACAAGAAACCTTCAGAATTTTTTATATTAATCTCAGAAACATTGGAGAAAAGAAAACATGGAAATTTCTGAGTTTTAAAACTAAAAAAAAAAAATCAGAATATTTTTTTTTCTTGAAAATATCTGAAATTAATCTCAGTTTCTTAAATTTTTCTTGAATTTTTTTCACTTTTCAAACTTAGAAATTTTCTAGAAACGTTTCTAGAAAACTTGATTAATCTCAAAATCGAGTTTTTTTTTTGTAACAAATTTTAAACCTTTCAGACTAAGACATTTCCAAGTTTATTTTCTAGTTGTATCACCCATAGACATATCCTAACTAATGGAAGGATGCACAATATGTCACCTTTAAAGAAACTGAGTATGACGACTCTTTTATGTGCAGCACAGTTAAATTGCTGCTGCAATTCACTTCAACATAGAAAGAGCAGAGCTCGTACTCCTGGGCTTCTACTTCTGTGTATGTTTGATTAGGCCCCTTATAATAGCAAAAAAAAAAGGTTACCAAAGTGCGACAGAGACGTAGAGTCAGCCAGGTTCAAAGCAAAGGAACTTAAGGTGTTTAACAAAAACAGAACGCTGTTTTCTTTGTTTTCCGGTGTACATTTGTTCAGCTTCTTTCCTGTTTTCTCTCACATTCCTCCTTTTATCAATACCAGGTTTTGGGTCGGGGAAAAATGTCCATGTGGTTTTTTTGTGCGCACTGTGTATGTATCTAAGCTTCAGCAGCAAAACAATTTATTGAATGAGTTTATATCAGAGGAACTTTGAGGCTCCCACCAGGTTTTTACCCTGACCTATGCTTTTGGTTTTTTGCCCTTGGGCATTTCCGTCCTGCAGGTTTATCCTGTCTGCTCTCAGTGCGAGCCAGAGGAACGTGGTCAACTGCGCTCTGTGCCACCGCTCGCTGCCCGTGTTCGAGCAGTTCCCCCTGGTGGACGGGACGCTGTTCCTCAGTCCGTCACGCCACGACGAGATCGAATACGACGTCCCCTGCCACCTTCAAGGTCAGGTTTGAGACTATCAAATCTGTACAGTTACAAAAGTCTGATTTTTGCCACTTCCTGGTCACTTTTATTGATAAAACGCCAATAAAACGTTTTAATCTTGCTGGTTAACATTAATGAGTTAATCTGAAGCTGATCAATCTTATCAACTAATTGGTAAGCAACTATTTCTTAAAAACTTGAGTTTTTTATTTTATCAGGGGTTACATTTTTCATAATATGCTGAATCTAAAATATAAAAATTACAATTTTAACATTATTTGTGTCAGCTGCATGACTAGATAAACAGAAAACAATTTTCTCCCATTTTTAAACTTATTTATATTTATAAAATATAATAAAACAGGAACTTATCGGTTACTGAACAGAAAAAAAAGATAAAAAGGATAAAATGGAGATAATCAGACAGAAATACCATCTTTTCTCTTGAAGAAAAATCAACCTTATTTGCATCATTTTTTTTCCTGTCATCACATCTTTGCCTTCGTAGCAAATCAGTAATTTTTAAATCAGAAGTTAAGGTCATAATTGAAGAAAGGAGTTTGTTGAGTGTTTATATTTCAAAACAGAACCGCATAAGTTGCATTTTGTGTCCCACATCAGACACTTGTTGGACCGTTTCTCGTCCCTGTCCTAGAATAGCCGCCATCTTTAATCTTCTATCAACTTCCAAGTGAAGAGCTTTTAAAAAACATGTATTCAGATAAACTTTCACTAGCAGGTCAGTCTCAGAATGAGAACATGCATCATCAAATTACTGTCTGAAAAAGAAAACACTGACCCATCTGTCTGCGTTGTGCGTGGAGATGTAAGATTTTCTGCCGACTTCTGCACAGTCCCAACATGAATGTGAATCAGCACAGCTGCAGCATGGAGCGTCTTTGATGTGCTGACCCACAAGCTTTGATATTCTTGTCTTTGATATGCAGAAGCATGGAAGGGTTGTTTATTCCAGGGCAGAACCAAAGGAGAAGTGTAAAATGCCTCACACATATTTAACATGGTCTAATTCAACTATAACACTCTGGTTGTATGAATTACATCGCTATTTTTTAACATTTCAAGCAAGTAAATTTAAAATTTGGTCTTTCTTAAAGGGAAAGGTGAAGAAAACCAAGAAATACATCACCAGGATTTACTCACCTCTGTGTAGATTTATTTCTTTCAAACATTTAGAGTTGGATAGAGGTGGACAGAAAACCCAAACGGTGTACTCAAGTAAACGTAAAAAGTAAAGCATTATACAACTACATCTAAAGTGCATTAAGAAAAGGTTACTGAAGTAAATATAATTAAGTAAATGTAACTAGTTACCACTCAACTCTGCAGTTGGGTTATTTTAAGAAATTAAAGCTTTTTTTAATGGAAATTTTAAAAGAGAGAACCCATTCTCTCCTGTAAGTTTTTTCTTAGGCCTACAGTTTTAATAATCATCAAAAAAAATCTTTCAAATATGACATAAAACATGGTGGAAAAGCTACTTTAAACATCTTCTCTTATAATAACTTTTAATTACTTTACAGATTCATTTTTCTGTCTAATAATTTTTGTTGTTTGGCTTTCAACAGGTCGATTAATGCACCTCTATGCCATCTGTGTGGACTGCTTGGAGGGCGTCCACAAGATCGTCTGTATTAAGTGCAAATCACGCTGGGACGGGAGCTGGCACCAGCTGGGCACCATGTATACCTACGATATACTGGCTGCTTCACCTTGCTGCCAGGTGGGTAAACTGACCACAGCCAATTAATATTTAGGCATTGTTCACCCTTGAAATCTGATTGGTAAAACCAATACATAATACATACATCATACATAAATACATCATACATAAATCAAAGTGGCAAATTTCCATGCCTAGTCCTGTTGGCTTATTGTTTTAATAATAATAATAATAAAAACTCTACATTCACTAGTTTGCCAAGCGGCGCTAAAAAGGTTTTTATACACTTAAGCCAGGCTAAGCTAAGCAGGCTAATTGTTAGCATAAGGCTCCTGTTATTGTTTCACAATCACCATTAATATATCTTATCTATTGTTTCAAGTTTATTTTTGTTAAATGGGACATTAAAAATTAATCAAACTTTACATGCAAGTACATGAAATGATAGCAAAGTAGATAATTTCCACCTCTAGTCCCGTTACTCTTATGTTTAGTAAGAAAAAGCAGCCTCACACTGCTACATAAAACTATTTATAAAGGACAAAAGAGGGTAATTAAACAGTGGTTGTTTGCCATTTGTAGTCTATAAGAGTTCAATGATGCTCGCTTTCAGTTGATAAGTTGACTAGAGTTAGCATAATGATGCTAAAAACAGACCTAAGCCAGGCTAAGCTAAACCAGCTAACTCTTTAGCCGAACTACAACAAATATGTTCCTTTTAGTCCTTTTTGCTGTTTTAAAGCCAGCATTAGTACATTTTTATTTATTGTTTGACATTTTTTCTTCTTCTTTTAAATAAAAAATTACATTTTAATTAACATTTACATGCAAATACATGAGATGACAGAAGAAGTGGCTAATTTTCACTTCTATGATTAATAAGTGTTTGCAATTTGTAATCTATAATAGTTATATCATTTTCCCTTTAAGTTGATAAGTTAACCAGCCCCATCATAAATACGCTAAAAGTAGAGTTTGAGTCACTAATGTCAAATTAGTAGCATAACTTCTTTCATCGTGCTGTAATAAACTGTTGTAGTTCGCTGACGACATGCTAGCTAATGCTAAAACGGCAAGACGAATGTGAGTAACCAAGGCAACCAGTGAGAACGCCGGTTCGGGCCTTGCCGCAGCCGAGTTGCGCGCGCATCCGCTCTGTTTACAAATTACCCACGCTAAGCTAAATAGGCTAATTGCTCCGCTGGGCTGTTGGTAAACAAACAAACGTATCTGCTAGCAGTGTCAGCTCACCTGTGTGTCCACTTCCTGTTTGTCCTCAGGCTCGGCTCAACTGTAAGCACTGCGGCAAGCCGGTGGTGGACGTCCGAGTCGGGATGCAGTATTTCTCAGAGTACAGCAACGTCCAGCAGTGCCCTCACTGCGGCAACCTGGACTATCACTTCGTTAAGCCTTTCTCCTCATACAAAGTACTAGAGGCTTATTGACAAACGTTGCAACACACGCTAGTTCAGATGCTTTTTGTTCTCATTTTCTAACACAATCTAGGAAAGATCTTTAATTTTCTGGGGCCTTAAAGGTGTTTTTTTTTATGATTTTAAGTTCTCCCTTTTAAAAACAAAATATGACGCAAGTGTGAGAGAGAAGTGTTGATAAAGTGTGGCGCACACACATTTATCTGAGACAAGTGAATGTACCTGTAAGCCAAATTTGCTTTTATTTTTTACCAAAACCGATCTTAAAATAAAGAGAAAGATTCACACTGATGATGCCGTCGCTCATTCTTTACATCTTCAACCTTTAGCAATTATTTCATTTATTTCCACACAGTTCGGAAAACTAAAACAAGCCAATCACATTCAGAATAAACGGAGAATATCCATGAGTAATCTGCAGCTTTTTCACAAAACCAGCCATATGTTCACACCCAAGACTATTAGGTTACAGGAATATCTGCTCTCATCGACTGTTTTACAGCTTTTATTCTGCCAGAGAGTTGAAGTTGCTGCTTCATTATCTCTCTTCTTGTCCTTGCACGTCTATGTAATCCTCGTCTCATCTTACAGCAGCGTCTTATTGCCTCTGCTTACTGAAACATGATTCAGTTCGGTCACTTTTAGGTCATTTTGAGTCTATTTCTAGTTCTTTTGCCTGTGTGTGCAGTGGATTTATCTTACTGTAAGGTCACTTACTAGTTTGTGGGTCTGGAGCATCTAAATGTGACCTGTGTGAACACTTTCATGTTTGTTCTGCTTGAGTCCAGTATTTTTATGTCATTTTAAGACTCACTAACCTCCCAACATGAGAACCCAGCTGCCTCCGTTGATAAATATGACCTTAACCGCTCTGATTCTGCTGTAACATTCAGGCACCAGACGGTTTGTCCGTGTGAAACCGTCTCTCCCATCACTGCTGCACGACTTCCTCCTTTGTGTCCGTGTTGCTAACAGGAAGTGTTTTACTGGCTTCAGGCTGCGCCTTCTCAGCTTTGGTCTTTGCTTTCTGCGCCAGCTCCTTGGCGGACGGCGGTCGGAGGATGCACATGGCCGTCTGACCTTCTCGTGTGACCTTTGGCTTGGAGACAAAGGCTGTCATCATGGTCATTTGCTCCACCATTCCCTCCAGAGTTTTGTCCTGCAGAGAGAACAACGTCATTAGATCTTATCAGAAAGTGTCCTTGCCAGAGTTGGGTAGTAACTGGTTACATTTAATCAAGTAACCTTTTGAAAAAAATTACTTTTAGGAGTATTTTTACTATGCTGTACTTTTTACTTTTACATGAGTAATTTTATTATAATGTATTTCTACTCTTGAGTAAAATTTCTGGATTTTCTACCCATTGAATGAATAAAAACATGTTTTAACCAAACATTTGCCAGACACACATACATCTGCAGTTTATATTAAAGTTTTATAAGTTTTAAAATGAAAAACACTGATTTGGGAAAATTTTCTTTTACCTGACTTTTTTTTTATTACTTGTATAAATTATTGTCATTTTGGTTCTTAAAAAAAACAAAATTCTCACATTTTGGTCCATCTGATTGTGTAATTTTAAAATATTGAATTGTTGATAATTTGATTAGTTAATCAGTTCTTAAGCAGACTTTTTACTAAATACTTTTTACTCTTACTTGAATAATTTCTTGGACATATAGTTTATACTTCTGAGTGAAAATATGTTGAAGTAGTGCTAATTTTTGTGTGCTCTACCCACCTGTTCTTACTGATTTCTGTGTTTTTGCTTTTTTTTGGCCACATTTGAATGTTTTATATCAAATTTAATTTAAAAAACAGTTTAGAGTGGATGGAAAGTTAAATCTTTACATGGCATATAGGAGAAAAGTAAGAAGACTATGCAAGGAAAATGTATTTACTAAAGTAGAACCATGAAGAAGTAAAATAATAATAATAAAGCAACAGATCACAGTCCAACCTCACAGTCTCACTGACAAACACAAAATCTTACCAAGTATTTTTGGTCCAGTTTCTATCAAAAATGTTAGTCCACTTGAAATAAAACTTACAAGTAACTTTTCTGCAAAATAGGAGCTTTTTAAAATGAATAACTCCTAAATATTGATTTTAAAAAGTTCCAGTTCTATTAGCAGATTATTTCACTTGTAACATGGGACAAATGTGTCACATAAGAAAAGTTAGTTTTGTTTACTAAGATATTTGAGTTGGAAACTAGACCCAAAATATTTACAGTGCTGGAAAGCATCACAAAACATTTTCTCAACTGGCAATTAACCTATTTACAACATCAGGCTAGTTTCCAAATGTTCATAAAATCCTTGCTTTGTTTGGTATTAAATATGTTTTTCTGATATGATCCATTTAAGAGGCTGAAAATTAATATTTGTGATTTAAAGGCTAAAAGGAAAATAAATTATCATTCAGAAAAAAATTCAATAAGTCAAAAGAAAAAAATCTATTTGCTAATAAATAGGTGATTTTTTTTTTCCTTTAGACTCAAGATATCTGTCCAGAAATGAAACCCAAACTTTTAAAATGATATAAATATTCCTGATTTGTGAGTAAAGCTCACCAGGTCATCACTGGGCTGGTTGCGTCTTCCCTGCAGCGTCAGCCTGACGTGATGTTTCTTCTCCAGCCAGCTCTCCACCTGTTTCAGCTTCGTGGACAGATCGTGGGACGCGATGCCGGCTGAGATGTTGAGCTGCTTCAGCTGGACAGGACCTGCAGAGATCATGGAGGGAAAACCTGAGTCAGAAAACCGTCAGCACGCTCACTCATTTTCACTCTCGTGAAACAATCACTGATCTCAACTTGTTGCCATTTTTGGTGCCTGACAGGAGCGTGAAATAAATGAAGAGTAGCAACCCTGCTGATACAAATCTGAAGTAAAAGTATTTTTTTATAAAATTGTTTTTATATTTTCTGCTTTTGCAGAAAATCTAAATGACAAAAAATTGGACCAGAAGTAACATTTGTATGAATGTTTTATTTTTCATAGGAACATGTTGCAAAAACTGCAATAATAAATGTCAAACCAGCAAAACTTTGTAACAGTTGCTCTTTCTACTTTACCATCTTTGTGTAGATCTTAGTTCTTAATTGTGGCTTGGTCTATTCAAAAACTTTTATTTTGTTTGCTTGAAGTTGTTTTTTGGTTTATTTGAATGCATGTTGACTCATTTTATAGAAAAACTCTGAACTTTCTGGGTCAAAACTGACCTATATTTGAACTTAATAACTGTTATCCACCTTGACTCAGAGCCAACAGTAGAAATGTGAGCCCAGAGCATGATGCTGCCTCTACCAGGGAGTTTCTTTTGGTCCTGTTGTTTTTGTATCAGACGCCCACTAAGTTTTTTTCTATTATTTTAGTCATACCTGAATGTTTTTGTTAGGAGAAAAATCTTGTGATTCTCTCTAGTCCTAACATTTAGAAAATGGAGGAGATCATCTTAACTTTTAAATAAAACTTATAATTTCCAGCTGTTTGAGTAATTTCCGTCTCGTTTTACATTAATTTTATCACCGTTTTTTAAAATACGTTCCATGGTTTATCGATAATGCTGATGATGTTGCTCATCTACTGACTGATGTCTTTGAACAATTATGTCATTTTTATTCTCTGAAATCTCTGCAGATTATAGCTATAACTGAAGATGGAAATATTAGAATAAATCCAGCAGGGAAAGCTGAGTTTTATTTCAGGCTAATCAGATATATGGCAGCTGCAAATTCAGTTAAAATTTAAATTAAATCATGCCTCAACAAAGTGTCAGCACTTCTATACAAACAAGTAACTGCACCTTTTGATTATTTTATATTTTAATACTTATCAAATTTTTAGTTGTCAGATAAAACATATTGTTTCTTTTATCCGTATGAAGTGAATAGTTGTGATCTTCTGGACATTAAAGCGATTTAGGTTTCATACCTGTTTTTGCCTTATTTTGCTCACGGAGTCTCAGCTGCTCCTCATGGATCTGTTTCCCGCTCATCAGCTGGTACACCGGCGGCTCTTTGTCTTCCCTCACCAGCACCAGCTTCAGATTCTTCTCGTTCATGATTTTGATCACGTCGGAGCGATGCATCAACCCCAGTTCCTCTCCCTCCTCATCGATCACCTGGATCTCTCTGTGAGGGATCTTCCGCCCGACGCTGCTGATGGAGGCGTTGGCGCGAGGATCCTGCTTCTTCTTCTTCTTCTTCGCTGCTGGAGTCGGTTCTTCTGTAGGAACCTCCGTGGAGAACGCAGATGGTCTCCAGGACGAAGAGACGATGTCGTGTCTTTCACAGAGTCCGGCTGATCTCAGAGCTGGTGTCCGGTAGCCGGGCCTGCCGCCGCACACGGCTCTCACCGTGTGGCCCAGAAGCCACCGCACACAACCTGCAGACATTTCCTGCACACAACAACCGCAGTGAAAGAAATTAATTAAAAAAATAAAAACAAATTAATGCTAAAAATGTAGAAGAGTAACAACCCCAAACCACTTCTCACTGAAATCACTTCCATTTGGAAACAATATCATAATATGGTCGATAAATTCTGAAAGTAATTATTGCTTTGGGCTCTAGCTCCATAGACTATTTTTAAACCTGGCCACTTTTTACTGATTATTCCTATGTATAAGTGGCACATATGATTATTTATTGATGCATTTTATTGGCTATGTTTGGCAATTATGGAATTGGAAAGTAAATCAATAGCAATATCAATAGATCAGGATGCACAACATTTATTACATTTTCAACAGTGTGGTTCGCTTTCACACTGCACTGTGTCAGCTGAATTAAGTTTTGGCACATCCACATTGTTTAGTTTTTAGCTTCTGTTCGATGCCTGAATGATTCAACATTGATGAAATGGATCAGGTATGTCCCAGTGGAGACGTAAGAAATCGCTGATTGCTCTGCGGCTCGTTTTTACTTTGAATCGAAAGTTATTCTGGCTTTAACGTGTTTTTTTAAAAAGATGAACGTTCTCGGTGATATTAAAACGCTTTCATTAATGTTGTTGTGCTTTTGATCATGTTATAGAGCTTAAGCAAATTGTGGTTTCAATTTGAACCTCAGGGCCACCGTACACCCTGGAGCCAGGCTGGGGCGCTTTGGGAGCCCCTGGTGGCCAGTGGCTGATATGACAATAAAAATCCTTTAATCCCTGAACAATATCAACTATTTGTGCATCGAGAAATACACTTAGCATACTAAGGTAAATGTTATTTAATTTAGTTAAGAATAATTATCGTACTATCAATAAATGACTTCTAATGCATGTTGTTAGTTGGCAGAGCAACAATAACACCTTTATCAGCTCAAAGGTTCAAACTGATGAAAAGTGAGGATGGATGCTCTCTGCTAAAATATTCCTCGCCATCTTCCATGTTCTTTCAGCAAACAGTGGAGACAGAGTTGTTTTTGGTTTCTCCACCATTGACCTGCTACTTTACCCGCCATTGAAAGTTTTATTAAAGTTTGTCTGCTAGTCTGCAGCTCATGTGACCAAAGCAGGCGAGGAGGTGAAAGGTTAAAACAGTCAACATTGTCTTGTTGGGAAACCCCAAGATCACTGGGAGTCTAAAAAGATACATTTTATTATTATAGTTCATTTTTATCTCCAAAGAGTGGTGCTGCAAAAGTTTGAACAATCACAACGGACTGATTAGTGTGAAAAGATGTTCAATATTATTTTATTTTAAACACTTATTGAATGCTGAAACACCTATTCATTGATATTTTAACAATTGAATTGGTTTTTATCAATGCAACCTGGCACAACATTCAGATTTTTGATCTGGGCCCAAATGGAAATGAGTTTGATGTCCCTGACATAAGACAAGAGACTCATGGACTATTTTGACTGTAAACAAGATATTTGGAGGTGGAATGATGTCACACCGCCAGCAAAGGATTCTGTGATGTCACTGGCGATGCCGTCTGTGATGTCATCAACTGCAGAATTGTATGTAACACAATTCTGCATATTTGTCATTGCTCGCAATACTACTGACCAGTTCAGACGCTCGTAAACTCTTTAAGATATTTTATCGACGATTTCATTGATAGTGTTTGAGAAAATGTCTCAGCAAGGTGCAAGATCAACCATGATGGGATTTAATCCAAGGAGGGGAAACCACCAACACCCCAAGGCAGGAGCTCTACTGCCAACCCTGATGATTTGGAAAAAGAGATCCATCGACTGAACGGCCTTTTAAACAAGGAAAAGGCCAAAAGGATTGCAGTGAGAGAGAAACTGGAGGAAGAGCTCCAAGAGATGGAGTTTCAACTCAAGAAGCAGGAGGAACTGAAAGTTGGCTATTTTGATCAGGCCTGCAGAGCGAAGGCCGAACTAGAAAGCCTGCAGAAGTTCAGAGATGTGGAAGTCCTGAAATTTGATGTGATCGCTTCTCAGGCTCAGATTGAAATCAACGATATGGAGAAAGAGGAAATTCAGCAGAAATATGAACAAGTGAGGGTCTCCTGCTTTCACACAGTTGAAGCTTTTATGGATGAACTACATGAAGAGAAAGAGAGGAATAAGGCCCTAGAGGAAGAACTGAAGGAGCTCCAAACATCGTACCAGGAGCTCAATGCTAAATATAACGCGGACATGGCACAAAGGAGGGAAGAAGCAAAGTCACAAACACTTTACGAGAAAAAGATTAGTGAGAAACAACAATTATTGGATAATGCAAAAACCGAGATAGAAATGATGAGGAATGAAATGTCGGGGAAAATTGAGGCGATGCAAGAATCGGAACAAATTTTACAGAGAGAATTGGAGGAATCTAAAAAATTGTATCATGATCTGATGTTGACTCATGAGAAAGAAATCTCAATCCTCAAACAGACCTGGAGCGATGCCAACAGGAGCTAAGGCAAAAAAAAAAAAATAATTTAGAAAACCTCTTGAAAATTAAGGAGCTGACCGACGAACTTAAGCCGAGAGACAAAGTGCAGAAATCTTGAAGAAGCAAATAACAGAAGACAGGAGATTATACCTAGAGAACACAGAGGAGAAAAAGAAGCTCATCGACATATTGGAAATGAAAAACACTGTCCTGCAGAAAACATCAAAAGTTGAGATAAAGTGCCTGCAGGACAAACTGAGCAACGTCATGGAAGAAGTAAAAAAAGTGGACATTTTGTATCAAGACCTCTCCATCAAATATGAAAGAGACATCAGTTCACTTAAAAAATCAGCCGAACGAAACCAAATTAAACGTTTTTTTGTGGATAATATTGTTGAGTCTACGAACGATTTACTGTCAACCAACACAGCGAGTCCTCAAGAAGAAGAGGAAACATCAGTCGGCCATGTTGACCCGATTAATGAATCAAATGATAACATGGATTCAGACGAGGAACAACCTGGACAACCTGAACCACAACCAGAACCAGAACCAGAACCAGAACCAGAACCAGAACAAGAACAAGAACCAAAACCAGAACCAGAACCAGAACCAGAACAAGAACAGGAACCGGAACAAGAACCAGAACCAGAACAAGAACCAGAACAAGAACAAGAACAGGAACAAGAACAAGAACAAGAACAGGAACCGGAACAAGAACCAGAACCAGAACCAGAACCAGAACAAGAACAAGAACAAGAACAAGAACAGGAACCGGAACAAGAACCAGAACCAGAACCAGAACCAGAACAAGAACCAGACCCAGAACAGGAACCGGAACAAGAACCAGAACCAGAACCGGAACAAGAACCAGAACCAGAACCAGAACAAGAACCAAAACCAGAACAAGAACCAGAACCAGAACCAGAACCAGAACCAGAACCAGAACAAGAACAAGAACCAGAACCAGAACAGGAACCGGAACAAGAACCAGAACCAGAACAAGAACCAAAACCAGAACAAGAACCAGTACCAGAACCAGAACCAGAACCAGAACCAGAACAAGAACCAAAACCAAACCAGAACCAGAACCAGAACCAGAACCAGAACAAGAACAAGAACCAGAACCAGAACCAGAACCAGAACCAGAACCAGAACCAGAACCAGGACCAGAACCAGAATCAGAACCAGGTTGTTCTAAGGACTCTGACACCATTGAGAAAATCGTGACTCAAGAAGAAAGTGATCTTCAGGATATAGATGGTAAAAAGAAACCGAAAAAAACTATTTGGAAAAGAATAAAAAAATTTCTAGGTTTTAAATCAAAGAAAAACAAACAGTGAGAAGGATAAGAGATTCGTTCAGTATTTATCAAAAACTTTATAGTTTTAAAGTTTTAAAATTTTATGGTTCTAAAACCTTATAGTTTCAAAGTTCTAAAACTTTATAGTTTTAAAGTTTTAAAACTTTATAGTTTTAAAGTTTTAAAACTTTATAGTTTTAAAGTTTTAAAACTTTAAAGTTTTAAAGTTTTAAAACTTTAAAGTTTTAAAAGTTCTAAAACTTTATAGTTTTAAAGTTTTAAAACTTTAAATTTTAAAACAAAGTTTTAAAGACAGAACTTTGTCTTTAAAAAGAGTTTTTCCCCCGATTGACAAAATAGATCCTCCCAACCCAACAGAAAAATGGTGGGCAGCACGGTGGCGCAGCGGTTAGCGCTGCGTCTTCACAGACACCATCTGTGTGGAGTTTGCATGGTCTCCCCGTGTTTGCGTGGGTTTTCCCCGGGCGCTCCGGTTCCCCCCACATCCCCTAAAACATGCAGGTCAGGTCAGTTTGTCACTGCAAATCGTCCCCAAAACAGTTTATAAACTCCAACAATGTTCAGTTTTATTGTTAAACTTGTAAAATTAATTGGCATTTTCCCTCCACTGGTTTAGTGATAGAGGCTCATTACTGCAACACTCAGCTAAATATTTATAGCAACGTGTTGATTAAAATTTCCTCTTTTAATAGTAATGATTTCTGTTTATTTTCACTGTACTTGTGCTTTCATGGTTTGACCTTTGGTTGACCTTTTCACATTAAATTGTCCTAAATTGTAGCTCGTTATGCTGCGTTTAAACCTGTATTTTAGAGAAGATTAGCAAAAGGATCACGCAGTGGCGTCTTTAGGACGACTGTGTCTCTGTGGGTAAATGGACTTCTTGTGACCAGAAGGTTGTCAGTTTGATTTCAGCTTTCTCGGATTTAAAAAGTCAAAGAAAAACAAAGAGTGAGAAGTATAAAGAAGATTAATTAGGATTATTATTAGAATAAAGACATTAAAGAGAAGAACTGAGGACCTCTGTGTTTGGGGCAAGTTTTAAGGTTTTAGACACGAGAGGCGTCACTAACGTCAGTGTGATCGCAAAGCATCATGGGGGATTAGCTCAAATGGTAGAGCGCTCGCTTAGCATGCGAGAGGTAGCGGGATCGATGCCCGCATCCTCCAGCTTTTCGTTTTTAGTTTTTGTCTTTACTTTTCCGTTTAACTGCATTTTCATTGATGTTCGTTGACTTTTTTCATCCGACACTGTTAAAAATACTCCCAAGCTAGTTGTGTAGTTTTGTTGTGGAGCCTACCGTCAATCACATTCACACATTGGTAGGGAGAACATAACGACATTTGTCGGTGCTAAATACTCAATGACTAATTTTTTGCACTTTTCATTTATTAAAATTAGTCAAAATAGCGGCACTTCTCTACAATCTCCAGTAATTCCTTCAAATCCGCATGAAATCCGTGGCAATAAACGCTTCATGACGGAAAAACCGCAGTGCATTCAACTAAAATGATGCGCTTTACCTGTAATTAAACAATGCACAATAATATATTAACAGTAATACGAGTGAAAGGTATAATACTGGCATATTTAAGAGAAAGAAATAAGAAGGTGGAAGGCGATTGGTCAAAAGTAAGCCAACCAGCTCGGCATGTGATTGGCTCACCGGAACATGGCTCGCGCACCGATTGGCTGGCTGGGGCTTACTTTGCTCAAACATCGAGTTGCTGTCGATGGGAGCAAGAGGTAGCGGGATCGATGCCCGCATCCTCCAGCTTTTCGTTTTTTAGTTTTTGTCTTTACTTTTCCGTTTAACTGCAGTTTTAACAGTTTTTATTGATATTCGTTCTTTTTTTTTTCATCCGAAACTGTTGCTACTTCCAAGTTATTTGTGTAGTTTTGCTGTGGAACCTACAATCAATCACATTCACACATTGAGAGAACATAACATTTGTCTTTTGCTGCTGAGGTGACAAGAAGTCAATAAAGGTTAATATCCGAGCGTTAGAGTCTGAACTGAACATTCACTGTTTTCCACTCTTTTATTTCTACTCCACGGCTCTAAAATAGACAGTAAGGTTACGCTTAAAGCTGCTAAAAAATAAAAATCGCCAGTGAATTTTATCAAATTAACGTTAGCTGTCTGATTTCTAAATGCAATTGTACACAGATAATGAGTACAATGCAATTTATAGTCAACAAAATGATAAAAACAGTCTGTTTATGGAGAGTTTGCTTTTAAATTGTCTTCAAACACTTAAAACTGACCTCCAGCAAACCCCCGGAAAAACAGCGTTTCAAACAAACGTTTTAAAAAACAAAAACTCTTTCTAATATGCATAAACTACATTTCCTCCGTGTGTCAAATACATCTGCACATGTTTTACCTCAGTAGTGAATTGTTTTTCAGACCTCTGTGAGCAGCTGCAGGGTGACTGTGTCCACTTCCGCCTTGCACTACTTCACGGGACTATGCGTCAGAAAAAGCGCTCTGCTGCCCCCTGGCGGCCAGGACACGGAAACGGAACCCAAAATTAGCAAAACAAATTCACATTCTGCACGTTTCAGACGTTTTCTCGCTTCAGCAGCTCGGGATTTAATAAGTGGGTCAAAAACAGATTACAATTAATACAAATTTATGAAAGTCAAACTAAACATATATATAAAATTCCTTTTTCGAAATTTGAAGGCTGCACCAAATGTGAATTTTTATTTATTTTCTTTAATTTATTTTTTGGAGAGTTTTTAAAACAAAATACACATGTTGCAGTGGGTTAAACCCCTCTTTTGCACAAATAAAAGCCCACGCTTCATCATAAAAATCTATATTACAAATCAGGCCTTTAAAGAAGGCATAAACTGACAGAAATGGAAATCTGACACATCTAATTGGGGATATGCAAATATTATCTTTGCAAAAGCATCTGGAGGATTTTGGAGCTGAAGTTAGCTTGTTTCGGAAGTATTACCAACACTGCAACATCCCCTTTAAAATAAAGTAGCTTACCTTGAATTATCACAATAAAATGCATTTTAAAAGTAGCAATTTAACTTGAATATTTTTCTAATGTATTTTAAAGTCAAGACTGGTTTTGGAAAAAGTTTAGTTTCTTTTCTCTTATTACAACGAATTGGTGAAGATTGTTGGGCTTAAATGTTTTGGGCTATAATTGTTTTCATTTGTTGTTTTGAGGGTATTGATCTAAATACCACCTTTTAAAAGTAAGTATAATTTCATTAAATAAGACGACATTAAAAGATGTTTTTCTGTCCATACTGACATAAAAATTGTGGTGTTAGCTCCATTTCTGTATCAAAACATTGAAATAAAGTTGCAGTCTTGCTTGAAACATCAAATTAAATGGAGTTGTCTTTTTTTTTCACTGCTCTTTAAAGACATAGAGTTGCTTTGTGCCTCTATGGAAGATATCAATCATCTCATGTAAATCAAAACATATTAATGTCCCTCAGAAGGAAATTTGATGGTGATAGAGTTCAGAACTTCAGGATGTTTCTCTGTCATACCTGTCAGGTCAAGGGAACAAAACCTATAAATAAATAAATCAAGCAGAGAGATAAAGCAGCTGCGTCTGAGAAATAAAACACATGCAAACCAGATGGTGAATCCATCCCTGCTACCTGGAAAACAAACAGACAGCAATAGATACAAGCAAACAGAAATGAAACAGCAAAGTGCAAATGTAAGGGTGGATTTAAATGACCTTGAACAGGTGAGCGGCTGGAGAGGAGCTCCACGAATGAAGTGGAAATATATTTTAGATAACATTTTCATCTCTCAGGCTGAACTATAAATACCTCAAGTTTGAAAAAACGGAGACAGAGGACTTTATATCCCAGTTTAACTGCTGGAAAGATGAAAAAACAACAACTTAGGCAACAGTACATACTCTGTAACTTATATTTTATGACAATAAATAGTTCATTACAGGTAAAATACATTAGATGTAAGCAATATTTTCATATTTTCCTTCATTATTTGATATTTTTAGAGCAACTTTAGACTTAAATCTTTATAGTAGAATCTGACGAACTGAAAGAACTGATAAAACAAATAAAATACAGAAATAAGGAGCAGAGCAGGGACAATTTAGAGTGTTGCACAGATATTAATGAACTCAGAGTATCAGAAATCGAGAGCAGAGTTAATGAACTAAGTTGATAAAATCAAGTTTATGTGAAATAATAAAGAGATAATGTACATAACTGAGAGCATTCAAAGGAATCTGAATCTGAAAGAGCTTCTTACAAAAAAATAACACAAAGATCTAAATAATTTAACAAAAAGGATCAACTTTCCTGGACCAGAACAATGATTTATTTTCCATTGGATTTCAGATGTTATCCAAATGTTTGTATCTCAAAGGAAACAGGATAAAACCAACTGGGTTTCCTCAGTCGATCCTTTTTCTTTATTATAAGTTTATTCTGTTTTTCATTTCAATAAACTTTTTGTTTGTTGAATTACATTCTTTCTGGATGTAAACATTACTTAGCGGAGAATCCAAAAATTAAACTCAAGTAAAAGTACCGCAATTTCAAAATATTTTAATAAATAATAATCCTTGATAATAATATTTAATGAATATTATAATAAAGAAGAAGAATAAGTGCCTTAAATCTATGAGAGAAAGAAAATGGGGGCTTTTGTAGCTTTTTTACAAGTTCACTTTGAAAAATAGAAATAAATAAAGTTTTAAAGATTAGGAAATAAGCTGTTGCGTTTACTTCCTAATATTTGTTTTGACATTTCTTAAGCCTGTAACACAATCATTGTAAATAATAGCAATAATAATAAAGTTCGGTTAGGAGAAAAAAAATTTGTCTCAAGAATCAATGAGCTATTGAAGCAAAAATGTGATTCCTACTAATCCTTTGCATAAATAGGACAGCAGCACAGTCACCGCTGACGACATCCTGAGGATGTCAGAATTTGCCAGCCAAAATATTTGACGCTGATAAATATGCAAATGTTGTTTGCAGTTTCATTTGGCAAAAAGGCTCAAGTGACTCTGGTCGCTTGACACTGACCAGCAAAGACTGAAGTCCAAAACCTCTGATAGTGACAGCTGATTATTTTTAAGTTTTTATTATTTTACAGGTCTGTCTGTGATATTTAAATTAACCAGACTCAAACTCAATGCTGGGAAACCAACATGCCTCGACAAAGTTGGATAATTCAGGTTTTCCTCGTCGGCTGTTTGTGGATTCTTCCTGATTGTAAGTAAACATAATTTTTTTTCAAGTTACAGTGAAGGATTTCAAATTTGTTGCATCTAAAACTGTATTTAATGTTTTTAAAATTTATGTTTTAACATAATACAAGAGTCCTAGTTGCTGCACAGGTAAATGATTGGCTATCTTTTTAAAGTCTCGTCTCAACAAGGGCAGACACAAGGCAAACCAAACCCTACGATTCCTGGCTCTCAGCAACTTGACAAACTCAGAAACTGCTTACAGGACGGAAACATAAATTATGTTGTTGCTGACAACTTCTACGGCATCATCAATACGACTACCCACTTCTCAGCTAAACTCTCAGGTGAGGTCAAAGCTCGTCCTGTTTGAATTCATAGGGGTGCATCAACATTATCACCAGCAAAAATAACCAAATACAAGCTTCTCCATCTGAGTTTCATTGTTATTAATCTATCAGACACTCGAACGGCCAAAACAGTTTCCTTTGTTAGACGAGCAGCATTTGGTGTTTATTCTCTCATAATCACGTTAGTTTTTCTGGTGTGAAGGAATAACTTAAAGTAAAATTAATCTTTTGAATATAAAGCAGCTGCACTGCAAAAACCAAATGGTTTTAAAGATAAAGTTGTTGGTGAGTTTATGACCTGGTCATGAGTAAAAAGAAAGATAACTACATTTAATTTTGTATGTTTGTTATCCTCTTTCTCTTTGCCTTTAGACTCTATCTGATTCATACGGAACTACATTACTGCCACTGAAAAAAAGCAACTCTACGTTTATCTCAGAGTTCTGACATTCTTGCAAAATTCTGACTGTAAACTCAGAATTTTGACTGTAACCATCAAAACTGACATTTTGACATTCTTTGCAGAATTCTGACTTTTAATTGCAGAAAATTCTTTTTTTTTTTCCCAGAGGCTGAAATACTCTTCCATATATTCAAATTTGGTCTCTATAATAAAAATATTTTCTGCCAGTCAGGAGAGACTGTCTTCAGACCTAAATGTACCAGGTCTATGAATAATTTTGGGCGTATCTCACCTTTACTTTAAACTCTTAAATGATTTGTACACCTTGATTTTCAGTGAAACTCAGAAGCATCAAGCTAATGCTAAAAGCTGCATTAACCACAGAAACTGGAACCGAAACATTGGTGCTATTTAAATGTGCTATTTTACAAAAATAAAACATTGTTTAATTTTCTGTCAAATTATCACAGGCAACAATGGACCGATTCCGGACGTGTTACTGAATGTTGTTGGAAAGATCTTGAAGGAACTCAACAACACATTACCCAGTAAGACGAGTCTAATTTTTTTTAATGGACACCATTGGGTTGACGTAATACAACCCAAATCTCCAAATCCTTTTAGAAACATTCATGTAGGTCGGACTGGTGACTCAATCAGCTAATATTAAGAGAATTTGTTGAAATTGGCCAAAATATATTATCCAACTTTTAACCCCAAGATGTTCTACATCAAACCCAGAGAGCTAATTAACATGGGGCAAGTTTCCAGGTAGTTTCCCATCTGTATGGCTCTAAATGAAATGTTGATGGTTATAGTCTGTGTAACTTTGTTTTTCTTCTCTTAAATTAAAACAGGCGATGACCAACTGCCACCAGGTCTGAGAGAAGTATCTGGCAATGTTAAAAAACTGTTGGAAAACATTGGTAAGAGCATTTCTCCAATGAAATAAAATTGTATTATAATGTATTAAAGCATTTCATTGCTGTGTTGAGCCATAAAATGTCTGTTTCTCACTTTCTGCATAGCAGAAATACCGTTCTTTAAGTTTTAGTATATTGAAACTCTTTTGTGCTCTCTTTATAAGATAATAATGGGAATAAGTTTGGTGTTTCTTTGGACAAACTCAAAGAACTTGGAAATGCTGTTGGTAAGAACATTTAAGTATGTCACAAATTATTATAATATCATTGGTGTATGGAAGTTTAAAAGATAATTTGTTTCTGTAATACAATCCTTGATTCTACGAGCAGAGGTAGGCTAACAGAGGGTTATCATGGGGAACTGATGCATTTCCAACATGTAGTACAATGAAAAATCTCAACACATTCAGACCTTCTTGTAATAATTCAAAGTTGACTTTGCTTAAGATTTCAACAAGTGGCAAAATCCCATCACTCTACCACGTGGAGGATCTGCAGCCCCCTCTGAACAAGGTTCGATTCCCAACCCCAGGCCATTTACTGCATGTTCTGTTCTTCTTCCTGTCAATCTTCTAATGAATAAATGTCGTATTAGTGTCAATAATACCTTAAAAGAAAGATGCTTCTTTACTTTTCTAGTTAATGCATGATCTTTTTAAAGGAATGTTCTTTCATTTTTCCCAATTCACTTCACTGTCCGAAGAATCGTTTAATCAGTAAAAGTTTGAGCTCACATAAATTATGTGCGTTAAGTTGATGTTAATGTTTTTTTCTGATTAATTAAAGCACCTGAAGCTGAACTGCGGCCAATTTTCAACTTGCTAAATCCGACTGTCCCAGTTCTCATGAGTCTACTCACAAAAAGGGAGTCTGGTAATAACACTAACACAATGCTGAATGTGCCAAAGAAACGATTTATTTCCATCAGTGTAATGAGGCAACAGTTTGATGAATTATGGCATGAAGCAGCAATGAGTGATTTCCTAATAAGTAATAGCCAAATTAATCAGGGAATTGCTGTGAATAACCCTAACCCTAACTAGATGATGATTGAGAAAACCAAATGCAGCTAAACAGAGATTCTGTATTTTTTAATGTAAATTGTCGGTTTTTGTTTTTAAACAGACAATGACGAAATCGTGCAAAGTGTACTTGAGAATATTCCAGATCTTATCAAGCTATATCTGAACCAAAGCACTGGGACCTCTGGTAAGATCCTAAATGCACTAATTAAAATGTAAATTCATTTATTAAAATATAATTTATAGTATGCATAATTTGAACTTAGTCGAAATCGTAAATTGTTTTTTAAGCACTCTATATTTCATTTGCCTTTCTTAACACTTTAAGTTTTTTATTTAAATTGCTGCTTTGTTACAATTTTTGGCTCCAACAATGTAACCATGGATGTAATTTCCAATTGTTAAATCTTTGCTTTGCCTTTTCCAATAAACTGACATGAGATTGATTGACCTTTTCTTGTAAAGATGTGAAAAGTCTCAATTTGACTCGTCCTTTGAATTGGGTCACAGACACAATTACTACTGGAACTGGTAAGTACATCGTGGTAAAGTTATTATAAAACATCCATTTAACTTCTTTTAAATGATTTGGTAAAAGTTTCGAACACAGATTCAATGAAGAAAAGATCTTTTGCATTGTCTTTAGCAGAAAGGCAGCAGTGTGTGATATTCCTACAGAAAAATGAATCAAAACACCGTAAGCTGAGCTTGAAACGTCAAACTTGAAAATTCAATAAAGCTCACATCATAAATGTAAAAAACTGAAACGAGTTCATTTTAACTTGCAGAAAAATTGTGGAAAGCGTGGCCACAAGTGAACCAAAACTTTACACTCTACATTTCAAAACTTCTTGCCCAGAAAAATGTGGAAATTCGTGCTATGAAAGGAAAGAACTGCCTAAATTCAACTGGTAAATAATTTTATTTGATTTTCTTTTTCTTACCCAGTACATGTCAGTGTTTATGAGAGATTATATAAGTTAAAGTTAAAAGCATTGCTGTCAAATTTGATGTTTTATTTAATCTTTGTGGTTTTCATTAATGCCGGAACCGATAAGAATTGTGCATGTATGGAAATATGACTACAAAAGAAGTGTGTAAATCAGGGACTGCATATGATAAGAAGGCCTGTGAAAACAAAAGTAAGTATGATAAAAACCAATTTAATAACTACATCTGATTTTTATTGATTATTCACTTCAGTTTGGCTGCATTGATTCCTTGTGATTATTGGTTTGCTGTGTGGCCCTTAAATGCTCACTGGTTTTTTTTACCCTGCCGTTTTAACATTAGCTAGCATGTTGCATGTTATTCCACTAAATTGACGTTACACTCTATAAAGTGTTTTTGGCTGTAGTTCATTTTATTGACTTATTTACATTCATCTCACTTAATTCATGTGGTTTGATGACGGTCAGTTAAAGTAAAAGTTACAAATCTAACTCACTTAAATCAACTGAAAGGAATTTACTTCACTTGAAACAATTGAGTTCAATTAACCAACTAATTGACCAATTAAGTTTATCCAACTCAATTTTGTAGGTTTTCATAACTTCATTAAATGTGTTCAACATTACAAATTGAAATCACTCTTATGCAAATAATTTCTTTATTTGAAGTGAACTAAGTGAATCTGAGTAAGACTGATTTAAATTTGTTATTTTAAAGACACTTAATGAATTCAGTTAAAAAAACTTAGTAGATTGAGTTTCATAAATATGAGTTGTTAAACTTATTAAATGAAGTTAGGTAAACTTAATTTAGTCACTTGTTACCAATTGAAGAAATTCAACAAGTTGGTTCAACTAATTCCTTTTTACAGTGTTAAAGAGCAACCATAACGATTCGTCAGGAAATTTCTCACATATTGTATAGAAAATGGAAACACTGACAGATTAAATGCATGAAATCTATAACCTATTGTTATTTTTGTGAGAATTGTTTGTTTACATTTGTGATTATAATTATGAATGAACTGATAACTTATTCGCTGTTTTATTGACTTTTAGACTACGAAGACAAGTACATCATAAACATAAATGAAAATATCGCCAAGTGTGTCAACTGTGACAATCCAGTAAAAGAGCCTGATGAGACCATTAAAATTAACACCACTGCTTTTGACGATGATGCAGGAGAAGTTGACGCATCCAAAGCTGCGTAAGATATGAAATAAATCCTTTTGAAAACTTTCATGCAGCTACATTAAAATTTACCTGGCGATACATGTTGATCTACTAAAATGAGATTATTTTTGTTCAACTAAATGATACAAAAGCACGACTCTATGCTTTTACAGTGGAGCAAAATACATTTAGGTGTTATTCACCTATATTTAGGTGATTATGGTCACAATATTCTTTATATTTCAGAGAACTTATGGATAGCATGGCAAACTTACTCTCCAAAATGAATGGGACTTCAGCTGAGCTGTCAGTGGCGAAAGGCGTCGAAGGCGTCATAGTGAAGAAAACCGATCCTGCAGAACTGAACGAGGTTTCCTTTGCTTACAAGACTCCAGCTGAAAAACTGAAAGTGAGTTCTGACTTAACTTACATTCACTCTGCAGACAGAGGTCAGATTGAGCAGGATTATATGCTTATTATGTGCTAAACTAATAACCTTCTCAAATTAGTAATACTATGCACTTAATTGCATTTTTTTTCTTATTTATTTTTTTACAAAGTCTCTAAAACTTTGTTCTACCTACAGATTGTAGAAGACTCTAAAAGTCTTGAAGCATTTTCCAGATCCGTCTCCGTGTCGAAGGAAGCGTTTGAAAAGGCCATCGGTCCAAACGGCTCTCTACCATTCGTAGCTGTTCTCCGGTTTTTGAACTTGACTCAGGTATGGAAAAGGAACCGATAATGTTTTGTCGTTTTGTGTCACAATTAATGCTTCAGAATTTACATACATGTTGAAACTATAATTATCTACTGACGGTTTATGAGACAGATAATCTGTGAAAAAATCAAGCTCCTCTGCCTTCAACCAGTGCTAACTAGAAACAACCAATCAGAGTCAGGAGGCGGGCCTTAGCGCTGCCAATCAAGGCTGCATGCGCACCCCTCATCCCTTCTCTTCTCCTTGCTCTCTCTAATTCTAGCTAGCATGGCCAACAATAATGGAAAATAAAGAGTTTTCCTGTAACGTTGTATTGTTTCTCCACCATTAACAGATTTAGCAGCGAGTACACAATATTAATTGACAGCACTAAGACCCTCCTCCTTGTTTTGATTGATTGTTTTCGGTGCATTTCTTGAGACAGCTAAATAACTGAAGGAGGAAGTGGAGGAGATTGATCTTTTCACAAATTATCTGCCTCATATCATATTGTCACTGTCTGGTGACAGTTTCAACAAATATGTAGAAAACATTTTTCAATATGAAAGTTACATAATTCAGCTTTAAACATGTGTTTTATCTCCAGGATGAGATGAACAGCACTGTTCTTTACAACGAGGTTGTTGCAGTTGAGATGGGAGCTCAGATCAAGAATCTCACCGACACAATAAGCATCAATTTCAAGAATGCAGAATTTGTGAGTTTTAATTGCAATTTTTTTTCTTTAATTTTTTATCTCTTGCATTTAAAAAAAATCCCTTCTATTGTTCCAAGAGACATGTTCAGTGTTTCTCTCTTTTACTTTCAGGACAAGTTTTATCCAAACTGTAGCTCATGGAACGGTGAAGGTAATTCCCTTTTACAAGTTGATAAATTAGGGGTTAGAGTTAGAATATAAATTATCTGTAAAGACTCAGCCTATTCTGTGAAGCAGCAGCGGCTAACAACATAGCAATAACTCATTATTTTTGGAATAAAGTTTGCAAAAGCATTGAAAACCTGAGTTTTTATCATTTTACTGCATAAAACCAATTTGTTGCTGATGCTTAATCCCCTCCATATAGAACCATTTTATAAGCATTTATCATTTCTGAAACCAAACTCTCTTTGAGAACTTTTTCCAGAGAAAAATTAAGAAAACAGAATGTCTTAAGTGCTTTCCTGTCAGTTGCACAGAAATACTGTACTGTGTTTGATAAAATAATGTAAAAAAAGACTTTGACAAATTGAAATTTCTATATTTGTAATATTTATTTTTATACTTCTAACCATAGTAGCTACATGTTTCTGTCTTGCAGGAGGAAAACCCAACTGGACTTCTGAAGGATGTGAAACTGTAGTCGATGGGAAAAACATCAGATGTGAATGTTCGCATTTGACGTTTTTTGCTGTTTTACTGGTACAGTTTTTATTTTCACACATTATTCATCAATCAATCGTAAATATCTGGATGGAAACTCTCCTTTTTCTTGTCACAACACAAATCATCCCTGTAACATTTCTAACTCATGCTATAAAAGGCAACGTTGTTTTTATTTTTGTTTGTTTGTTTGATTTTTGGTTCTTACAGACTCCCATAAACCAAACCATCTCCAGCTCTGACCTGAACATCCTCACCATCATCACACAGGCCGGCTGCGGACTGTCCATTTTCTTCCTCGGCATAATCCTCTTCATGTACTGCCTGATAAGGTAGGAATCAATGACAAGGCAAAATATGCATTTATAAATACACATTTCTCCACTTTCCCACAAAGAGGGCAGACTTTTCTGTAATTTTGAAGTGTAATTTCCAAGAATTAGGGTGATTTGTTTTCAGATATATGAATTTCATTTGGGGTAATATGTATCTAATTACTAGTTAAATAATTTAAAACTCCATTTTGCATTTTCTCATATTGTCTTTAACATGAGATTTAAATATTGACCCATAAAGATCTCATTATGCGTCTCCATAAGAGCATTCTGACTTGAACTTGGCTGAATGGTGTCGCTGTTTCGTTGTGGTTGATTTACGGAAAGTTTATGTAAATAAGTGTGCCGTTCAAACCAGCAAAACACTGCAGCGAGTTCCAGTTGGGCTTATTTACAGCAGCCATATGGAAATGTTGAATAGTGGCTTCTTTGTTGGAGTCCGATGGAAAACTCCCATATGCACAGCAGCAACACGTCATGCAAATATACCAACCCTGTTCTTTATAAGTCTGTCAGGAATGTTTACAGTTATTCTGTATAGTTACATTTTACAAAGAAAAAAAACACCCTCTATTTTTTGCATTGAAAGTGAACTTTATTTGAAATAATTCACGTCAAAAATGTTTTTAATATATAGTTTATAAAGCAGTTGAAACAATCAATTTAAGATAATTAATAATGTCATATGTTCTTTCTTAAAGTTTAAAAAACATTTTTTTTCCCAAAGTAACGTAAATTCTTGTCCCATTTCCCAACAAAAATATACCAAAATTTTTATTTAATTTGTGTTATTTTATGCAGAATTATAACTTTATATACACTGATTTTCTGGAGATAAATATCCATCGTAACCAAATCAAATTTAATATTAATTTACGACATTTTTCTTAACTGCATTTTTTGTTGTTGTCTCTTTTATGCCTGACTAAAACTATAAACACGCAAATGTTTGTTACATTATTTAAAAATGTATTTAGTTCTCTTTCAGCATTTAATGTTTTGTGAAACACCACACAGCAATAACAGTTTTATGAATCCAGTTATGACCTCACTGAAGCATTTCTTGGAAAAAATGTTGAAGAATATATTTTTAACATAACTCTGAAACCACTGGATGTTATTGGTTCCTTCTGGACAGAAAGAAAGAACTGAAAAATGGACAAAAGTTAAGCTATTTTTAAATTGTGACAGTAAAAGTCTGGTTTAGTTTGTCCTGCCTATTGTTGTCCAAACGCAGTAAAAATAACATTTAGCCCATTCATTTGTTGTCCAAATTATGATAAATCAAAGATGCTGATGATGATGAATCGCATAAAGAAAAGTGAAAAAAGCAAACAAGAAAAAAAGGAAATATGTGAAAAAAGAACAAGGAAAGAGAACCTATTGCTTTACAAATCCAGGCTTTGTTTATTTAGTGAAATAAAATCCCAATTCTGCTGCAACAAGGTCAAGTTTTTTCTGAAGAAATCCAGCATTTAACCAAAGCCAAGAAGTAGAAAGTTTGGTTTAGTTTAGTCTATTTAATGTCATCCTAATGGACAACCTGTTTAAGATATTAATTGTTCCATTTTTGGAGGTAATTTACACTCTTTTATCTGGAGTTTAAATAACCATTCACTTGTTTTTTTGTTGTTGAATCGTTCTGTCCCCACAGGAAGACGAAGGCCAGCACATCCACCCAGATCCTCATCCACCTGGTCTGCGCCTTGTTCCTGCTCAACTTCACCTTCGTCATCAATCACTTTGTGGCGAAGCTGAACAGCGATGTGGGTTGTGAGATAATGGCGGCGGTGATGCATTACTCCATGTTGGCCACTTTCAGCTGGTTTGCTGCACAAGGCTTCCACCTCTGTCTGCAGCTGTACAGAGGAGGGAACATCGCGATAAAGCGCTACCTGCTCAAAGTTTCTGTCGTCACCTGGAGTGAGTTTATAGAGCCTGAACGTTCTGGAGCCGACTCAGGATTCGCATGGCTCTCTTCTCTTGTGCTTTACTTTTCTAGAACTTTTATGGATTCTGAATATTTTCATGAAACTTTGATCAAATTTACCAGGTACTTTCCTTCATCTGCCATTAAACTTACCAGTTACCTTCATGGTAGTTTGAGCAAACTCCAAACATTTTATCACATGGGCCAAAATTGACCAAAACAGAGTTATTACTGTTTTAAATGACTTTGCCGACTGTTACTTATTATCTTTGAAAACCTTTGTCGCATTGAGTTTTTATTAGTTTAATAAATTAAGCAGATGCAGCCTTTTTGGCAGATTTTGAGTAAAATTTGATGGACTTTTGTAGTTCCACTTACTATGAAATAAAAAAGAAAGCAAAAAAACAATATGTAAAGATAAAAGCTTTGTGTTGTACCAAACATTTGTCAGGCCAAATTCTCCATCTGCGGTTAGGGAATCACAACAAATCAGACCAAATTGGAGGTTATTTTACAAGAACTTTGCTATAATCTAATTAGTACCTGGTAAATTTAAAGTAAATATTTGTAAAGCTTCATAAAAGTCCCATTGAAGTACTTGGTTATGTTTATTAAAAGGTCCATCAAAGTTCCTGGAAAGTTAAAACAGCATTACCCGTATATATATATATATATATATATATATATATATATATATATATATATATATATATATATATATATATATATATATATATATATATATCACTTTCCGTCATAATTTGAGATTATTTGCAAACACAATTTTGGGAGATTAATTTCATATGTGACTGCTTTTCCAGTTCTACCGAGCATAGCGGTGATCATTATTGGCAGCCTGAAAAAGTATGGGAAACAGATCATCTACACTGATAATCCTGCGAACAACGTGGCGATGTGAGACTTAAGACATCTTTGAATGACATGCAGCCTCATTTGGACTTTTATTGTGCCAACCTGATGAGTCTCTCTGTCCACAGGTGCTGGATCAACGACAATAACATCCATTACGTCGTCAACGTTGGCTACTATGCGGTGGTCTTCCTCTTCACCTTCACTACAGTCGTCATCACGCTATCCTGGCTCTTTTGTCTCAGGAGAAGCAAAGCGGCGAACCAACAGGAAACAGGAAGTGGCAGGAAAATAGTGATCATCCTGGGTCTGTGTTGCCAGCTGGGAGTCACTTGGGGTTTCGCCTTCTTCGCCTACGGTTCCTTTCGGATGATAGCCACCTACATTTTCACAATCCTCAACTCATTCCAAGGTATTCAGTAATTTCTATGTAGAAAATAAAATGCAACATTTTTAACACATAAAAATGGTAGTCGGCCATTTTTGTATGATCGAAAAGGTGCAAAATGTTTAGAAATGTTTTCAAGGTTGAATTTTAACTCTAAAATGAGAATTTTAATCATTATTTTCACAGGTAAAACTTCAAAAAGTTAGGACTTAAGGACACTTTTAGATTTAAAATAGAAATATTAATAATGGACTTAGAATGATTGAGCGTTTCTCATCAGTCCATATCAATAATTATTCATTAGTCTTTCGTTTTAAACATCTGACATATTACCTAACTTTTCCTGTTTTACTCAGTTTCCAGTCAAACGTTTTGAATTTAAGCAGTTTTGAGGCAAAAACTTTAAACTGCTGCTGTGCCAGTTACTCAATGGGTGTTGCTAGGTAACCACAAGTTACGTCACAACTTGTTGCTAGGCAACCACAGAGCGAGTGAGTGAGTTGCAACCAGCCTTTGTTTTGCCTACATCCCCCAGAATGCTGCGGTTTATCGGATCGGCGTTCAGGGAAACGATTTAATATTATATCAGATGTACAACCGGTTGATATTGATCACGTTTCTATATGCTGTTATTGATTTATTGTCCAGCGATAATATGTTGCAGAAAAATGATGAAAATTAACTGCGTAACACAAATAAATGCGGAGAAGCTTTAAATAATCCCATGTTAGTGAATTTGGCGTCACTTTGTACCTTTAATAATGTGGTGGAGAAAGAAATATTTTCTAAACTGCAGCAAAAAGCTAAAAGCATTTAACATATTCCACTATTGTGATAACATTTTAAGACATAAAGTTGTATTTACAGAATATTCAAATAATTAATATTTAATTGGAAAGCCCATGTTTAAATGTTTCCATTTAGAATATAAAGCATAAAATGGATTTAACAGCCAAAGTTTCAAAACTACTCAGATTTTTGGAGATGTTGTGGATAAAATAAAAAATGGTGAAATAACATTTGTCGATGTTGTTGGCTCGCTATTATTTTTCACCTGCTGAAGAAATCCATAAAAAAATGTACGAAAGGCTATGAATTTAGTAAAGCTGATAAAGTTAGGAACTTATGCAATGAAGCATGAATGGGAATAAACATTAATATTTTTATTCAATGAGAATCCTCCTGTCTTTGTGTCTGCCAGGGTTCTTCCTGTTCCTCTACTACTACAAGACAACCCGAGTCGGACCAAGCAGCGCCAATGCGAAGGGAAACTCGGACAGCACCAACACCAGCATCAGTACTCTTAAAACCGGACTGGAGTGTGTGGTGAACCCATATGTGAATTTTGACAAACAGAAAGAAACATGATCTGTGGCGGGACAGAGAAAACTTGCAGTGTATCCATGTAAAATAATTCTGTCTGATTTTATACACTACGTTTAAAAACATTTTGATGATATGGACATTTGTAAAGATTTCAGGTCAATATCGATCGTCCTCTTCATGAGACTGTCTTGGGAAACAGTGTCTTCAGTCAGAGGCTTTCTCTGGTTCACTGTAATACAGACTGCTACAAGAGCTCTTTCCTGCCAACAGACAATAACTCTTTGAAAAATCTGAATTAATGAGCTACAATATTTAATTTTCCTTTGGGATCAATAAAGTATTTTTGAATTTGAATTTAACTGAATGAAACCAGAAACTTGCTCTGTATTAAAGCCCAACATGTAAAAAGGTTTTGTTTTAAATAGGATATTTAATTTATGCTTTTGAAGTAAAATGCCTCTGCTCCTTTTAAAACTTTGACTTTTCTGTCCTCCATTGTTTTCTGAACAGGAAACTCTCCCTCTCCAAGGGAGAGTTGCAGCTAAGATTCATGGTATTTTAAATGAAACTTTTTTATCCTGAACAATGTAAATTATTAAGCTACGTATTAGTACAAGTGTATGTTTCAATCTTTCTGTGTCTCTTTATGCATATTCAAGTGAAGTGGAAATAATAATAATAAAAAAACTTCCGTAACTTTTTTCCTCACATTTTTGTTGTGCAGATTCTCCAACTCTTTCCTATAAAAATCAATCATAAAACCAAATGTTCACATCAAAGTTATAAATACAAAGTTATGTCCCATTTCATTGCTTCTTTATCCAGTTCCGTCAGTCCAAACGTGCAGGAGCTCTGGCTCAGGCTGGTAGGTGATGTCGGTGCCTCAGGGGATGCTGGGTAACGCGCGGAGTCACCTAGTTTTGCTTTCTTTCTTTTTAAAATGCCACGGCTGCTTTTAGAAGCAGTGGAAACCCAAATGGAAGTGCAAAATCGTAATTTTGAATAACAGATCAAGTTACGACACGCAAATGAAACCCAGATGTCAGAAGTCAAAATATGAATCAGCAAAGGAAATTAGCCGGAAAATCTCTTGTCTGTGTGAATATTGCACTGTTTAATGAAAATAACATGTAAATAATATCACAAGCCAGGATATAAGGAGATATTTTTTCCTCGTTGTTTTCAGACACCAGGCTAATTTTAGCTGCTTTTCTGCGTTTTTTAAAAACAGCTTTCTATTCCTGCCAATTGTTCTTTTGTTGGACAATAAGCAGATTTATTTAACCGTCTAATACATTGAAAACACACCAAAAGGATCTATTATAGCCCAAACATTGGTAGTTAAATAACTCGCATTTACGTAGCAGAATAAGTTATTTACAAAATATGTTGCTGATTGTTTGTTTTTATTTGTTTTGTCCCTGAGTGTTTCAAAAGACAATTCAGTTTAAATGTATTATTGTGACTATAAATCTAAAAAAAAAAAAAAGGTAGAAAAAAATTTACATTTCTCAATTTGAAATGTCAAAAAAAAATTACTAAACTAGGAGACTGTTTTCAGAGTACAGGAGAAAGTGGAAAGGAAAATTAAATAAAGCTACATTTTATTCTGATAAATTTTAAGTTTTGTTTTAAATTTTCATACCAATTATAATTGACAGTTTTCAGATGCTACTGTTAAAACTATGTCATATTTTCACTGCTTGTGCTGAAAAGAGAAACTTTCAACATTATTTTTAAACACAATGGAACAAACTTTATTCACAAAGAAACAAAGAAAAAAAAAATCAGCCAAAAGTATAATACAATCTCAGATGTTTTGATCCGTGGAAAGAAGAGTTTTATGCAGTTTCTTAATGATCCTCGTAAACAGGCTCCTTCCTGGACTTAGCGAAGCAACAATTTGCTCAATCTGTTGCATCCTACAAATAAACCACAATTATTAAACATTCTGACAGCTTGAAATGTTACAGTGATACATTTACAACAGAAAAATGATCAGATCAAAGGTGGCTATCGTTTGTATTTGAAGTTTTTTCCTCCTTCAACAAACCTGAATCAAGGTTGAGGAGATCATTAAAGCAGGATACAATCTAAAGAAATTTCCTAATTTCTTTAGATTTTTAACAAAATATTTTAATTTCTACAAATAATTGATCACTGTTTTCATCAGTTCTAATCAAGAAGTTTTCTAAAGGATAATGTTATTCCAGCCAAGGATGAAAAATGAAAATGAACTGAAGCCACAGGTTGAAAATCTTTTCTCAACGTCATTTTTCTCCGTAAATTATTTCATCATTTTACTGGTTTACTGAATTTAACCTGTTGATTTGCATCTCTGCTTCACTTACGTTGTGTTTCCGATCAGGTTTTTAAAGCTTTGCACATGGAAGACGCAGATCTGCTCAGTCAGCCTGACACCGAAGACCACCTCAAACTTGGAAAGCGTTTTCAAACTGCTGAAGACGACGCGGATTCTAGAAGAACAAGAAGAAAGACGCCAAGCACAGTGTTTGTGATAATGTTTCCAGAACGTATAGGAACCTGGTTAAAATGTAGGAATATTACTGAGCACAACTTTGCTTTTGAAATGATGCAAAACATTCATCCATCATCGCAAAGACAGAAAAGATGGCATAAAGTAAAACTGAGCATTTCTATTTTTTTAAATAACATTTTTCATATAGCCAAATCCTATAGTTAGCAGTAGACTGGGGGTTTAAATGGCTGATTGGTAATGGAGGCGGGTCTCACTCGGTCTGGCAGCAGCTGATGTGGAGGATATCAAAGGGAAGACTTCCCCACATCTTCAGGAGCCGCAGCTCGTCTCCAACCAGGCGGCAGCGGCTCACCACCAAGCTGACGTCATGGAGAAGCTGCAGGAAAACCCACAACATACTTTAGCAGCTTTAATTCAACATAGCACGGAAAACTATTTCACCTAACGTTAAACATATGGACCTATTGCAGGGTGACGTCTCAAACACAAGACCCCGCTTAGCTAGCTTAGCTAACAGCAGCGGTAGCTAGGCTAACACAGCGTTCACTTATTGCAAAATAAGCATCAAGCCTGAAAACAGAATGTCGTAACAGACCGAATGTTCTGCTCTTTGTGCGGAAAACTTCTGAGTGTCTCATTTTTGTTGGTGTTGAATCCCTGAACATAAGGTGTTGCTGTCAGTTGCTATGATAGTGTAGCCGACGTAATAAACAGAGCGAGAGGAAAAAGTGGTTTTTCTGCGCCAATTTCCATGTCCTGTGGTGCACTGCACTAAATTAATAATACCTACACCTCCCGGTTTCATTTTGTGGGTATAATGGAGAAAATGGAGCCAAGTCCATGTAAAAGAAAAGTCTTTTTGTCCTCCAACGTTGTGCGCATGCGCACAATTTCCGGATATACACAATATCATATGCTCCTATTTTAATCAGTCTAATTATTTATAGCCAGAAAAGTGTGAGCTAAGACAAAAGTGGATTTTTCCCACTTTTGTCTCTTTTTAAAGTTCAAACAGAAATTTCAACAGCTGAATGTAAATCTTAAACACCAACCTTTGGGACGTGGCCCCTGGTGGGATACTTCTCCACCCAGTCAGACTTTCCCTCAATGAACTGGGAGACTAGTTTATGAACCAGACGAGCGTGACACTCCGACTTCTCCTCTGGCAGCAAAAAAAGAAAATAAAGTTTTAAACAAAGTTAGAAACAAACATGATCATGGTCAGATTTAAATTACAGCTGGAGATAAACAGATTATTTTCTCACCACTGAGATTAAACTTGAATCTGATCTTTTTTATTTTCCTCTCAGATTGGCTGTCAGCGTCGTTTCCTTTAAAAGAAACATTTAGATAATAAATGAAGGTTCCTAAAGAAATGTTTTCAATAAGAAGAAATTATAGAAATAATGAAGAGGAAGGAAATATGAATGACCAGAAAGAGGGACGGACAAATGGATGAAACTAATTTTAGTTCATGTTAAAAATAGAAGCTATTCAGCATTTGTCTGCTTTTACTTTAATCTGACAGTAAATAAAACAAAAAATATCCAGTAACTTGTACTCAGATTAAATTTAGCTAAATAAAGATTTTTCTACAGAAAGAGACCTAATAGTAAAATAATAGGCCCAAAACATTTGAGATATTTTTGTAATGAAGTCAGACAATGTTATCATAATGTGGACTCAGTTCACTGGGGAAAAAATAAAAGACAATTTAGTTGTTTTTCATAAAACATGTTAACCCATGACTACTTTCAACTTAACAGTTTTGGCCCCCAATTTATCACAAAGTTTCGACATATTTTCTTTTCTCACAGAGTGAAACTTTAATAAACTAAATCACAGATTTTTCTCAACTGAGAATGATAAACCCCCTTTTTAAAGACCAACAATAGTGACACTTAAATATTAAATATTTACGCTTCAGGCTATAAAGTAACTAAAAAAAATCTCACCCTCGGTCTTTTCATAATCCAACCGCATGAACATGGTCTTGTGGAGGAAAGAGAAAACTGAAGAGTTGTCTTTCTTGTCGTCTTTCTTTTCAAGCCTCCATTCATTCAGCCTGATAAAATAAAACAAATTAATCTTCGATATTCTCAGACACCAAAGCATGAGCCCCACTGAAAACAAACGGACTCCTCCAGGGTGTCGATGAAGTTTTCCAGTTTCCTCTCTTCAGCTATCAGCTTCGTTAGCTCACTTGAATTCTTCTTTATCTCCAACTCCAGTTCAGATGTTTGTCTGAAACAAACCAAAAGTATTTATTAGACTCAATAAATAGTAGAACTGAATATGTGTGCATCTCTATGAAGCTACATGGAAAGAGGAATAAAACCTTGACTCACCTTTCATGGTCAGCCAAAGTCTCAGTGACCTTTGACATTTCTGTGAGAAGACACAATTTCATTTTTTAGGTTAAAGTAAAGTGGAAAAAAACAAGTAAAGTAAATGAGATTTATCACAAATTACCTTCCTCTAGTGATTTTATACTAGGTTTGTATTCGGAGCCTTTTTCCAAAACTGCATCCAGTTCTGTATGAAAGGAAAACGCTGCTGATTTTTTACCAGTGTGTGAAACAACAGATTTCATTTTTACTAGAATAAAGCTGAAGCTAAAATGAGACGCGGTGTGTGAAAAACTAAATACGCTCTCATTATTTATGTAGGGTTCACAATATGTAGTTTGGTAATAACTGCAGGCTGTTATGTTGTGATGTACCTGCTTCTAATTCGCCGATACAGCCGTCCAGAGTTTCAATCATCTCATCTGCCTGACTGATTGTTTGTCTCAGTTTTTCTTGTTCCTCCTGAAAAAAACAACAAATAAATAAAAATAGTTCCTGAACAGACAAACGTAACGATATTGTTGGAAAGCGTCTCACCATATTAACTCTAACGAGTTTTGCGTAGAGCTCCTCCTTCATCTCATGACTCTGAGCTTTGCTGGTTTTTCTGAAGAAGTTGTTTCTCTCCTTTAGCTTAGCGCCGAAAGACTTGAGCTGGTGACGAAAGCAAAAATATTATGTTTTAAAAACATCATAAAGTTGTTGATTTATCTTTGAATTGATTGTCTAGTCAAGAAGGTGTTTCTCCAGACATTTAATGGTGTATTCCCTCCCTCCCTCCCTCTAATAAATCAATCAATCAAATTTAATTTGTATGACACATTTCAGCAGCAAGGCATTTCAAAGTGCTGGATCTGAGATAAACATACAGGGGTTACACACACACACACACACACACACACACACACACACACACACACACACACACACACACACACACACACACACACACACACCACACACACACACACACACCACACACACACACACACACACACACACACACACACACACACACACACACACACAAACCTGATTAAACTGTTCACTTTCGGTCTCATAAAACAAATAAGATTCATTCTTTAATACCTCTTTCTCTGTGAAGTGATTCACTTCCTCCCACAAAGATCTATTTACAGTCTTAAGAGGTTTTCCTAAATCTTGCATTCGATACTTCAGCCTGAAAAAGGGACAAATACAAAAACATTGAACCTCGAGGAAAGTGGGATGTTTAACTTTGCCTAATTAAACAAAAAAAAAAAAAAAAAAAAAAACATACCCTTCCACTTTTTCTGTGAGGGTCTTGACATCTGCCTCATACACCATTTGTTTTGGTCGGCTTATATGTTTATCTTTTAATAAATCCAAAGCTGTTGCATCCGAGTTGTCAAGAAGCTGCAAAAGAAATAATAACAATCAAAGCAAAATTTAGCTTAGATCACGTGATATGCAAACAAAACTGAACCGTACTCTGCCAGGCAGGATGCTCTGCCGAGGATTGTGGATGACAAAATCGATGTTGAAGAGATTGAAGAACTCCAAAACTGTGATTGTGCCATCTTGGAGTTTCTGAAACCAAAACAATAACAGATGTATACATAATTTCAAATGGAAATCACGTTTTCAATTTGAAATTTGTCAAAAAGGACATACTTTTTGCCCATCACTGCCGCAGTCTTCAAGCTGGGATTCAAACAGGCTGTGTTTGAAAGCTAGAAAAGATTCAAAAGTGAGAATCACAAAAAAAAAAAAAACAACAACAGATGAGTAAGAATATCAATGCCTTCATTTTAAACGATGACATCTTACTAGACTCTGATGCAATTTCACATCTGCTAGTTGTGTTGCTGGGGGAGTTCATGGTCTGTGCACAAGCAGCGGCCATGTTGTTTTCATAGTCAACATCAGACTGAGATGCCTACGAAGAAATTAAACAAGAAACGATGAGCAAGAAGTGATGATTTTTAGACCAACAAGATGTAGAAGAAGAAAAACAAACCAAGATTATTTTATTATAACCTGTAATACCATTGTTATTATTGTAGGGAAATTATTCATTTTAGAGATTATTTCTAGGGTAAAATATCTGATTACTATGAAGGATGTATTATTAAACAGTCAATGGACTATATAAAACATAATCATCAAATTTTTTTGTACAAAGTTGTTCTGTCTGCTCAGTTCTGCCTATTTGACCTCCTAAGGTCTCTTGTCACTTTAAATCCAAAAAGGCTGCTTGCCACACCCCCTCAACATGTACACTAGCACTTGAAAATGGCTGCAACAGGCACTTTGAAAAGCAGAAGTGGATCCTCCTTCACAACTAACAAAAATGAAGCAAGATCTGAGTTTTAAAACAACAAAACACGTGTCTTTTCCAGCAGTCATTGTACAGCATAGAACAGTAAAACCAGCTAACCAAATGTGCTGGAGATTTACTTGGCTTGCTAAGTAAAAGGGCTGGGATTTGTGGGGTTGCTAGGAAACGGCGCAGTGGCCTTTGATCTGTTAGTCAATATTTGGGAAGTTTCGGAAACAAATTTTTCAGACACCAAAAATAATTTAATTACTCCTCAAAAACAGCAGGATGTTTTTTTTTTTTAGAAGCAGATGAGACATAAATGTGAATTTTGCATATTCAGTTCCCTTTAAGAACTTTGTGCCTTTTGTTGAGCACCACAGTATTTAAGATCTTAACTGAAAAGATTTTTTGCTTTCATTGTCACTTTGACTTCATTAATGTTGCTCAATATAATATACATATAAAACTTAAACAATTTAAATAGCAATTTCAAGAACCTAAAAATACAATATACATTTATTTCCTACATACCGTTCCAGTGAACTCTGTGCACGTCTTCTTTCTCTTCTCATCCTCCTCTGTCTCGTCTTCATTTTCCGGCAGAGATCTCTTTTGTCTCTGGCTGCTGGACGTGAAGTCGTCCACATAAGCAAAATCTTCCTCCAAAGGCTGGAACGTGGAGAACTGATTGGACGAGTTGTCTTTCTTAGAGAACTTGTCAGGCGTCATGGTGTCAATCGTTTCAGAAAAATCTTCGCAGTCAACAAGTTCTTCATCGTGAATATCAGTGATTTTATCAAACTGGCTCAGCTGATTGGGAACGCTGACAGTGAATGTCTTTGTAGGTTCTTTAACAGCAGATTTATTCAACTCATCCGCTGTGTTTCTTTTAGGGAGTTTTGGCTTAAAGCCTCCCACCGACAGCCTTGACATGAGCTGTTTCGTCTTTAAGCAGAAAGGAGTTGAACTGGTTGCAGCAGAGAGTTGCTCTGCTTCTGCGTCATTGGCATTTTTTTCCATGTTGGGATCCAGATGAAGCAACGAAGCTGAGCAGGTTTCCACGGCAGCAGGATCGGGAGCCGCATTTATCAACTGGCTCAAGCGTTTGAATTTAGAGTGGAGATCGGCTAAACTCTTTCGTCTGGACATCTCCGAAGACACAACATCGGCATTACTGGGTGAGCTTCCCATCTTCTGGGATACGGCCTGCGTTTCTGCTTCAGGTCGATATTCATCAGACACAGATTCCTTGAGAAGTTTTGAATGAGGGTTTTGTGTGGAAGAAACACCTTGAGGTGGATCATCTGTGGATGACGCCAAGGGTTCGGTTTGATCCACGCTTGCACAGATTTCCTCAGTGTTGGTTTTATTTATTGGCTTGCCCCCATCTGAGCCCAAGCTTGAGGATTCATTTTCAGGATCAGTGTCGGGTTCCTTTGTTTCACATGGAAAATAACTTGAGTCTGGACATAATGGTGTGTTTCTGTTAGCCTCGCTCTGGGCACAGCTCGTCTGAAACAGATCAGGTTGTGTTGATGAAGGTGGATTTGACTCCAGACCACGGTTCCCACTGTCTGTTTCCTTCTTAGCGAGAGTATCGTTGATGTTCTCAGGGTTTTGATCTGACATAACAGGGTGTAATAGGGGATTACTGACAATATTTGCACTAAGGCAGTGAGTCATATCCATAGTAACATCATTTGCTGCCAGCCAAGTCAGATTCTTTTCTTTAGCAGGCGGCGGGTTGACAGTTTGGTCTGACAACACATTTGAATTTACAAGAACGTTCCCCGTCAGACTTTTTGTCGATTCCATTTCTGCATCGTTTACCTCAAACCTTACAGTTCTCTCACCATCAGCAGGTAACGCATCCACGTTTTGGTGTGGAGGGAGGTCTAAATCGTGTACAATGTTCACAGTGTGACTTTTTGTTATATCCATGGCTGCATCGTTTGCTTTGAACTGCACCATTTTCTCTCCATTTGAAGGAATGGTCAAATTTGGGAAAGACCGCAGAGACAAATCCCTCCTAATATCTACTGTGTGGCTTTTGGACACATCCATTTCTGCATCGTTTACCCCAAACCTTACAGTTCTCTCACCATCAGCGGGTAAATCGTCCACGTGTCGGTGTGGAGGGAGGTCTAAATCGTGTACGATGTTCACAGTGTGACTTTTTGTTATATCCATGGCTGCATCATTTGTGTTGAACCGCACTGTCTTCTCTCCACCAGCAGGCAGCAAGTTCTCGTTTTGGTTGGAGAGCATTTTTAAATCGGTGAAAATCTTGACAGTGTGACTTTTGGTCACATCCATAGCTGCTTCATTTGAACTGAAACGCTCAGTTTTCTCTCCATTTGAAGGAATGGACAGATTTGGGAAATCCCTCATAATATTTACAGTGTGGCTTTTGGTCACATCCATTTCGGCATCCTTTGCACTGAACCTCATTGTTTTCTCTTCAGTTGAAGGAATGGTCAGATTTGGGAAAGACTGCAAAGGCAAATCCCTCGTAATATTCACCGTGTGGCATCTGGTCACATCCATTTCTGCATCACTTGTACCAAACCTCTGTGTTCTCTCACCTTCAGCAGGTAACAAATCCTCTTCATTATGTACAAACACATTTAAATGATGAGCAATGTCCACCGTGTGACTTCTGGTTATATCCATTTCTGCATCATTTGCACCAAATCTTACGGTTTTCTCTTCATTTGCAGCCAAATCCTGGTTTGGAAGTGGCAAATCACTGCTAATGTCCATTGTGCTCCATCGAGTCACATCCATGCAGACATCAGCTGCATCAAATCTCACGGTTTTCTCTCTGCATTCATCTGTAGACTCAAACTCAACCTGAGGAAACAGAATTTTCTGTTACATTTCTATAAAAAAGGTAATTACTGCTTTAAAAAAAGTTGACACTCAAATGTATTTTATTTAAAACTTTAATCTCACCTGGTTTCGTTGTATTATTGTCTTTAAAGAGATCTTTGTTGAAGTTTCTGTATGTAAACATAAAAAAAAAAAATTAATAAAAATACAGTTTACACTAATTGACAACACTTTTACTGCTGGCAGTTAGTGGTGGACCTTATTTCATATGCTTGGAGATCTTTTAGAACGTTTTAACCTAATTATAATATTAATAAATAAAGAACTGTCTGCCATTATGTCACCTGTATAATTTGTTGCTCCAAGTTCTTCGTTATGCTGTTGATGTAAGTTTCTCTCTGCCTTCCCATGAACACTTTGATGCTTAACTTCAGTGGGTAAAACAGCCTGAAGAGACTCGTGTTTATGTAGCATTTCAGCTTCCAAAATGCATCCCGTCTGAGCTTCAGTCATGTCCATGTTATCTTCCGGATAAACTGTAAATCCATCAGATGGTCCCGAAGTAGCAGCCATCGTTGTTGAATCAGCGTCGCAATTGTTTGGTGTTGATAAACTGAGTAAGGATGAAAATTTGTCTGATGCTAAATCTGTGGCTATATTCGTGGTGAGGCACTGAGTCAAATCCATTGTGACGTCGTCTGTATAGAATTTGGTGGATTTATCCTCGCGTGAAGGCGCCATGTTGACGTATTGGAGCGGATTCGGTTTGATATCAGTGGAGATGCGTACGCTGTGACTCTCGTCCAGACAGTCATCACCAGTAGAAAACCGCAACGTTTTTTCTCTGTAGTCATCTTGAGCTGCAACTTTATCCTGCAGCGATATGGATATTTTATATGAACAACTGTAGCTCATAAACATCAAAGTATTTAACTGTTTGCAGACTAGCAGTACAACTGCAGCTTTCTAATCACACAATATTTATTGAAAGATATCTGCACTGGAAAAAAACTTACCAAATATATTTGGTCTAGTTTCTAGTGCAAATATCTCAGTAAACTTGAAGTAATTCAAAACTAATGTAGATGTAGCAGCTTCTTTTAAGAAAATAATTCCTTAATATTTATGGAAAAGTACATGGAAGACAAATTAACTTTTAAGCAACGTTAATTTGTTTTCCATAACAAGATTCATAAATCTTGCTATAAAACAAGATTTATTAAATAAAATACATTTATTAAATATTCCAAGTATTCCAGTATATTGCTGGAAAGTCTTGCCTTAATTCAAGTGTATTACGATATTTGCACAAGAAACGAGACCAAAAATACTTGGTAAGATCTTGTTTTTGTGGAGTGTGCATTCTGTTACTCGTGAATATTTGTTTATAAATATTCAAACTAAAAAGGCCTGAGAACAAAAAGTGAGAGATTTGGTCTCTAAAATCACTACTGACTTTAAAAAATAATACATCTTAACTTTGCTAAAAAACAGAAACATTCACATAACATAAAAGTGAGGTCACAGAGAAAATACAGGACGTCAAAACACCTGTTTTTCTTTCAAAAGCGAATTTCTTATGTTACTGCTTTTATTCTGAGAGGTACTAATTTTATTTCTGGGATTTATGCAAATAAAATAAGAAGCAGCTTATTTACCATCAACTGATGCATTTGTGGCTCCATGTTCAGTTTTGAGGAGGTTTTTAAACCTGGAGGAGAAAAATAAATCAAATCAATTTTATCTGTTTTATCACTGAATGTGCAATGGGAGACTACTGTCTTCTTCTGCAACTAAAATTAAATAAACATAGCAAAACTTTTGGTTTCCAGAATGATAAAATCTTATTTAAGTACAGGCTTTATTCCACATTTATTTAAAAAAAAAATCTGGAACAAACTTCCTGAAAACTGCAAAACAGCTGAAACACTGCGTTCCAAGATTAAAAACTAGTTTATATTTTTCAGGAGATATAAAATGGATAGATATTGCTGTTAATAGGCCCGTCATAATTCATGTTTCTGGACGATTAATCGTCCCAGAAGTTATTGCAATAAACAATAATATTATTCTTTTGAGACAATTTGCTGGAAGTACAATGATAATAATGACATAATGCAAGAAGACATCCTCAAAGATCAATAAACTTCAAATTCTAATGAAATTTAAACACTGGAACCAGAAGACCTTTTAAATATTCAAAATACATAAACAAAACAACAAATAAAATGAATTATGAAGACTCTGGAAACAAAATTATCCTAAAAAAAAAAAAGTTCAATTGAGACCACAACTCCAAACTGGAGACTTTTATTGACTGGTTTTTGGCAGAAAGAAAACAATATATCATGAAATTGGAAATTATTGAGTTTGTTTTAATTCATGTGATTTATTGATTATTGTGCCAGGCCCAACTATAACCATGACAATTTAAGTTATAGTATTTTTTTAAAAACAATTTATCAGGTTTTAGTCATTTTTTCTAAATTATTGCTCTTTTATCCTTTTGCTCTTTTATCCTTTTACTAAAAACGAATTTGAGTTTTTTGTACCTTTATGATCAGATGACTGTGGTCCATCAATGTTCTGCTGTCCTAATTTGAAGATTTCCCTTTTCTGACTTTTACAGACAGGCTGCATTTCTTCTGAAGGAATGAGAAACTGAAAAACGTCATCCGATCTTTGAACATCAGTCATATCCATGCTGAAATCCCCTCCAGGTTTAACAGGAGCTGCAGGGTCAACACCACTCCTGTTTGTACTCAGAGGGTAGTTTTCTTGCTCGACGTCATTCGTTGGGATTTTGTGCTGCAGCAGAGAGCGGTCGGCGATGCTTCCTGTAAGAGTCTGAGTGATGTCCATAAACTCATCTGCAGTGAACACAACCGTTTTCTCTCTGAAGTCGTGTTTTAAACCTGAGCAAACCTGGAAAAAAGAAGAAAACAAAACAAAAGCAGAAATTACAAATTGTTAATGTCTGACTGCTTTCCAAAAACCAACATATTAAACTTCTTAAAAAAAAAAATTTAGAGGGTATCTCTGAAACTCACCGTATTGCTTTCAAGAGGAGTGTGGATGGAAAAGTTTCTTAAAGATTTATTGGCTGAAAAAGAAAACAAAAAAATTAATTCACTGTTTAAAACTTTTAAAAAAAATCTGATTAACCTACTTGTAGTGGAGATACTGTATGAAACTTTCCAGTAATTGTATTTGCAGTTTACTGAAATGTTTTTTTTTAAATGCTTGTTTATATTTTAACATAACAGCTGTGGAGACAGTAGTCTATTAAATTTTATGTCATTTTCATTTTAAATTTTATTTTTAGACAAATATAGATATGTACATCTGTTATTTGGTCTATTTTAAAAGCTGGATGTTGAATCTAAAATAAATCAATAGGGGTTACAAATGGTTAACTTTTTACGTTAAGAAATGTAGATAAAAAACAAAAACAAAAAACTACCAGATTAAATAATATTTGTCCAGCTATATGCAGGTCTGAAAAAAATTAAGAGCACAGATCTTTGTAGGTCTATGTTTGAGTAAAATGAACATTGTTCTTTTATTCTATGAAATACTGAGAACATGTCTCTGAAATTACAAGCAAAAATTTTATATTTGCAGAAAATGAGAAATGGTCAAAATAACGAAAATGATGCAGAGCTTTCAGACCTCAAATAATGCAAAGAAAACAAGTTCATATTAATTTAGAAACAACAATACTGATGTTTTAACTCAGTTCAGAAATTAATATTTGGAGGAATAACCAGGTTTCCAATAGAGTTCACTCTTAGTTTTTTCCAGAGCTGTATATTCGTTCCATGTTTGTAACTATTTTGGTTTTTGACACAATTATGTCCAAAAACACTCACCGTCAAGCTTCAAGAAAGACAGAGATGTGAGATTTCTCACCTTTTCGGTCGTTCGACTCCAAGCTTTCACAGCTCTGTTGCTGTTTTTTTTCTCTGGCTTGTGACTTTCTTTCTGACTTTTCGTACATCTCTTGAGTTGGAAAGAGACACCGAAAAGGATCGTCGTTGTCTTCGTTGGCACCCAGAATACGGCCGGTCTGGGCTTCAGTCACGTCCATGCTCACATCATCGTCTGGACGGAAAGCACTTCCATTAAAGGATTCTCCAATATTCCTGCTGCTCAGAGGTTTTTGCATCTGATTTTCTTTATCAACATCTGCAGCCAGGGATGATTTTATGTCGTCAGAGGTCAAAGGTTTCATCCTGGTGCTTGAGAGGCTTGCGAGGAAGTCTTTAAAGGCAGGATCCAAAAGAGGAGCCAGTGTAGAAACCGTTCTCGTTTCCACACTTGAATCCGCTTTTTTATCAAGCAGTAATGCGGACGCCTGATTTGTTGATTGTACAAAATGACTGAGAGGCACTTCTGTGAAAACATCAGCTACATTCCCCCCTCCTGAGAGTAACGGATCGTAGTTTTGATGGTCTGGATGTCCAAGCAGATCTGCGTCACTGTTGATGTTTATGGTGTGACTGTGAGTCATGTCCATGTCGGCGTCCTCTGTGGAAAACACGACTGTATTCTCCCCAATGCCACTGCCACTGTCAAAGTGGACCTAGTGAAAGCAAATAAACTCAATGAATAATCACTAAACAGAAAATAAATGAGAAAAATAATATTTAAGAAAAACTTAAGTTTTTTAGTTTAACAATTTTGTGGCTGTTGCAATGTAGCAAACATACCACTTAAAAATAAATAAAATAGAAAATTTATTATAGCAGGTCACACCTTTAGTTCATTCATCCTGGGATGGAAATTAATTTTTTACCGGCCACTTAGACATTTAACCCACCACTGTTATTTTTCTTTCAATTACAAACCCCACCAGCTCAAGTAAATGGCAACTAGTCTACGGAGCGCCATAGGGGACATGTAGGACTTTCTTTCTTTTGCTTTCTCTTGCAATAAGGTACTGATCAGTTCATGCAGCATAATTAAACACAGACAGTCTTTCTTACGGTGGCCACTGTATTTTCTGCTATAAGGTGTTTGGGAGGTTTTTCTATGATAGAAATGCACCACAAACCTATGTGCAAAATGGAAAAGCAACACAGGTCATCTCTTTCTATCTTCTAAGATATGAGCAGAAACTTTTCATAAGAAGAAAATGAAGTTATTTTCACAGGATATTCAAGTTATATTCAAGTACTGATTGTGTCTTTTTGTGCTGGTAGTCTGAATGATTAATGAAGGGTCGTGTTCATGTGCGGTGCCCTCTCAACCTTACACAAGTAGATATAAACATGCATAGACATAACCTCCTTACAGTAGGTACACTGGGAGTAGATCGGAGAGATAAGAAATATCTTTACAAGTACCAAAACTAAATGACCAGCATCTGAATTTTACACTCACCATTATTCTTTGTTGAGAAGCATGTAGAGGAGCATTCAACAAGGAGTCTATACCTGCAGTCAGAGAGCTGAGTTACTAAAAATACTAAAAACAGACCAAAAACTTCTAACAAATAAAACAATATTCCTACCCATGATCTGTGGGCTTGTGTCCTCAGCTGTCACCATCTGAACCCTTAATTAAGACAACAAAACTTACGCTCAAACAGATGCAAATAAATTAACTGAGATTTATTAAACTGGTCTCTTTACCTGTTTAGTGTTGTTGCAGTGGCTGTGATATAAGAGAAAAATAATTATAAACATGCTTCAGGTGAATAAAAGGGAATAATGCTAAACTTTTCTGCATACCTGCTCCCACCAGCTCTTGAAGAGGGTTACGTACAGGAGAAGTATTCTTGGCATCCCTATTAAAAACAAACGAGCTGATTGGGTAAAAACGATTTCAACATGAAACGTAGGAGGAGTTTTCTTCTTGCACTCACTTGGCAAACAGCAGAACATCATTGGCTGGAGCAAAACTCACTCTCCTCGAATTTCTCTTTTCAACCAGTTTGGCAGTTTCCACCTAGAGGAGATTAAAAAAATACAAATAACTGAACAAGTCTTTTTTTTTTAACAGTTTGGATCATCATTACTTTACAACATTTAACCATTTAACATTCTGCAACAGAATAAACAAAACCTGGGCATTTCATTTACCTCATTTTCTTGTTGCTCTGAGTCCCGCAGGAACGATTTCCGTGGTGCCTTTAAAATCTGAAAATGTAAATTTAGGAAATTAATTTTACGTGTGAAATGTATGTAACTGATGTTTTTGAATTCAAGCACAAAAGTTCACTCATAACTTATTACTGATAGATCGATGGATAAAAGGTCAGATGAATGAAACAGAAAGTTTCACACTTTCTTTTGTCTCAACTGTCAAAACCTGAGAAGGATTATGTGTACTTTCTGTAATAAACTCTTTATAACACTTACAGAAGAAATGCGTCGCTTGGAACACCCGGTGCCTTCACTGTACCAAAAAAAAAAAAACACAAATTATCATTAGGTCAGTTTGTTTTTTTTTCCATTTAAGTCTTTATTCGCACAGAAAAGCATGATGAAAATATAATAAATACAACATAGATTATGGCTAAAATGTTCAATTCATCTATTATTGTAGAAGAATAAATAAATAAATTTCTTATTTGCATAATCAATGTGAAAAAATATGTTTAATTTTTAAAGGCCGTAAATCTTGAAACTCGTTTAAAGTTCAGGCAATAACCATAAATAAAAGCTCTAAACCATAATATTTTTTACTCACACGTTCTTTCTTGGATCCACAGGTTCCATCTTCACCTGTACGAAAATATTGAATCAATAAGTAGAACATAAATTTACAGATTTAAATTATTTGGACGAACAAAAGGCCAGAAAAAAAAAAACAGATGACTCATTTACTTTAAAAAATAATGTTACTGTACATTAATAGTTATTTCACAGTACTTAAGGAAATGCAACAAATGGTCACACCTGGACTAGATTATTAAAGAAAGTTATTTGATTAGCAAAGTCTTACTCTCCTTGAGAAAATACAACGAAGTCTGTTTTTAAGTGTTTGTATAATTTAGTTCCACCTTTATTAAAACTCCATACTGTTTAAAACTGGTTCAAATTACATTGCTATGTTCCCAAACACTGCTTATAGTTTGATCAGTGTTTATTCACAATTTAAAGGCTAAGCTAGGTTAGCATTCTACTGACCAAAAATCAACTTCAGATCAAATTAGTCTTTCAAATTAACGCATATTCATTAAATCAAATCAAATCTAATTTTATTTGTATAGCACATTTCAGCAGCAAGGCATTTCAAAGTGCTTTACATCATAAACACAAAGTCATGCAACATATAATAGACAGTATATTGTTACATTTCAAAAACAATTATAAACAGGTGTGTATTTAGTTGAGATTTAAAGGAAGTCAGGGTTTCCGCTGTTTTACAGTTTTCTGGAAGTTTGTTCCAAATTTTTGGTGCATAGATGCTGAAAGCTGCTTCTCCTCTCTTGGTTCTGGGGATGCAAAGCAGTCCCAGAACCATTAAAAACATTGAATCGCTAACATTAGCGTCATTGTTGAATCACACATAATTAACATAAACTGGACCTCCTGAAAAACATTGACAGAATCTATGCCTTCATTTTTCACATAAAGGAATGCAAGTTTCCATATTGCTAGCATTATTAACGGAAACAGTTGCTGTCACTAGCTTTACAGTCAACAAGCTATTGATAAACTGCCCGTCAAACCAGCATTAAGCCACATACTTTATTCACAGCTTATTCGTTCTATATCAAATACATATATGTTAATACTTACTGACTATCGAAAGACATCTGTTTTTGAGATAGTGCGCGATTCTCCAACCGAAAGCTAACGCCTAAAGTTTTGAATTTAGCCGCCTACACGCATGCGCATTAGCTCTTATTTCGCTCGTCTCGCGGCTTCTTTTTTTATTGTTGTTATTAAATTATAAATATTTAAATTATATAACATAGCAAATGATGTAAAAGATTTCCATACTTTTTAGCCGTAATAATAGTTCCTAAAAAAAAAAAAAACAAAACAAAAAAAAAACTCTTTGAAGACGTTTTATTTACACCGGAAACTATTGCCAGATCGGAAGTGGTCACAGAGGGCGGGACATATTTGAAATTTGTGACTGTTGTTGAAATTCTCTTTCCGAGTCTCTTAACAGGTAACTGTTTCTTCTATTTCTTTTGGTGTGTTTTAACAATGTTTAAGGATTATTTTATACCTGCCAATGGGTGAACTGACTGGGCATTTGAAACTTTACATTTATATCTGTCAGTTGACTCGGTTTTAGCAACATGCTACTTCCGGATAAAATTAATTGTATTTATTTGTTATATTTAACTGATATAAATGGCCGTTTGGGGATTAAAGTATTTTGGTGCCGCACACATAAATTGAGTCTTTTATTCCTGCAATGTAACCTGGTTGAATTTATCTGTTGTTATAATTACTCAAAATGTTTTTCTTTGGTTATTTGTATGGGTTCCTACCTGACTGAAAATCTCTGTTATTGTTTTAACTGTGTTACTTTAAGAACGGAAGCCCCTCTCTTTATGTTTCTTCCTCTGTGGTATTGTCTTTAAAATGTTTGCGTCCCTTAGACCCTCCCCTTTTGTCATGTTGTCCTGTGGGAGAGGTGTGTATTATTCATTTTATATCTAAATACATCCAGTTTATTTTTAGATTTATTAAGTTAATTTCTGTTATGTACTTTTGTTTATGTAGAGCTTGGAGCGGGCAGCCTGTAACACGGTTATTTTCTATCTGTTATTCTTGTCCGAATAAACCCTTTTAAAGGTGAACCACGGCCTGATCATTTAAAACCAGCACACCCAAATCGGATCCGGTTACACCTGCACTATTTATAATAACTGCTATCTTTGCTGTATCTTAGAAATATCTTCAAATTGTATTGGTAGTGTATTTAAAAAATGTCTGTCTAATGTGGTATTCCTTTAAAAATTAGGATTTGTGATTTTTCTTGTCTTAAATGTGATGGTAGCAAAAAAATATATATATATTTCCCATCATCCTAATTTTTTAAAACCTATTTTTATGTCTCCTCTTAATGCAGGTGTTTTCATTAATATCACTGGTCACTGTGAGAAAAACTCAATGTCTTCAAAAATCCCAAAAAGTGAGTTTTTTTTATTATTATATTTGTCATGGATATTTTGATATTGAAGTTTAAATTAGATTTCTTTGAAGTAATGCTAATGAATATCCATATTTTCAGGTACAAATTTACCAACAGAGGCAAAAACTGTTCAGAGAACAGACACAAATCTTAAAAATTCAAGGGAAAATGTCCCAAGGTAAATTCAAAATTAAATATAAAATCTCTAAATCCAGTTTGTTTCATTCCATATTTATTATAATCTATTATCTTTCAGGAAAAATGTTGCTCCTAAAGTTCACAAAGGGTAAGTTATGCATCATATTACATGATATTAATATTCAGCAGACACTAGACATTTTTATTGTGTTCAACATATTTGTATGTCCCTATTTTTTTTTTTTTTGCAGTGCTTCAACCAGATATGGGCAACAGGTGGAGCTGAAGGAGCAAAATCTGAACCTGGTGGCTGCAAATGAGGAGCTACAGAAAAACTTGTCAGAGAAGCAGGTAAAGAAATAAATGAAACAAATATTTATCATCTATTAGTTCACGTTCTTTTAATATAAATTTTATATCACAGCAAAGAGTTGAAGAGTTGGAGCTGCAACTCGATGAGCTTCAGAAGGAGAATGTAGAGTTTCATAAAAACCTGCAGGACTGTCACACACTCCTGGTTTCTGCCAAGATAGACCCAGGTGAAAAAGATAACTTTCAATTTAAATCTCTAATTTTTACCCTTTGTAATGCTGTCAATTGTAATAAGTTTAATGTTGTAGTTTTAGGTGAAAAGGTTGGAGATGCAGTGAGACAGAAAGAAGTCAAAAGGAAAGAAGTTATGGTATGTTTTTATTAAACTCCCTTTCACTTTATTGTGTGTATATAGTTTCATAAACAAAACGGCACATAACTGCTTAAATTTCAGAGTGTTTCCACCGATCTGCTGAAGGAGTTAAAGGCTTTTGGAGACATTGCTTCACAACAGCGAACTCAGCTACAGGCAAGTTATCGTCTTTTTTCACCTTTGTAACATTTCTGTTTAGCCTGGCTGAGGTTTCACTGTCATTTTTAGGAAATCCAAGCAAAAATGGAGGACATCACTAAAGCACGAGAAATTATGAAGCAAGAAAGAGAGAATTTCTCTCAGGATGCTGCTGAAATGGAGAGAGCTCTGAAAGAGGCAGAAGCTCTCTTAGCGTAACAAAGAAATGTATGTATATGTTAATGTGAGATAAAGGGTTAATGTTTTCAGATCATTAAAATGTTTCTTTTTCTACATCTCAAAGCTAAAACAAAAATATATATATTTTTTTTGTTAAATTTACAAAACGTCACATGAGGGAACAATTCCCATGAAATCACAATATTGTTATTCTAAAATGCTAACAAAACTGATTTGGAGAAAGCAGCCAGGCGAGCTTACAGACATATTTAGATCTTTGCTAAAATATAACGGTCAGCATCATTAATCACATAAAAACAGCCCCATTGTTTGCTTCCTTAGCTAGAAAGAAAAATAATTTCAGTGTTTTTGTTAAAACTAAATACTTTGAGTGAACATTGAAATAATTTTTCTTTGTTTTAATGTATCAAAATGGAAACAGCCTTCCAGTTTATTAAATGTTGTCATAATTGCATATTTTCACATTTGAAATGATTTTTTTCTTTTAGCCTTGCACATATGTCACATTTTGTATTTCTTTTAATAATGAGCGGCTTGCTCATTTCTCTGCCATTCAGTGGCAAATATTACTTCTGCCCAGCTTGTCACACCGAGTTTAAACTTGAGAGGGCAGTGCAAGGCTATAAATCAAATCCATTACCTTTTCTGAAAGACGTGCACTCATACCGACTTACCTTTGCTTTAAGAATAATTAACTGAAACAAGCTTAGCTCAGATCCAGTCAAGTAGAAATGACTGAGATTCATGTTTCAAGTGCAAAATGTTCAATTTTAAGTTAATCCTTTCATTCTTGGCTATTGTTGTTTTGTGATAAACTAGTTAATTTATTTATCTCTTTATCAATCATTTAGCAGCTCTCTGACCAGACTTAACAACACAGAAAGACAGATTTATAACAGTCAGGACAAGTCTAACAGGGACGGAGCCAAAAAGGATGGGAGGGGGCAGTGATGGTCCCCTCCCTGATCTGCAGCATCAGGGGTCAAAGTGCACTTTCCAGACCGTCACACTCCAGTGAGCCTTTGTGGGAGACATGTTCATCCCTCGCTCTCCTGAGAACAATGGCTGCTGTCAAGCCAAATGGAAGACAAGCAGCTTCATAAGGTCACCTCAATTTAATTTTAATCGATCAGCTGAAAAGATCTGTCATTTATTGAAGAGTGGTTGAAATGTTGGTTTGATTCAAACAGCATGACTACAGAGCCAATTTTTTAACCACTTATATATGTTTTTTTCTTTATTTCTTGTTAAAAAATCCAGCATATCTACAATTTGATGTTACGTACTTTATCGCCTATCAAAGTTGCTAAAAAGATCAATGTTTCCTGGTATTGAAAAAGCCATATGACACTTTAATTGGAATTTTGAGTAAATTTAGTGGGGAAACAGGCCCACAGCATCACAGATCCTCCACCATAATTACCAGCTGACATGAGCTGAAAGTAATAGAATGGTGATATGGATTTTCTTTATTTTTTGTACATATAAAATATTTTGTGCATTTAAAGAATTAAGAATAAAAGTGGCAAAAATGTACTGCATGAAGTACTGACCCAAAAAAAGCCTCAAGAGACTCTGCAACCCTAAATGTTGAATTTTTTAAAAATTATTTGTTCTGCTTTTTAAAATTATTTTATTTCACTTTCTCAAATGACTTCTTCCAAATAAATGTTACTTTAATCAAATGGTGTAATTGTACCGCCAAACACTAACAGGACACAATAATCTCAGTCATTAAAAGGTCAAAATGTCCTGAAATTTATTGATGTTCTTGTGAAACCAGCAGTAGAAAAACATTATACAGAAAAATATAACAATTCCAGACATGCACTCAGTTTTTGAGGTTGGAAAATATCATCAGTTGGAGTTTACCATGCTAAATCACTGTTTTTCTTATAATATTTTCCCTGATACAAAAATTATCCTTCGCTAAAGGGACTTCCACAAATAATGTGGAACTTGCATTGCAAGTGATACAAGATCAGTTTTCCTATTAGCATTAGTGTTTTGTTGGGCATGTTTTTCTTAAGTGCTATAAAATCAATATAAATCAACAAGTGCAAATCTGGTCAGAGTATTTCTGATTTTATTTATTTCTACTCTGCTTTTGATCAAATTTGGCTTTATGATCTTTGTTTTACTATGCAGTAAAACACACATGGATTAAAGCTCTGCAGGGTTTTCTGAGCAATTCAAAGAAAAAAAAAAACAGTAGCAGTAAACAGAGACTGAAACAGCCAGATTAAATCACTGAGGATCTGCACCAATTATCTTGAGCCAAGTTGTTATTAAAAACCATATGGGTGGTTTAATGGATTCTGCTTCATCAGAGTCAAGCAAATAAGGTTAAACCCTTTTCAGCTCAAAGACTCTTTCTGTCTGACTTTCATTTTAAATGTTTTTCATCATAGACATATTGGGAAGACGGCAACTGGCAAATTTTAGTGCAGGCAGTATGTGTTCCCTTTTCTGCAATTTCAGGTTGTCAAATGGAATAAACATAAAACCTTCCAATAATGTAAACAGCAGCTTAATTTTCTCTTAAATTTAGTAGCAATTATCTCTCTGACATACTGTTGCATCTTGTATACGCTGAGTAAATTTACCCAATTAGGTCCTTTTGAAGCTTATTATTTGAAGATTATTAAGAGTTGGCATCATTAGCTGTGTCTATTAAGAATTAGCATCATTAGCTGTGTCTATTAAGAATTAGCATCATTAGTTGTGTTTCTATTAAGAATTAGCATCATTAGCTGTGTTTCTATTAAGAGTTAGCATCATTAGCTGTGTCTATTAAGAATTAGCATCATTAGCTGTGTCTATTAAGAATTAGCATCATTAGCTGTGTCTATTAAGAATTAGCATCATTAGCTGTGTTTCTATTAAGAATTAGCATCATTAGCTGTGTTTCTATTAAGAATTAGCATCATTAGCTGTGTTTCTATTAAGAATTAGCATCATTAGTGTGTTTCTATTAAGAATTAGCATCATTAGCTGTGTTTCTATTAAGAATTAGCATCATTAGCTGTGTTTCTATTAAGAATTAGCATCATTAGCTGTGTTTCTATTAAGAGTTAGCATCATTAGCTGTGTCTTTTAAGAATTAGCATCATTAGTTGTGTTTCTATTAAGAATTAGCATCATTAGCTGTGTTTCTATTAAGAATTAGCATCATTAGCTGTGTTTCTATTAAGAATTAGCATCATTAGCTGTGTTTCTATTAAGAATTAGCATCATTAGCTGCGTCTATTAAGAATTAGCATCATTAGCTGTGTTTCTATTAAGAATTAGCATCATTAGCTGTGTCTCTATTGCAAAATGTGCCCAAAAACTTTGTCAATGTGCCTCTAATGTTGAAAAAACACAATTTCCCAGTTGTGATGTTTTCACTAAATACAAACTCAAATAAAATCACAGGTTTATAACGATAAGTCATTAAAAAACATGATCCTCCAACTATTTCCTGTTGTCTTCTTCCTGGTTTGAACAATAATATTAAAATATTATACATATTTCTTTGGGCCACAAAAATAGCTACGGCGGGTATATTTTTGCTTCCTACCAACCTTTTTATGTTTTAATTTCAAAGTAATTTAGGTCAAAAACAATCTCTTGTAACATATTATTAAGAAACATTTTTGTGCCAAGTGCTGAATAGCAAAGGGTCGATCCAAACCACAGCAAAAATGTTTTTTATTTCCATATGACTTAATTATGTAAAGTAAGTTTATGCTTGTGCTATGTAATGTGTTTTCGTATGACTTGTCAGGTGTAATAAATCACTATTTTTGTAAATTAGCCACGCATGTTGTCACTTTAGAGGCTTGATCCTGCAAAGTGGGACATTTAGCCTTTGGCAAACAGGTTTTAAATCTGTTTACTTTCTTGTCCAGGTGCAGTATTTCACCTGAGTAACCACATCAGTGTCTTCTGCTGACAACAAAAAGAAATGAGGATCTAAAACTGGGATGACCAAAAGCAACACTGCGTTTTATATGTTTGTTGGTTTAAATCCACATGGGAGATAGTAATAATAATTTTAAAAAAAGGCGATTAATTTCAGAAAAACAGTTTAAATCGTAAATGTTTTCAAACACAAACCTCCCGCTTTTACATAAAATGTTAATTTTGAATAAAACTGCAACTACTGCTGCTGCTGTGACGAGAGCCTCGCATATCTCTGATCAGTGATTCACCTCAGGTCTCCTACTCTGACCTTGGTGAGGTAATTTATCCAGCCAACTACTCATCCATGTCTTCTGATAATTATCCGAGTGCTGCTGGAGTCCAACTGTGACAGCTTCGGTCCAGATCAAACACAGCTTGGCTGCAAGAAAACGACTTCAATTAAACAATCACAGTACCAAATCGCAAAAATAATAGTGAAAAATGAAAATAAGTCATGCACAAATATGAGTCTTATGAAGTTAGTTTTCCATATGATGAGTCTGATAAGCGTTATTTTGTATTACCTCATGTCTACAACTCGTCTAAGGGCTAATCAGTTCATCCAACATCTAGGTCAATTTGTAATCAGTGGCATGGTTCTAAATTTATACCTGCTCCATTTCCATTTTAGACTCTTCTTCCATCAAAATACATCCAAATGAGAGTAAGTGTTTCGCTACCAAGGGCTTTAGATTCACAGCTTATGGTTTGTCATCTTTACCTCATTTTCACCAAATCTTGATATGATTTTCCACACTGTTTAAGTTCCTTCATGAGCTCTATTATGCGCAGATGTTTAATTTATGATGTTTGATCAAAGGTGTGAAGTCTAAATATGCACACATTTGAGTCAAGACATTCTACTTCATACCAGAATGAAATATTTGTTCATGTTTTAGCGCTTTCGTTCATGAGCATCGTGTAAATATAAAGATAATAATAACAAAAATATATATATTTTACAATAATCAATGCGACTAAAGATAAACGTATGGATGAGTTTCTCTAGATCTGGCTGAGACATTAGTCCTCTAATCCTGGAGATGTTCTTCAGGTGATAGAAGGCCGACTTTGTAATCGTCTTTATGTGGCTCTGAATGTTCAGGTCAGAGTCCATCACTGCTCCTAGGTTTAGGCCTGATTTTAGTTGTAATAACTGAAGCTGTGCATTGACTCTAGATCGTTCCTCTTTAGGTCCAAAAATAATGACTTCAGTTTTGTTTCTGTTCAGCTGGAGAAAGTTTTGGCTCATCCACACATTTATCTGTTCTAAACATTTATTCAGTGATTGGATGGGGTCAAAGGTCACCTGGTGACATCGTAATGTAGAGCTGTGTGTCATCCGCATAATTATGGTAGCTGACTCATACTGACTCATTTACTGACTCATAGTAGGAATAATAGTAATAATAATAATAAAAATAGTTGTAAATAACAATCGCACATATGGCATGTGAATAATTAACTTATTGCCAATGTACATATACCATATAATGTACTTACATGATCTTAGTGATTTAGGAAACAGATATTAACAACAAATTATGATGATAATGTTATTACATAATAACAATCTACTAATAATGGTTATAGTAACATTTTTACTATAATAATGTAAATATAAGGTTCTTTCATTCTCGTTTGTCATTTGTTGATAAAATCGTATTGTGAAGAAAAGATTTCAAAGTTAACCATATTTTTTGTGAGTTTATCAACAGGATTATTTAGTTTTTCAATGATTATCTATAATGAGACCAATAACCGTCACAGAAACTTGCTACCATCCAGACTTTGTAACGTATAAAGCGCTGACCTCCATGTTGGTTCATATCTTTAAGGTAGATTACTTCACTGTAACTTCCTGCTGAGTTTGAGTTATTTAAACATCTTTAGTCACCTTAGCATTCAGCCTGAAACCCCCTCAGGTCTGTTTGTTTCTGCAGAAGGCTAACATGTACCAGGAAACCCACTAAACCCTGAGCATTGTGGCTGAGGTGCCTATTCTCTGCTACAATAATGATGACAAAACAGGAATACAGACCTTGAACACATCCTGGGGTATGCAAGCCACAGGAGAGGAAAACAATAACAGCTTTTTCTAAAAATACAAGGGTACAAAATGGAAGGTTTTCAACTTTCACGGAAAGCCAGTGATGTGAAAAACCTGCTGGCTCGTTTGAATCAACATTTGGCTTTTAAATTGAATATATCTGAACACAAGAACGGCCTGCAGCGGATCAGTTGATGACTCCGTTCTGTCGCCGTCACTCTGCAGTCTGAAATGACCCGATTACGATTTAATTTTTACCTTAATGCGACCTGATCTTTTCAGAACTGTCCGAACCACAGAGATCGTATTGCAATCCGATACGGATCCGATGCGAGTTAAACATTAGAATTGTTATTGCTAAATTGATATGAACTTGTTGTCTTTGCATTATCTTAGGTTGGAAAGCTATTCATGTTTTTCATTATTTTGACCATTTCTCATTTTCTGCACATAAATACTAAATTTTTGCTTGTAATTTCAGATGCATGGTGTCAGTAGTTCATAGAATAAAAGAATAATTTTTGTTTTACTCAAATTTAAACCTATAAAAAGAAAAATCATAGAAACAGAGCATTTTAAGTGGTCTCTTAATCTTTTCCAGAGCTGTATTTGGAAGTGTGAGCGACCAAGCAAAAAACATCTGATTTCACCAAAAATCGGATTTGGGTCACTATGGCTTCTGAATCAACACACCTCAAAGACGCAAAGTGCACATCTCTGTGCGATCTTATCAAGCACCCTGTGGATGCGGAGTGCTATTTTGAAATCCAATCGCTGCTGGTGGGATTTAGGACTTAGGAGCGTCTCCTGGACAAGACCCAAGGCGGCTGAGCGTCCAGACTGCTGGGTGGGCGGAAAGCGGCCACCTTGACCCACACCCCGGCCCGCTAACAGAGGCGCAGCTGCCACCTTGGTTAAGTGCATTCCCCAAAGCCCAGGCCTAAATCCCTGCTTGACCCTGACTGATAAACTTTGCTATGGATAGATGACGGCAGACGTTTTCACCTCTAAAACTAGCTGCATGGGTTTTAAAGCACTAATGTATTCTGGGATCAGAAGATTCAGATCGGATCTCTGTCAAATTTGGTAAAGTAAGGAAATGCAACAGGCTTAATAAACCTTACACTTCAAGAATTAAGATGAGATTTTCTGCAAATAGAGAAAATTCTAAAATATTCTGAGGTACATTTCTTCTACGTGGTTGTACAACAAAATAGAAGTATGTAATATGTAACTTTTATTAAATATATTGAATATTTTAGTGAATATATATTTAAATGCTAAAGCTAGTTAGCGTTTGACCACTGATAATGGCAGATAAACGATTTTCCTGCGCCATTAGTGCATTTAACAGCGTGTTCATGAGATTGATTGACAGCACTAAGACCCGCCTCCTGCCTCTGATTGGTTGGTTTTGATCAGGACAGTACATTTCTTCAAACTGTATGTGGCCAAACTGCTGTTGGGGGGGCCGCACAAACTCAGTCCTAGGGCCACAAATGGCCCCCGGGCCGCACTTTGGTCACTCCTGGGGTAGAGTACCCAGAAATTTTACTCAAGTAAGAATAGCGATACTTCATAATAAAGTTACTACAACATAAAAACATGATTTTTTTTAAATTAGTAGTTTCTACTGTTTATTTTTATGTTTTTAACTTTAAAAGCATTTAAAATCATTTTAAAGTTACGATACTTAGACTATTGGATAAATAGAAACTTTGAGGACAGACAAAAATCTAGACATAGATATCGAGGGTTCGAGAGGCTCCAGGTTTGCCGTTGGTCGAATCCCAGGGTCGTCTGCGCTGCATCGTCTGAGTAAAGCACTAATTGGTTCTGACCGCTGTGGACCCTCGGCCAGTATGGACTGGATTAGCACGTTACGGGCGCCACGGTTTCTCACTGAGGGCTGATAAGACTCATGGAAAAACCTCTTTGTAGGTGATGTTCACATGAGGCCCAGCTGAGGAGGCGCCATTAGAGGGAGGCAAATAGAAGTAGAAATTATTTTCTGCCTTAAATTGTCTTCATTTCCAAAGTTTTTCCGATGTTCCTGCAGATTCGAGTCGGAGAATTTGTCACCAAGCAGTAAAACTGTGGTTGTAGTTGCTTTAGTATTTCTGTACACTGTAAAACTGTGAAGCCGCATTGAGTTGTGTCTACTAGTTGAGTTTTAAATTTTAAACCCAAATGTGAGTTTGTGAAAGATAAACTTATAGGAGTAAGTTGCGTTAACTTTTTATTAATTTTGTTAGACCTAAAGAGTTTTTAGCTTAGCACTTTAAAAAAATGAAAAAATAGTTCCCCAAGAGTGGGAACTATTTCCCAGAATGCTTAGCGGCATGTTTTCCTATCCTGAGAAGAATTTATTTTAAATAAATGTTTATTTTAATGTATGAGGATATTGTTCTGTTCACACTAAATGTTTTTCTGCAGAATTTAATCAAATTCATTATCAGATCAGAAATTTAGTTTATGCAATTTATTACAAGAATTTAAATTATTCATAAGTAAAATAAGCAGTAATTTTAACTTGTTATTGTGAGTAAAATAATAGAGAAATGTGGCTCTGTAACTAGGTCAAGCCAGCTTTTTTCTTGCATATTGTGAAATGATTATTTGGTTAAAATTGCAGCATTAAGTTAAAACTCACAGTTCAAGTTTGATGAACTTTAAAGAAATTGTTTAGACAACTTGTCTCTTGCTGTTAAATCAACTTCATGAACTTTCATTTCGGAGTTAAAATCAAAACAATTAACTCGAAATTGACATTTTCAAGTTAAACCATTTTGAAATGTTTTGCAGTGCAGGTAAAATGATAAAAATATATTTTCTAGCAAGTAAAATGATTATTGCATCTGGAAAAATTGCTGATTTTAGTAGGAGTAGTGATGAAGAACTGAAAAGAAAATCATAATAATGTGTGAAGGAAAACCTAATGCTTCATGTTATTCTCCCAACATGGCCGCTTTTCAGCAAGGAAAGATCAGACAGGAAGAAAGAGTGTTGACTTTTCAGATTTATTTGAAAGAAATCAAATTGATCAGACTTACACTTCATAACTTACACATCACTTTTATGTTGGTCTGTGATGCAAAATACAAATATAATACAGCTCTGAAAAAAATTCAGAGATCACTTAAAATGATCAGTTTCTCTGATTTTACTTTTGTTTATGGGTTTATGTTTGATTAAAATGAACTTTGTTCTTTTATTCTATGAACTACTGACAACATGCCTCTGAAATTACAGGCAAAAATTTCGTTTTTGTTGGCAGAAGATGAGAAATTGTCAAAATAACGAAAAAGATGCAGAGCTTTCAGACCTGAAATAATGCAGAGACCAAATCCATATTTATTTAAAAACAACAATAGTGACGTTTTAACTCGGGACGAGTTCAGGTTCAGTGCAGTGGGCTCTTATTTTTTTACAGAACTGTACATTTGAAACAACAATTTAAATTCTTGTTTGCTTTTACATGACATATTTTTTCATGTAAATAAATTGGAATGTGATTTTATTTTATTAGTATTATAATAGTATTTTTTTTCAAGACATTTTATTTATTTTTATGTTATTTTGTTTCCTTTTGCCAGTGTAATTTTGGAAAAACTGACTTTATTCCAGGAAGGTGACGATATGGAAAAGTTCAGGAAAGCTTATGTGACTTTTTCACCAAGCAAACAAAAGAACAATCTCCATCAGAGCCTTCAGAGTCATTTCTGACAAATCCATGGCTGATTGGAGAACGGTGATTGTTCGTCTCCGCTCATGTATTTATAACTTCTTGTTGTTTCATCTGCCTTTCGGTCTGCTGCCGTTTCTTTGTGTTTCCTTCAGAGAGTGCCAGCAGGCCAGAGGAGGCGAGCTGCAGCACAATGCTTCAACTCAGCAGTCCCTCCCGTCTTATCGTGCCCTGCAGCTTGCCCGGATTGGCTGACATAGATTGAGCGGAGAGACGCCGGTTCCTCCTTTGGGTCTGCACATTGTTTGGTCTTGGCCTTTATTTATTTCGATGTAAATCAGTTTGCGAAAGTGTTACGTCCTGTCCTTGTGCAGTGGGAGGCGGACTGGGCTGGTACCGACTGGTCGTCTGCTGGAGGAAGTCCACCCCATTGAGATTGGAGTTTCTGATGATTGTTTTCCAGGCTGTTATTGATATGAGAGGATGACATCATGTAGCCTCACCCGTAAGGTTGGGTTTGTGAGAAACAAGTCCCACACCCAACTCTTATTCATTATTTAACACCGGGGAGACAGAAACTATGTTCATGTTTCATCTAACGAGAGATTTTGATTCAAGGGGTCAGTGAAATGTCACAGAGATTTGAATTTGTTGAATCACAGCAGCTTGTTCACTAATTTCATCAAGAAGACCTGAGTTTTAAGTTTTAAGATCCCTCAAATGTTAAAAAGTGACACTTAATCCAACATTTAATATCACTGAGCACATTGTTTTCCTGAGACAGCCTCAGTGGCTGGTATTTCAGACTCTGAATTGTTCCTCCTCATTAAACGTTTCTTAGTAACATTTAATAAGTACTTTTCTGTGAAAGCTATTTTTAACCCCTGGAGTTCCACAAGGCTCAATACTTGGTCCATTATCATTTTCACTTTGATGCTTTCACTAACATTTTGACATTTTAGCATTTATATTCAGTTGTGCATCTATCTTAACTCGTATCAGCGCTGTAGAAGCAGAAAATTTTAATTCAATTACTTTAATGTCTGACTAAAATTGCAGTCGGGAGAACAGATGACCTTTCACCTTTAACTTGTAAAAACATCTCATGATTTTGCTTCTTTTCATTAAACTCAAAGAAAAATTTAATTTTAGAAACTGTTTAGAAGTTTCTGAGTAAAATTTAAGAAGTATGTTTCTGTGAAAGCTGTTTTTAACACCTGGAGTTCCACAAGGCTCAATACTTAGCCCATTGTTTGTTTTGTTTTCTTTTCTTTAACTCACAAATGATTTTTAGTCTTTTAATACTGTCTTTACATTTTTTTTAATTCTAATTGACATTCAGTTGTGTGCACAGTTTGGTAAAAGTCAGAAAATTTGCAGATTGACACTAAAATTCTTTCAATTTGCAACAAAACAGAAATGACTGGAAGAACTTAACCTTTCACCTTCAACTTATCATGTAAAATAAAGTGTATTTTTAAATATTGGACTTTGTTATCAAATATCTCATTGTTTATGCGTTCTTTTTTTATACATTTAATACACATTTAACAAGTTTTATTTTTTTCTTTTGTTCTTTTTGAAAACAAGATATGTTGTTTACAAATTAAGTGGTGTGCTTTGATCATGCCCAATTCTCAAACAGTATTACAGATATTTTCTTTGCAGACAATTTTAGTCAGACATATTTTAGAAAAGCCCAACAGCAATTTGCCCTGTTTTATAAATATAAATATCTATTCTGGTATTTAAAAATTCTTAACCAACCATATTTTAAACTTTTATACACATAAATTTTGTGATTTTAATCGGAGAAAAAAAGACCCAAAAAAAAGTCAAAAGTTTTTTCAGTGGCTCTAATTCTCTTCTGTGATTGGATGGATATCATTAGCTATGCTAAAAGACAGCATGCTGTATAAATACGGTTTTATTAAAAAATAATCAGATCTTCACAAGTTTTGAAAACATTTGCAATGTAACAATTTACAAAAACACAAAAATGATATCAATATTTACTGAAAAAAATAAACAAGGCAGAGAAGGAAAAGCTGTGTGACAACAATCAGGACCAAAGTTCTTGTGTTTTAGAAACAAACAACAATACACACACAGGAGTATTTTGAATGACTAATTAATGAAGCTGTTTCGCTGTGGGAGGAAACTGGAGTACCAAGAGAAAACCAGTGGAAGCACTGGGAGAACTTACAATCAGCAGAAAGACTGTAGCAGTGCTTCAAGACAGACATTTTATATAGAAAGACAAAGAACATTTAGTGTAAACTGAATTATGTCTCTGCACAAAAAATTGGGAGTTTTCAATTGATGTACAAAATGAAGAAAACTTTTGGGTGTGGAGTTTTACACACAGATAAAAGATAAAGGTGCTGTTGGAGAATATATTTTTTAGAAAAGCTGCTATCAGGCAAACAGTTCAAAATTAAACATAAGCATAATCTAACCACCGAACTGCTACAAGCTGGATTAAATTATTTGGAATCATTCTGCTTAATTCAAACATTTTGATCGATTTTATTTGTTTGTTTTCCTCTTCTTAATAACCTCTAAAACTGATTAAATAATGTCTCGCTTTCCACAATACCAACAATAATCCAAGAACAATCTAATTGACTTGATTTAATTAGATTACGCGAATCAGAGCTCGCGTGTCCCTTCCCGTATTCCGTAGGCATTCCTTCACTGTCAGTGTGCAGAGACGGCTTCGGTAAAACCCCAAATCCTGCTCCAGCTGTACATTATGGAAGAGATTAATAACGTTGAAGTCGTTCCGTGCACAGAGTCCGAATACCTGAAGCCGTTCCGGGTGCTCTACAATCAGGTGAGCGATGTGTTGTGTTGTTGGAGGATGGAGGATGCTGGAGGCTGCTGGAGGCTAGCCCAACCCCCCATTCATTTAGCAGCTAAAGCTAAAACGAGGAAGGCTAAATAAAACCACTTTACGCATCTCTAATGAGTCTCCTTCAATTCAGTTAAAAGGCAGGGGAAATCCAGCCTCTTTTGTTCAGTGTTGCACTCGTTGATTCAGTTGTCAGCTTTTGTTTGGTTGGTTTAAACTGGCGACTGTTAAGCTAGCAGGCTAATTGCTAACGCTAGCCCACAGAGGGAGGGAGGTTTAATTTCCAGGCGTCACGTTAACAGCAGCGCATGCTTTACATTAGTTGGTTGGATTCAGTGCTTTTGCAGTTTAAGGCCACAGCAGATGCTGTTTGTAATGTTTTAAAAGTGGATTCTGACACAGGTGAGACTTGTTGATGTCAGGTGTGAAACTAACTCAGTTGGTTTTTTGAAAACTCAAATATTTCCCACTTGATTATCATAAATTTTGAGTGTTTACAGGTCGCCTGCCTTTTATTTTCACCCTCTTTATGTATAATAAAGCATCAGTGAAGTCTGTTGTGTTAGTTTAATGCCACTGGATTACAGTAGAGTACAGCATAATAATGATGAATGCTCTCACTGAAAGAAAGCCAAGTTCAAGTCTGTGTGTCCGTATGGTCTCCAACAAAGCGAGAAGTAGACAAACACAAACACAGGCTGCTGTCCAGGATAAATTTATTTTTAAGTCGCAAATTAAGTTGGCTAATTTTTTGCTTTTGAGCTCAGGGGATTTCTCGTTTCTTTGTAGTTCAATAATTTCGGTATTGAGTTCTGGACAAGAATTGATGAGTGTCCATACCAAAGTATATCAAGGGTCAAGTTTTCAAATGTCCAAATAAATAAAGCATAGAAATCTTTTCATTCCCTTCCTGTTGCTGCTCACTGCCAGTCAGCTGGCTGAAGGAATGCTAACTTTTTGTTTGGCATGCAAGAAGAGATAAATGAAGTAACACTAAAGTAGTTACTAATGATGGCTAATTGGACTTTAACTATCATCATAATTGCATGAAGTTGAACTTGCGGCTTTTAGAAATGTTCATGTGGAACATGAACCCAAAGTGAAACAGGACTGACCTTGTATTTGGTGTTTGGTTGGATACAACCAAAAAAACCAAGTTGATTGGATCTAATTTGGAGGCGACCACCTGAAAAACTAATTTATTTAACACGTTCACCCAATCAACAAAAAAATCTGCTGAGTGTGTGTCAGGACAGGGCCTCCACGCCACCAGGGGCCCCCAAGAGCACCAAACTAGCATGATAGACAAATATACATACATTTTAAATAACTTTGAATATTGCAAACTCAGTGCTATTACACATGGGAAAATATTTTATGTATTGTTTTAATAAATAATGATTCATCTGTTCCTTTTGCCACTGTTGGGGAAACATAAGATATTCAATTTAATGTTATCAGCTAATGTTACTTCCAGACAGTTAAAATGACTTAAATATCACTCTGCATTCCAAAATCAAAATGACTTTTTTTTACTTTGTTACTCCTGTAAGTTTAAAATCAACAGTCATAATTTCATGCATGCTAATTACAAATGATGCTAATGATGGCAGGTGAGCAACTTAGGAATCATCTGGTGCTGACGGGTTGGTCTGGACCCCCGGCCCAAAAAAGCTGCTTAGGGCCCCAAAAAATCTTGGACCGGCCCTGGTTGAGGTTCAGCTGACCACCAGTTGGTCAGCTGAAGTTACACAACCAATGTTGTTAAAACTGAGTTCTGCATCTTAGAGGTAAACAAGGTTGAACCTCCGCCATTTGTGGCACCAACATCTGGTGTTTGTTTTATTTTTTATCTCGACTTCATGTTTTTGGATGGTATGATGATGTCATTAAGGGAAAAACCAAAACGTTCATTAGCCTGGATCTAAATGTCTCTGTTAGAGCCTTACCTTTTTCTAATATTCATGGAGAAGAAACAGGAGTATAAGATTAAGTTGGTGTCCGATTTAAGTCTTTTGTGTAATTTATGCACAAAATAAAGGGTTTTTGAGGAGATATTTTGTGTGATGAACAGAGGATGTATGGGTTGAATAATGAAAAGACAGCAGTTGAATGACAGAGAGAGAGAAATGGTGTTGGGCTCTTGTTCTCGCCAACGTTTCATCTTCATTGTGTTCCCATTAGAGCTCAGGAGGAGCTGTTCAGAGACAAACGGTTTTCTGTCTCCTTTACAGAGCGTGTCCTCCACAATCTTTTTATGCTCGTCGGCGGTACATCTGCAGCTGAGCCACCGGTCACCGACTAAACCTGCTCCCGCGTCCACGCAAACTGTGGAAGTGGGTAATGCTTTGTGCAAGAGAGGCTCTTTGATTCATTGATGTTTAGAGGTGTTTTGTCTCATCTCCCTCTACAAAGCAGGTGATTGTCCCTCGTTGACTCTGGGAAACCCCTCTTATCAGTCTTATGGGCACTGCCACAGAATCACAAGTTGCTACTTAGAGCTGCATAATTGCCCTTAGTTTATTCACCACAATGATTTCAACGATTCATCTGGAAAATGTTTATCTATGTTTTGCACAGAACTAAATTGGTATCATGTGTCTGTTTCACAGAACATGTGATACATTTTTAACTAAAGTGTTATATTGATATGAAAGTAGATGTTTATGTGAGACAGATTTAGTAATAAAGCTATTCTGTGATAAATATGACATTGTATTAGGGCGACTGTAGATAAAAAACAGGACATTTTTACCAACAAACTGTTAAATAAAACAAGATCATTTGTAAGATTGAGAAGTAAAAAAAATAGCTAGAAAAAAAATTAGATTAATTTCAGAAATTTTCTGGGGAAAAACCTTAAAACATTTCTGAGTTTAAAAAGTTGAAAATTTGCTGGAAAAAAAATCTTAAAATTTTCAGACTAATCCCAGAAATTGTCTAGAAAAAACCAGGACATTTCTGAGCTGGAAAAGTAAGAAAGTTATTTGAAAAAAAAAAACAAAACTCAAAAATGTTGACACTAATCTCAACAATATTCTGAGATTAGAATATTGTTGAGATATATTGTTAATCTCACCGTGCTTTAAAAAGTTAAAATTTTGCATATAAAGAAAAACAATGTGAAATTTTTGGCTTTATCTCAGAAATTTTCTAGAAAAACAAGGAAATATCTGATCTTGAGAAGTAAAAAAATGCTAGAAAAAAACTCAGAAATTTTGAAATTAATCAAGAATTTTCTGAAAAAAAACCCAGAAAATTTCTGAGTCTGAAATGTCAGAAAAAAAAATCTAATTTTTATGGAAATTGACAGTTTTGACATTTGAAACTCTGAAATTTTCTGTTTTTTTCTAGAGAATTTATGAGATTAATCTTAAAAATTCTAGATTGGTTTATTTCTTGCAATTTTTTTTATTTTTAAAACTCAGAAATTACCCTGTTTGTTCTAGAATATCTGAGGTTTTTTGGTGGAAACTTACTCCTCTCTCTTTTTAAAAAAAATTATTTACAGCAGCATATCGGACTGAAACTAAAACACCAGGGGAGAAATTTAAAGTGCTGTTTTATTCGAGGACGGCATTCAAGGTTTTTCTCTGCCACAGCTGCCATCTTTCGGCGCTGTCAGCACATGAGGTGTGTGGGTGACTTTAAAAGAGACAGTAATTAAACTTTAAGTAGCTAGAAGATCAAGCCTGTGCATCCCTCCCTGTAGTCGCCGTTCTCACAGGTGCCTTCTATTTCAGAGGCTGCATTATTTCCATGTAGCCTGCCTCCTCTCCCTCCTCTCCCTCCGTCTCTCCCCACGGGCTAAACTCTCTGTTGTAATGCATGTCGGCCGCGGCTCTCGGTCTCCCCTGGGCTGTTCGCGCTGTTCCCGCCCCTCCTCTCTCAGCCAGCGGCCCCAGTAATGAGGGAAACCCTGCCATCTGTGTGTTCTGCAAAACCAGAGAAAGAAGAGAGGAAATGGGTTCGTTTCACCTCACACACTGCATGGGAATAGACATGTAATCACATTTAAACCCACTGGTATTTATAATGAGCAAACCTGAATGTATCTAATTGATATTATTAGGATTGGTTAGACATTTCTGAATCCCGTCGACTTTACGTCTTGATATCTCACCGTGCTGAGAAACAAAACTCACATCTTTGTTCTGTACATCAATGTTTGACACAAACGGCTCATGTAAGCAGGAATTATGATTATTCGAGTAACCAGAATGTTCTCCTGATTTTATTTTGACGATTAATTGGATAAACAAATGGACACATTCTGCAGATTTTTGATTTGACCACTTAAACCTTTTTGTACAATATTAGAAATGCATTAAAGTGCAAATAATTAATTTAATTTCTTTTTTAAATTCCTTTCACTGAAACATACTTCTAACATTAACATGCGAAAAGCTATTTCTGCTTAAATAAACAACAATATGTTGGTTATTTTTTGGGTTAATTGCTTAATAATTGACTTGCAAAAGGTTCTTAGAAGAATATTTAATCTTTTATTATTTTACAAAATTTGAACCAGGTGAAGCTAAAACTACTTGATAACTTTTGGTTGTAGCCTAATTACAAATAAATGTTTCTTTTATTATCTTAATTGCAAAATCTATACATGTGTGTTTTGTGGAGTTTTGGCTTAATTACTGCTCTTAGGATGTTCTTCCAGGAAATAACATTTTTTGAGTCTTTATACTCCAGTTAACGATTAATCAATTACAAAATGAATTGATGATTATTTCACGAAGCAAATAATCATCATTAATGCGATCCCTAGTCGAGATCTGTATTTTTTTTTAAGAATAAAAAGTCACATATCAAATTCCCAACTGTTACTTTTGTAAAAATCAATCTTATATAGAGTAAAATAACACTTAAATATAAGCTATGCTATATTTATAGTGCAGTAAACATTATCCAGGCTCTGGGTTTTTATAAGGATCAGATAAATATAATTTATTCTAATGTTTTTTTTTTACTGTTTTCATTAGTAGAAAGCCATTTTAATTAAAAAAACAATTATAATAAAGCTTCAATTTACTGCATACCCAAACAATTCACAGGATTTACTAGAAAATTTCATAAAAATAAGTGTTTGGATTTGATTCATCAGTTAATTGGAAAACTGATTCCTTAACGGTATAAAAATTCAACTTGACTCATTCAAGTTGAATTTCTGTTTCTGGTCATTTTTTTTTTTTTGTCACATTTTCTTTACTAATCAACTTGAGTTGGTTCTGACTGATTTGTGTTGGACTTTTTTAAAGTACATAAAAAATGTATTGGAGACAAAGAAGACCTTTTGAAAACACTGAAATTGGGAGCAAGTGCTTTTGCCACTTCAATATTTCATATCTTGGCAGTTTTGATCAAGTTCTCATGATTTTTGTGTAAAAAATGTAGCAGTTTACAACTTAAAGTTGATTTCTATTGAACAAAAAAAGTGAAATTAGCATTGAGCATATTTGAATTAAGTAAATGCTGGAAAAGTAAATGACTTTTGAGTTTGACTCCCGATCCCCAATCAGCTCCTTCTGTTGGTGTCAATGTACCTCATGTTCTCACCATCGAAATGCATGATGGTTTTGGGTCAGAGCCATTTTGATGTTGGGTTTCTGAGGTTTGTCTTCTGAAGGAATTGGACCATCTTGTTGATATGAGTGGATTTTTAGATCGGTAGCGTGTCCGCGGTTCTGCTAAGACATGAGTCTTGGCACGATGTTCTTGGATTAATGCTGGGAGTGATCATTCACTGCTGCCTCTGCTTGTCCTGGATCGTCCTCTTCATGTGATTTAGTCATCGTTGAAAGCTCTGAAGGCTGATTCCCTGCAGAAATCTGACTCTCGCCTTGTTCAGCTCGACTCATTTTCTCAGGTGTCGCTGAACCACAGCCTCACACCAGGTCTTGTGCTGCTCTGGTTCGCTGTGTCTGACTGAGCTTGTGGGAGGAGAGGAGGTGTAGCCTAAATATGAATCAAGGTCATATTTCCTTAGGCATTGAAAATGTAGGCTAACCTACCCTTTTTATGATGGCATGCAATGTGGAAAGAGCAACAAGGCTAAATTCGTGTTGAATTTACAGGGTTATTATTGCATCACATATTTAAAGATAAACTCTTTGTGGTTCATGCTGATTGCATTTGTTTTTTAAGTCTGAAAATACATTCATAATATTCTTTGATATTAAATATTAATGGTGTAGATGAAAAATTGTACAAACACCTTCAGTCTGTTGTTGAATGTGTTGAAGGATATTCAAAAATAGCAGTATAGTTTAAATTGTATTGTTAAAAACCTCTGACGTAAGACTTATGTAGGCAAATTAAATATTTTACATTCAAGAACGTTCTTCCTGTTAATGCCTGCTGTGTAGCAGTATGGCTCATTTTACATGGAGAAACATCTGCTAACAATGCTAATGATAGCTGCTAAGGTTGCTAATTACATTATAGCTGCTGACAATGCTAATTATAGCCACTAATAATAGATGCTAATGATGTTGCTAAAAATGCTAAAGGTAGCATTGTTAGCAACAATGCTAACAAGTTAGAACTGTTAGTACCAATAGCTGCTAACATTAGGTCAGGTTTAGCGTCTGACGTTTGCTAAACTAAAGGGCTGTTTCTCTGTTTTTCGTGATCCTTTTACTGAATCATTTCCTCTACTTTAAAATCTGGATTACCTGGACTGCTTAAAGTTAAACAGTAGAATGTTCTGCTTTTTGGAATCTTGATATTTTTGTTTTTGAAAAGAAAAACAAATTCCAATAGGCCTTTGTAGCGCTTAACCACACTCTGAACATTAAGTCTTCCTTTTCCCACAACTATCCTGTTTCTCATTGCTCACAATAAAACAAGCAGAAGAGACCATGAAATCAAAAATCTTTTATTTTGCTTCATAAACTTAAATTCTTGTGTTTTCGTTTTCTTCTTTTTCACAGAATGGGACAAAGAAATCCTGGGACTTTATGCAGAGTCACGACAGGTAAAATCCACATTTTCTCTTGTCAAATGTGCCGCTTCGGTTTGCAAAGATGAAAATCGGTCAGCAATGTTTGGGCCTAAGATGGAGTCCCATTTAAATACCGTGCTGAAAACGTCACTGTTGATGCTTGTAAATCTATAAAACATGCTTGTTATTTTAATTAAGAACAACCTAAAGAGCTTCTCTTTAAACAAGGGGTGTTCAAACTTTTTATCAAAATAATAGTCAAAACTGTTAACAGGATTAGCAAAATTAAATCAAATATTTTTTTCTTTTTTAGGAAAAGGGTGTTATTTGTTCCTAGTCCAAAATTTAAATAGAATTTGGCGCGTTTTTTTGTATTAACAGAAATACATTTTGCTCAGATTATTAAATTTATTTCCAGTTATTAAAACAAGATTTTGTTCATTTTCTTTCGAAACGTTTGCTGTATTTAGCCAAGTTCATTACATTAGATAAAAGCTGATTTGGTTGCAGCAACGTTGGTTTTTCGGTAAAAGTCTCTGCATGAACTTGGTTCTTATTATTATAAAAGTTTGGTTATGAAAGGATGAACACTTTCTATTCTAAGAAAATTACATCAGATATAAATTAACCCGAATTACAAATTTGTACCATTTTTTCAATTGCAGTTGGTTGGCCGCACCAAATCACTTCCAGGGCCATGAATGGCCCCCGGGCTTCACTTTGAACACCCCGTGTAGTTCTCTGAGATCTGGGAATAATAATGTAATAATAATAATAATAATAATAATAATGTTTTTCTGCTGCACAGTTTATTTAACAAAGTATTTTTAAATCCTAATTTTCTCTGAAATACAAATCTAATAAATCTGGTATTTTTATTTGTTTAAATTCAGTGGTGGTTGAATTAAAGATGGCCGTTTTCAGGGGACGTTGCACCTGCTTTTTTTTGCGTGTTTTACGTGAAATAAAATGGCAATAAAACTCTAAAGTGTTACAGAAATCTCACACTCGAGTGCCAAAGCCACAGTTCCTCTCCTTAGTGATGCCCTGAGGTCACTCCCAGGTCATTTCTAGCCTCTTTCCTGCACTACTGACCCCAAACAGAGATTGTTGTTAAAGAAACGGCACCCCTGAGAGAAAGGCGGTAAACGTCGAACCTGTGTTTCTAACAAAAGATTTCCCCTGGCGGCAGGTAGCTATTCACAAAGAGGAAATCCTGCCAGGTTGTTAAAGTGTCGCCAAAAGAACCTGGGATTGTTTCTAGATTTTTTGTTGAATTGAGTTCGATTTATGTTTGCGGTGCTGGAATGTCTTTTTCAAAGGAAGAGAAGTATTTAAAAGATGCATATTTTAGGTTTTTGTAGGGCCAAAATCCCCAAACTGAAGGTATTCAGAGGCCAAAATGTAGCTTTTTTTTTTCTCCTAACATTAGAAATGATTTCTGTCTATTTGACGTTTTCCTAAATATTTCCAGTGATTTACCTTTTTGGGATTTTTAATCTCTATAAGATGTTTTTAGTAAGACTTTTTTTCAGCCAAATGTGTGTGCTACAGTCTGTTTTTGGGTAAAAACTTAATATAGAAAAAATATTTGTGTTGTACTTAAGAACATATAAACATGCAACAACAATTTACTTGCAGTTCTTGTTCTGACCTGTAGGTGACGCATATGTGACATTTGAAGTAAGTCACCTTGTGACGCAGGAACATTGGAGATTTTTTAGCTGGCAAAATGAAGCTCTTTGCAGAGCAAATGGACATTTTTCTAAAACAATAAGTAAAACAAACATGAACCCATGTTGTTCTTCCGATATTAAAGAGATTCTCAAAAAGGCAATTTTTTTTTTATCAGAAAAGCTTTGTCTTTTTAAGTTGAACAAATTGTTTGAGTTCATAATAAGTTCAAGATCTGTGCTTTGTTTAGGCCAAATTAAGCATTAAATTTGCCTAAATCATGTTTAAGCTGAAGCAGAAAGTCTGCGGAAAAGTTGGAGACGACAAAGTTAATCAATAATTAATTAAAGTTAAAATTTATAATTAATGCGACTGCACCTCCTGTTTATAAAAGTCCAAATCTGAGCCACAAAGAATTCAAGGTGACGAGATGGTCCATCTGGCTGTCAGTGTCTGTATTTGGCTAATCGATCAGATCAATGGGGGAATATTGATCTGAGAAATCCAATCCCGACCCAGTCAGGGGTAGAGCGTCACCATGGCATTCACCGGTGTTGCCCTTTATTCAGTCAAGGAGAAACACTGAGGCTGGGATCTGAGTGGTGCGGCAGGCTGCGGTTTTAACTAAAACGGGCCTGAAATTTCTGATCAGCTTCAGGAAAAGAAACGCAATGATGTCAATGAACCAAAATAAACATGAATATTTTTCCAAGGTGTTGTGTTTTTCTGGCTGCTTCCCATCAGCGAGTGACATGATTGTATGAAGAGAAAAATAAAAACCTAACAAATAAAACGTTGGTAGAAGTGCAGCTTTCTCGTGTTCTTCTGGGAAACCAGCAAAAGTGGAAAAGGTTGTTTTTGTTTCTGCGCTTTCAGCGAGGTGGCGGGAAGGAAAGAAGTGATTGAGAAAGGAAGTGGAGCAGCAAGGAGCCGAGTTTCTGAAGCTTCTGGTCTGAAACCCTTTTATAAAGGGTCCGAAGCTTCACAATTATCAGCACAGACAAAGTTCACCTTTTCTATCTTGTGTCTATCGTCAGTTGTCTAACATTATTTCCATTTATTTCCATTTTCTTCATGACTACTTTTATTTTCAGGTCTTTGTTTATTGAGATATTTGAAACGCGTGGGGATACACTGCAAAGACATTTAGGTCCAGTTTCTCGTGCTCATATCTTGGTACACTTGAAATTTAACAAAACTAACTTAAAAGTAGATATTCAACAAGAAAATTATTATTTAATTTCCCTTTGGGATAAATACGTATTTTTAAATTTGAATTGAAGAAATAGGAGCTCGTTTTAATTTAATAAAACGAAACGAAAACGTTCGAGTTCCACTGGCGCCGTCACCTAGCAACGCCAGCCAAGTCCAGCCCGTCACCTAGCAACGCCAGCCAAGCCCAGCCCGTCACCTAGCAACGCCAGCCAAGCCCAGCCCGTCACCTAGCAACCCAGTAATGGCTCCACTGGCAGATTATTTCACTTAAAACACAGAAAAAATGTTTTAAGTGAAATAATCAGATACTTTTTCAACAATATGAATAAATTATGAATTTTAAATAAGCTTTTATGTCTTGCTAAAAATGAACTTTTAAGTTAGTTTTGTCTGATTATAAGCAAACTAAAATATTTCCAGTAGAAACAAGATACAACTATTTGCTTAGATTTTGTGTTTTTGCAGTGAACCTGCAGGCAAACAGCTTTATAGTTCAGGTATTACCTGCTGTCTTTCATGTTTGTTTTGGGGCTTTAAAACGGCAAAAAACTTGGGGCCAAAAAACTTGCATTTTTTGGTTTAGATAAAAATGCGAGTTGTCTCCTGACTGTTTCGGAGTGTCTATTCAGTCACAGCAATCCCCCGCTCAGTCTTTTGTCGTCTTATCCACGACAGTGTCACAAACTGCAGACCCATCTGTCCTGTAGATAAACATTTAACTGAGATGGGGTATATTTTTGGCGAGCAGGGAGCGCAAATGGGTTTTTCATCATCTGAAATTTAAAAATGCAAAGAGAAGTTCATCGTCGACTCAGGAGTTATTAGAAACTTTTCACAGCAATCTCCTGGTTTCCCTTTAAGCATGGGAAAGACGGGGCAGGGTTTCCTGCCGCCTCAGACGCATCCGCTTTCCCAACGCCGACCCAAGGCTTCAAGTTTTTACACACACACACACACACACACACACACACACACACACACACACACACACACACACACACACACACACACAGATGGACAGACGCAGCAGTGACCCTTCGACAGTTCACGTTCACTCTCGCTCTAGTTTTATTTCCATATCCTGATCCTGGTTGCGACGAGTTGAAATCCCAGCGATGTGACCTGCTGATCTCCGGATTCCCATTCTTATTTTAGTATTGTTAGTCCGGCTGATGACATTTATTTTAGTATCGCTTTTATTTTTAGGAGTTTAGAACAGGAAAACTCCAATATAAAGATGAATTTGGAAACCTTTGTCATCTGATGTACCGTATTTTCCGGACTATATGTCGCATTTTTGGGGGAAATTTATTTGATAAAATCCAACACCAAGTACAGACGTGTCATCTTGAAAGGCAATTTAAAATAAAAATAGAATAGAGGCAACAACAAGCTGAATAATTGTACGGTATGCTAACATTACATGACAAATAACGTACTGAGAACATGCCTGGTAAGTTAACATGTTAAGAGTTATTCAGATAACTGTAGCATAAATAACATGCCAACAAGTTTATCAAACCATCCGTGTCTCCAAATCACTAAATCTTCATTATCGTTGTCGCTTGCAAGCAACTCCGCTAACTCCGAAGGTAGAATAAGACAGGCCTAGAGCGCCCTCTTGTGGTTCAGTGTGAAAATAACATGTGATATGATATAATAATGTGTTAATTTCCACACCTAAGTCACGCCGGAGTATAAGTCGCAGCTCCGGCCAAACTATGAAAAAATCTGCGACTTATAGTCCAGAAAACACGGTAGCTTAATGAAGACATTTATAAAGTTTATTGTCTGAGCAGTGTTTCATGCAAATAGTTTTATTTTTAAATAAATAAATGTCACACTGGAAAACACTAAAGCTTACGTTTTGGTTTGTTTTCTAATGCAAATATATTGGTGCACTTGAAATCAGTCCAAGTTAACTCATAAGAAGCTTTTCAGCTTATTTTAAGTCAATAATTTCAAGAAAATAATTCAATAATATTAAGACATTATTGATCAAAAACAAGTTACTTACTTGGACACCCCTGATGATAAAATTTAAATTATAAAAGGAAGCTGTCATAGCTACAACTTGCTTTAAGAGAAGTAATTAAGGTGCAACAAAATCAAGCCTGAAATCTGTAAGATTATCACTGCATGTTGGTTTGACCTGTAAGGCTAATAATCGTTATTCTGAAAAGAAAAAACTCCTCAGTCTGACTTTCAGCTGGAAAGATTTGAGCTTCCAATGTGGAAAAAGATGCAAACAAATAAATTCAACAAGAAAATACTAAATATCTGGGAAACGTTTCTTTCAATAACATTAAAACTGCAAAGAAAAAGCCTGAGAATGCTTTCACCAGAGCTGTTTTTGAAGGGATGTCTTTCATTTGTTATAACATATGCTTTTAGCCTTTATAATGAATCCATGCTTCTGAAATGAAACATCAGCGTGTTTAACAGTGACTTTTTCTGTATTTTTTGCAGTGTATCTGTGCTGCTCTTCAACACCACCTCACACTGTTTTGTCCTTGTCAAGCAGTTCCGTCCAGGTACCTTTTACTTTTTTGTCACTGATCTAAATTTGGACTTGAGCATCCGGTGTGCACTTTCACTTTTAAAACGACGACACACACCTCGTTTAGTCGGCTTCTTTATCAGAAATCGCTGCAGTGGTTTAAATTCAAGGAAGTCCGGGCCGTGATATATCTGCTTTTTATCTCGTTTAGATAAAAATAACCACAACTGAGAACACGGTTACATTTTTAATTTTAAATATAATACAGTTTGATGAATTTGTATTAATCAATCTCAGCATTTCTCCTGTTGTCTCCCACCTGCAGCTGTTTACATGTGTGAGTGGGAAAAGGCCAAGACGAAGACCTCTCAGGGCGCCGAAAAGACCGAAGAGGGCGAAGCCTCCGAATCTCAAGAGGGCCAGTCGGCCTCGGCCGAGGAGAGCTCTCCCTCGTCCCAGTTGCCCCCGGCCTCGGCGGGGGTCACCTACGAGCTCTGCGCCGGCCTGGTGGACAAACCGGACCTGTCGCTGGAGGAGATCGCCCGGCAGGAAGTGCTGGAGGAGTGTGGCTACGATATACCAGCCTCAAAGCTGAAGAGGATTACTTCATTCAGGTCAGCGCCGTTTTAGACGTTTCCCCAGAAATAAGAGTTCGGTTTGGGATCACCTGCTGGTTCTTCCGAGTTCCTGCCGTAAATCTACTGGCCGTCAAAATCGCGCTCGCGTCAGAGTGAAAGACGGTGACAAGCCTGACAAATGCAACCCAGAAGGTAGAGGCCGTATGGATAAAGTGGAAAACAATTCCCCTGTTCATGGATCAGGAGTCGCTTCCTGGTGTAAGGAAAAACAGTTTCATACCCAGTAAAAATAGATTTTCCATTCTTCTATGCAGAAAAAAGAAAGAATGGTAACAACAGCTGAATTAGACAAAGAGTCAGACTTTAAATAACAGCTGGACTATTGTTCAGGAGCTGTAAGTTTCTCTGAATATACAAGAAGATAAAAAAACCCAAAAACAATATTTAACCAATATATCAGCTATCATTAGAGCTGTTGTAAATGATCATGTTAGTAGTCGAGTCATCAATTATGCTAACAATTAATCAAATAAACATTTCTGCAGTTTCTATTTAAAGAGGATCTATTATGCAAAATTCACATTTTTATTGGAGTTTTTACTGCTACTGAAAACAACCCAAGAACTTAAAAAAACAAAACAAAAAAACACTGCCACCATTACCGAGCAACCCCGGTGAAGTTCAGCTCGTTACCGAGCAACCCCGGTGAAGCCCAGCTCGTTACCTAGCAACCCAAGCTGAGCTCCAGCACGTATGATTTGGTCCAAGAAAGGTGATGAAAATGTTTTGTTTCGCCCACTGAGTTGTCCAAACCTGTTCAGAGTCATATGGTCACGTTTAAGCGAGTAAAAAAAACACGACAGAAAAAATGCTTCAAAATAAACAATTCAGTTCATTTTATAGCTTAAAATTCAACATGTTTAACTGATGATTTTAATGTGGAAAAATGGGCGAGAAATGAAGTATTTTATTTTTAATACTTATTGATTTTTCTTGGTGTAAGCGACTGTTTTAGTATTTGGAATAATTACTTTTCCTAATCTGAGGGAAGTATAAAACAAGAGGAAGCGCAGTGTAACAAGATAAAATATTAAAGCTAGCTGCTTTTAGGGGAACCTCAGAAATGAAACCCAACTAATAACTGCTGGAGCTTCTTAAAATAATAAGCAGAGTGAGTGAGTTGGAGGGAAACCATTCATCACTGTCAACATGTTGGCCGCCGGCGCTGCCAGGATGTGAGCAGCTCCACATCCGACAGTAAAACCTGGACAGGCGTGACTGAAAACTAACGAAAATATGTTTTTGATTTGACTTGAAAACCTCCTGCAGCTCTGGTGGTGTCGTCTGGGTCCATTGTTATGTGCGGGCGGCTTTCATTGTGTAGAATGGTGTCATCTTAACCCACATGAAGCCTATAAGGGTGTTTTTTCTTTTTTCAATTTGGCAAATATGCACAAAAACGCAACACAGCTCAGGAAATGGAAAACCCCAAACAACACTTGAAGGGATTTTACTCTGTAGTTCCTTTGAAAAGTATTCATTGTTGTATTTGACTTGAATAGATTTTAATGCATTATATTGCTTTTAAAGCAATAGAAAGATCAACAAACTTTAATTTTTAATGTGTATTTATTGTTTGAGCTGGAAGACTTCCTATATTTCAAAAATGAAGAGCAAATAAAATAGATACCAAAGTTTTTGTCATCCAGTCTTTGATAGAAGGAGAGAAAAACAATCACGCATATGGAAATTAAGATCATTTTAATTCATCATGAATAAACAATAAATCATAAGATTTATGCAACAAGCTTATTAAGTTGAAAGAATTTTTTTTTCATAAAAATCAGAAAATTGGAGCACATTTTTGTTTACCAGCTCAGACATAATTTTATTTATTTATTGTTTTAAATAAACAATATTTCTTAAATTTTTTTAAATGGAAAAAAAATTGCTGTTTTAAAATGCGCATGGCTGTTTTTTTAAAAAAGCATTTTCCATATAAATAAGCAAAAAGTTTAATTTCAGTCTCTTCTAAGCAGAACACCTTCTGCTTCTTGCTATTCTATGTAAAAATTGTTTTTCCCATAGAAAAAGTGAACATGTATTTTCCATATTTGTGAAAAATACTAAGAGGAAGAAAAAGTATTTGCCACAGTTTCATTCTCTTTCATTGTTGAAATTCTGTAGAAATATTATTCCAGACCGAAAAGACTTTAATACAAATGCCCACATTTTTATGCATAAACAATAAGTAGAAAAGTATTAATTCACATTATGTTTCTGAATAAATCTGGAGGGTTTCTCCAAACTACTGATTTTCCAGTTTGTTTTGTCGTCCACAGATCAAACGTGGGTTTAATAGGTTCGAAGCAGACCATGTTTTACGCAGAAGTTTCCGACGACAACTGCGTGAGCGCCGGCGGAGGCGACGCGCGCGAGGGGGAACTCATCGAGGTCGTCAAAGTCCCGCTGCACGAGGCCATGACGTTTGCCTACGATGAACGTATACCCAAATCCCTGGGGCTCATTTTTAGTTTCATCTGGTTCCATAATAACATGTCTCCCAAGTACAAGATATCCACCAATGTGTAACTACCGTTACTTAGCCACTATTTCTATTATTTACCGCATAGTAAAGTCGAACACACTGGCCAGGCACACCCTCTGCTCCCTCACAGCTCATCATCCTGTGTTGCCGTTTCTGCTTATTGGTACACAAAGCAGGGTGGGCTCCTTGTTTTATCCTCATCACTTTTTTTTATTTTTATGTATTTTAATTCTATGAAAAACCAGTTTGGTGCTGGTGATCTTCTGAAATCAATTTTTTAATATGCTAATTATTTATTTCTCATGTGCCATCTCTTGTTAATGGCTTCATATCACTCCTGCACAATTAAAGGAAGGCCTCTGCGCTCTTGGATGTTTTCTATTTTACGTCATTGTCGCCTTTTTTTAGGTACTTTAATTTAGGTACGATAATTCGCCCCATAAGTTATTGCGATAAACGATAATATCTTTTTTCGAGACCATTTTCAAGTAATATATCATTAAACTTTAATATTTAAAGAACATTTAACACTAGAAATGGAAGATATTTTAAATATCCAAAATAAATAAACTGAAATACTAAATAAAATTAATTTTGAAGTCTCTGTAAATAAAACTGTTCTTCAATGAAGGGACTTGAGACTTTGGTCATCCAATTTTTGGTAGAAAGATTATTTAAATGGAAATTGAGCTCATTTTAATGGCTCATATGATTAATTGATTTACTGCAACAGGCCTAATTTAAACACCTTTGTAAGTTAGGCATGGGCTGGTTTGTTCGGAGCCTTTCAGGGCATGGGGAAGCTTTTTTTCTTTTGCGTTCCCTTGCAATAATACTGATCAGTTCATGTGGCACAATCGAATCCTGCAAGCCTTTCTTACAGCTGTAGCTTCTGCTTTAACTAATGTAAAGTTTTTCCATGAATGTTAATATCTTTGTGAGATATCTGAAGTTTTATATCTTTTTATTTAGTATAGAAATGCACCATAAACATGGTGCATTTTTATGGTACCTTACTACCTTAAAATATTAAGGTAGTTTTTAAAAAAGAAACAAAAATATATCTAAACTATTTGGACTGTTTCTGAGTTATTAGTGCAGGGCAATCAGTCACCTGACAGTTTTGATTGTGTCTGTTGTGCTGGTACGCTGAATGGTTTAAGGGCCGTTTTCATGTGCAGTTCCATCTCAACCTTAACAGACAGACATAAAAATGCAAAATCGAGTTTCAATCAGTTTTTGTTCACCAGAGCTTATAATAATAAACACGTTTTCACTGAGCCTCTATAAGAGCCACATGAATTAAATAAGTAATTATTGATATGACAGAAGTGTGTGGCTTTGACACTTGGGTGGTTGGTGTGTCAATGTTGCGTCACCAGTATGAATGGGAAGGTTACTGGTTTGTGTGTGAGGAAACAGGAGAAACTGGTGGTCATAGTTTCTGTTGACCATGTTGTAGTGCCGTTGATCGTTGGCACGTGTGCATTGTTTGGCCTGGTCCTTGTAAAGTTTGAAACATGATGATCAAAATGGGATAAATCGACAAGTGACAGAACAAAGAATTGCCCTGGAGTTGATTGATTGCGACAGATGAGATTCCCCGAGTTAACCCAGAGCGGCCCTCTGCACATTTAGACTCTTTAAAGATGTACGTATTTGAAATATTCATCGACATTCGTGACTGTATACAAAATAGACCAGCAAATATTGCAGTAAGCATATTGCAAGGGAACGCAAAAGAAAAAAATGTCCCCTGGAGAGCTCCATAGGTTTGACATCCCCACCAGTTTTATGGTATTTTCTCCAAAACTGAGAGCAAAAATGTATAAAATAATCTTACAGCTTTAATATTAGAGTGATTATGTTGATTTTGATTCATAAAACAAACACACACAACATAACTGCCCTTCTTTTTTATGACTGGAAATATTTCCAAATTTATCTTTGTTGCATGTGAAGGTAAATCAAGCTAACTGTCTGTGTTTCAACAACATGTAGGGGAGGGGAAGTGTTGCATTAGCTTAATGTCTGCTGAATAAATGGTGCGGCCTGGATATACAGTAACAATAACCGGCCCATGCCTACAGTAGAAGGTAGTTAAACGTCATAAACATCTCAATAATGCAGAGACTCATCATTTAGAAACGCGTTCCACTTTATAAGTACCTAAAAAGCAACATTTTAACAATGTATTTAACCCACATTTACCCTGAATCTGAACCGGACAGCAGATAATCACCCAGTTATGCAAAAACATTGAGGTGATCAGGCAAGCCATATGTAATTCCTTCGATCCCCATCCTTTGAGCAATAGCTGTTCTTCTACCCAATGCTGAAAAATCATTTATTAGCCTTGAAATTAGTGCCAGTCGAGATATAATCAACCCTCGATCACACAGGGATATCACACCCAATTTTACTCTGAGGGAACTGAAGCACAATCATGCTAGAAAATTATGTACAGCAGAACTTTCTGAATAAAATAAAAAATATATATGTAATGTATTTTTTTTTCATTCTTTGCTGATGACACAGTTTAAGCTCTAATAAAATTAGGCTCATTAACACTCAAATCCACTCTCGGCATCTTTGTTTTAAAAGTTACCTACCCTTGCAGATAATTGGTAAGAAAGGATCGTTTTTCTTTTCCATAGGAACTTTAGGAAGACATTAATTAGCATTTCCAAAAATAACATTCTTTCTACACATGTTACAAGAAAAACCTCAAACTCTCATGAATACACAGCTAATCTCTGAACATCAGCAAATTGCCAAATCTCAGGTCCAACTATTTCAACCTTATACTTTTAACAAATCTTTGAATGTGACAATGATCAGCATGTCATTATTTATAACATCCCATTTCAGAATCACTTCCAGCTTGTGTATCCGAAGACATCCGAGTGTCCTGTATTTTCATTAAAGAAGGGCTGGTACTTCATTAATTATTTCATGTGTAAAAACAAAATAATTCCCACACAGAAGTGTTAAAATAATATGCAAGATCTGAAACAACGGCCATAGTGATTGTGCAACACAGTGATGTTCATGTAGAGCAGATAAAACGTCTCAAAACGAGGACAAAAGCAAAATCAAGAAACTGATATGTTTTTAAATGCAGTGCCACAAGAATGCCTTGGGAGATATAAGGCTGTTTGAAGTGCAATGTTAAAAATACTTATTAGAAATCATTTATTTGGTGATTGTGTTTCTAGGAAGTTGTACACCAAAACAAGATATAACAACATTAGCTTAAGCCTAATGTTGATTTTAATTCAACAATAGTAAGGTAGTATTTAAAAATATTTCTCTGGTTCATTGAGTTTCCAGTTTTTCAGTAACAGCTGATGCAGCACAAATTTCTCTTTATTTATATGAAACGATTACTGACTCCAAACTTAATTAGAAAAGTAGACCACTAAACCCTACTTAAGAATAAAGTTTAGGCCCCATTTACACTGGATTAAGACCAATTTTGTCTTTTTACTGCTGCTTTCCTGCTCATTTTATCACTTTGCTAACAGCATTCAGATCATATCTGTGTAATTTTACAGTGTGCATAACTTCCTACTGCACTGGTATTGTTTACATCTGGAAATTTGGAGCATGTGCACAACGCTGAACAGCAAAAAATTTATTATTTTACATGCCACTCTTGGTGCATGTGAACAAAATAAAACCTGGCGATGTAGATATTAATTTGGTGCAGTGCACCACAGCAAAGGGGGGGAAATAATGTAGATAAACCATCGAACATCTCAAAACCACTTTTTTTTTTTCTTGCCGTAGCAACCGACAACGGCGCCACCTTATGTTTCAGAATTGAACACCAAAAACCACTGAAACATTTCCCACAGAAAGAGCACAACGTTCAGTCTGTTATGTTTTTATTGTGACCTGTCAGTTGGTGTTTAGGTCATCTTTTTTATTTTGTAACTGAGCCAAAACATGGATATCCTACGTCACATCTACATGTTAAGATTGTTAAAGTCAAAATAGTATAACTGAACTACTTCCCTCTCCTTTGCTGATTTTATCGGGATTAAAACTTTTTCCTAACATTATCCAGTGGTAGTGTTGATAAATGGTAACAAAGCACTGTGTCCCTTTTTCTTTTCTATTTCAGGAGTACAATTAAGATTTAGCGCGTTATATTGACAACGTAAGCTAAAACCAATGGTAGTCATCGTAATGTCTGACGTTTTGTGCCATTTTCTCGCCATTTATTGGCTCAGCTGCATTTAATGCTTATGGCTCCTTAAGACGCATCTTATTTAATAATGTCAATTTGGTAGCAAAACTTATTTTATCACGCTGTAATAAACAGTTGTAAAACGCTGACTACATGGTAGCTAATGTTAAAACGGCAAAATAAATGCGGGTAACCAGTGATTTTAAAGGCTGTCCGGCTCTTGCTGCAGTCAAGTTGTATGTGCGTCTGCTGTGTTTACAAATAACTCCCGTATAAGTGGGAAGTTTCTGCACCTCCACCATCAGTTTCAGGTCCAAAGAGGAGGAGCAAACACCGTCAGGCTCATTAGCTTATCAGCATTGATGTAGGTAGATTGATATTCTGGACAGGGCAAAAGCGACACTGCCAATCAGGATTTTGTGCAATAACCTTAATTGTAAGCACACATCTGAGAGAGTGCAATTATTCATCCAAAATCTATTTTCTTCCCAATCATTCTGAGCGGCTCACACAATAACTCTGAATGCTGACTGTTGTTTAGGAGCTGCGATCCGGTTATCGTACAATTGTGTTTATCAACCTCAGCTGCTTGCACTTTTTCTCATCCTCTTCATATTAATGAATACAACTAATAGGTTTTACATTTGAACTGCAAGCAAACAACTCCTCTTCTCGTCTCCCAGCAACCTACATGCGTAATTTGGAGGTGTGTGTTCTTCACCCCAGATAATGCCTTGTACACACGTAACAGTCTTCGTAAAAACAAATATCTCTGCCACGTACAAACAGGATCAGTCTCAGAAAGGGTTTTTATACACATGAACCCACACAAATATGTGACTCAGTGTTACTTTAAATATGCCAAACCTATAGGGGGCAGTGTAGGGCAAAGCTAAAACCTACGTCAGCTGATCAGATTGCTTCAAAACAATTTCCTATTAGGAATTAAACATGGCGCCAGGTGGTTTGTGTGGACAGAAAGATACTTTTAACTAGCTTATTAGAATATAAAGTTATAATAAAACACAACACGATGTTGTTTGGGAGTCATGTCAAAGCAAGTATGTACATGTATTGGCACATTATTTGGTGCAGACTGTAATGGCTATGACCCTAAATCTCATGCAAACACAAAAACTCAGACCACCTTGGCATACATTTTATAAACTGTTTTTAGTGATATTAACCTGAGTTTTGTTTGGATGAAAGTCCAAAACAAACAAAAATGTATTTGTTTTTCCAGATATCTGGTTACTTGCGGACAAGGCTTTCGATGTGAATGGAGCCTAAGTGGTTTTAGTTTTAGTTGGTCCGCTCTCAAGTTGTAAGTCCACAGACACAAATTTCTCATTTGTAGGACCAGTGGACTACCAACTCATTGCATATTTATTTATCTTTTTCGGATTCTAGTCAGTTATTAAGAGAAATTGCAGTGCTTCTCTGCCCTTAAGTCTTACTTCTTTCACAATAACGATTATACGTTTGATTAGATTCTAACACCATTTAATGATTTATTTTCTTCCCAAACTGTGCAAATACGTGGATTGTAAAGCTGTGCATTGAGTCACTGAGCTTCCATCAGGATACTACTTTCTTAATTGATCACTTGTTTGTTTATTTTCTCTAAAAAGGAATTTTAAAAACAACTTTAAAATTAAAACTCTTAAGCCAGGTCACTTAATAAGTCAAACTTTGATACATATTGTAGAAACTTCACAATCAGAAACAACATGACCTGTTCAAAGATGTCACAATCGTGAGGCAGCTGTGAATTTTACTTCACTTTATATTATAACCAGCAACAATTTTTAAATCACCTACAATGTACTTGTTTTAAAAATTATGCAGCGTATTAAAATAAATAAAGCCATAAACCATTAGAAGAAAAATATTTTAATAGTGTTCACCTCAAAGTTCATTTACTTCTGGTTTAACGTTGAGAAACTAATAATATAAAAGCCATTTAAACTTGAAGGCCAGCAGAAACTAAACGTGCCTATCAAATATGGACCAAGTTTTTTGTTTTTTATGAATGTGTTTTTAATGCTGAGAGGGCTAAACACCAGATAAAGTCAGTAGAGAAAGATAGTTCAAAATAACTTTCAAACGTTGATAGAAAATCTTATAAGCACAATTCAAAGAAATGTGGATTTGCTGGCATTTTCTGGACTTTCTTTTCTGAATAAAACAGCCAAAAGACGAGTTTGTGCTTCTTTATAAATGGATATACAGAAAATAATGAGCAGAACTCAAGTTGATTTAAAGCTGCATTTGGGCTTAAAAAATAATCCAATCATCATCAAGGGACAAAATATCTGCAAAGTGTGAAGGTTATGTAACTAAGAGTCAAGAATGAGATTACAAAAAAGGCGTTTGAGCAACATGGTGGCACTTCAGGTTCGCCTGGTTGAGCCTGATTCACGAAGAAAGCAGTTATGCATCAGAGCGAAAAGTTTGGCTATATTTCAGGATTAGAGTTTTGCAGAACCAGTGGAAACAAAAGCTATTTTTAAAAAATGTCGAGTTGTAAAAATTATAAATGCAAAGAAAGTGTAAAGGATATTTTTCCTTTTTAATTTAATGCAAACCAATGCATCGTCAGTTTGTGAAATATTCACAAAACTGGTCTAAGTGAAAACTTTCCTGGGTTTTTTGCAGTTCCGTCTTTGCTGGAGCAGTTTATCAGATGTAAATTAATTAAAATTAACGAGTGTTTGGACATTTTCACTTTTTTGTGCAGCATAATGGATTTGAGCAGCAGTCTGGTGAAAATTAGCCCGTTGTTCTACGCTGTGCTTCGCTTGGAATCGAGCGTAACGGTGTAGAAAAGCAATGTCAAAGGCTGGGACTGAGATTGTTTTCAACAAAACAAACTTACACGAAAATGTCTGAATTTGCAGAGAAATGTAACAATAAAACACTATATAATCTATTTAGGGAATTCATCAATAAAATAGGTGATTTGGGGGTTAAAAGCGTAGAACAAAATTCCAGGTTTTGTCAAAAATTCACAATCAGTCCAACTGACAACTTTTGGAGGGTATTTATATATTGACTATTTTCCCTGCTGGTACTTTTCAATGGATGTAAACTAAACATGTAGAATTTGGAAATGGTTGTAAATGTTCACCGTTTTTAGTGCAGCATAAATTCAGTCTGGTTAAAAATAGATAAATTACGTTTTGGTTCGTGAAGAAAGACTGGAAGAGCAAAGGAAAGCAATGGCCAGATTACATCTGGTAATAGGCAAAGTAACACAAAACTTAATTTACACAAACATTTTAAAATCTGCAATGAAATGTAAAGGTACATCTTTAAATAACCAATGTAGGAAGCTAATCAATATTAAAAAAACAGTTGATTTGGGGGTTAGACTTTTAAGTAAATCTTAAAACATAATGAATATTAAAAAATTTAAACCATTTGCTGATTTTCAAAGAAACTTTTGTCAGCTGTCAAAATCACAAAATTGGTCTAAAATAGGCAACTTTTGAGGGGTAATTTTTATTTACTTTTTTCTTTGTTGGTTCGCTTTACCAAATGGAAACTAATCACATAAATTTGGGAATGCTTGTAAATCTGCCCAGTTTTTTGTGCAGTATAAGGAACATAGTTGACTCATTTGGCAAGAAAACAAATCTACTTCCTAAGACATCGATCACCGTTAGACACCCAAGTTTCCTACTCAATGATGGCATTAAATGCACTTTGGACAGCTTAGAGTGAGGCAAGCCATATTTACGCTACTGAAATAAACAGTATTTAGTACTAAATCAATCATGTATGAGCTGGATTTTAGCCACTTTCCCTGCGTTTCTACCTCCATCTCTCAGGCCCACAACAAAAGTTTTTCTTTTTTGGTTCTTAAGGCATTCTTTTGCATCTTAATGCTCCACCACACGTATAACAAGTCGACACTCAATGGTTCTCAGTGGTCACAAAATAAAATCAATAAAAGAATTTTACAAATGTACATGCTATCTGTCATGCGTTTTATTTTCCTTTTGTTAAGGATTTGTGGATTTTCTTCACAACTTCTTACTGTGTTTCTGATATTTTGAGGTGGGAAAATGTTAAAGGTGCTATGTGTAGTATCCTCTAAGAGAATATGTGTTGGTCTTAAATAAAATCACTGTTCAGGCCTGAGCAGCGATTAATTACCTCTGGTCATTAGACAAAACAATGGTTCTGGCTTTGCTGAGAAATCCTGAAAAATGCACTTTGATTGTTGGACAAAGTGTGCAAAGTTGGTCACGTTTGCCTCTTTTCTTGCTGTCTGGAAGCCAAATTTCCAGAAAACGACTCTAAAGTGGCTCATTGTGACTTTATGTTGTAGCTCTTGTTAATCTGTTTGGTAAAATAATGTCCAGCGACGAAACCTACACACAATACCTTTAAGTGAAAGACCTGTTAGGATTTTGTTTTTCTTATTGTAAACATGAGTCAAATGTATTTTTTTCTTCTCATTTTTCTGGTGTCTCACTGAATTTGTGTTTTTAAAAAAAACATTTTCATAAAAAAAAGCTATAAATACAAAACATTGCTGATGTATTAATTTCTGTAATTTTATGCTTTGTTGAAAGTGTATACACATTGTGGGCGGTGTTTCTGGTAATGCTTATGTTTTGTTAATTTATTACCTAAATGTTTAAATATTTACATTTCAAATAAAAAAACAGAATAAAATAAAATAAAAAAACTTGGTACAAACATACAGTGATAATTTAAACATTGCATGTGCACTAACTGTGTTGAAATAAACTGCATAGGTTCAAATAAAATGTGTTTGATGCCCAAAATATTGTCATTATTTACAATTTATATTTTTTCAAACACTGACTATTCTGTTTTTCTTAAAGAACTCGGCCCGATAAAGGTGGACTTCAACTTTTATCACGATATTTTGTGGCGCAATTGTGGTAACAATAAAAATGACAGAACTATTTATTATTTGTGTTGCAGGTAACTGTATGGCTGTGAATGCGTGGCACAGCAATCATAGCCCTACAAACACAAATACCGCTATTGACAAATAATCCTGGTATACGCTTCTTTAAGACACCAGTCGCATACATTAATGTGATTTTTATAACTAAGCTGATCACACTAACTGCACTTATCAATATTTATTGATATTCTCATTGAATAAGCAGTGGGGGAAAAAATAGTACAATTAATACGGCCGAATTTGTTGTTTTTTAAAATTAGGAATTATTGTGGCAAGGATAAATCAGAATTCTTATTGAGATAAATAACGATGCAATAAATGCCTATTTTACATACAAATAAAAATCTGTCTCTACCCACTTAAAGCTCATCTTAAAATGTACCTTAAATGACAAAAGACCTGAATTATTCTTTCTTACATGAGACTTATGTGTATTATTCAATTTCTTTTTCAGTAGCTAAATATAAAAGTGGTGAAAATTACCATTAAGTGACATTAAATACACTTAATGGTAATTTAACCAATAAACTCCCTTCTTATAACTCATTTTAATGAATTATTATACAGCTTGAATGCTGGAAAAAGTTTTGTAGCTTTAAATGCAAATCAAAGAGATAAATATCTAGGAGAACAAGATAGTTAGAGGTTTCTGTGGTTAAGATCTTCCACTCATCACTGCTTTGACATCCATCTTTCAGCGGTTTCTCTGTTGATACTGAAAGTGTCTTAAAGAAACAACCTGATCAGATAAAAGCAAGATGTGTATCGTAAAAACGGGACGACTCAATCGCTCAGAGAATCCCACCGCTTAGATAAGGCAGTGCAAGTGTAAGTTCTGCTAAGCCAGATCTTGATAGTCATCTTGATGACTTTGCCAGAATTGAAAGTGGGATTCACTCATACGGCCAGAGGGGATTTAGTGGAAGAACGTCATCAGTATCATCACTGTAGCAAACACAAGAAAAGACTATTATGTTCTGAGAACATGATCAGAAAAAAAGAGGCAGTTTATTTATGAGTTCAACATGTTTGAAATGTTTTCAAATTGGTACAGTTAGCATATAGCTTTAGCTTCTGGCTAACCCCATTGAACAATATTTGTTACTCGCTTTTTAAAATACTTTTCAGTAATATATAAATTGTGCTTCATACCTTCTGATTTTAGTCAGCCAGTTAGTTATTTTTTATTTTTAGTTATTTTTATTTTTTGCAGCAGTTAGCTCCAAGGCTTCGGTCGTTTTTCTTGACATAAATTTGGCCATTTTGTGTTTGAGGAGCAGCCTGTTAAATTAGCCTAGCAGCCAATCAAAAGGTTAGATTTTATTATTTAAAACAGATTAAAATGAAATTAAAAATTCAGAAACCCTTTATTAATCTCAAAGGGAAATTAAAATATTATGTGATTAAAATTTTTTGTCATCTGTTATATGCTTCTCTTCGTATAAACGGGCTGGACTCTCGGATTTTGTCTCTGTTTAAATTTAAAACGTTTCCCAAATGCTAACGTTTAGCCGTGACGTGTGTAGCGGGAGTAGGACGTCACGAAACTTACCGGAAACTGTAACCAACCGGCCTCCACCGCGAAGAGAGATGTGTCGAGTCAAACAAAGATGGCCGTTAATGTTGACTCGATATTTAGAAACGTGACCGTCACGGACTCGAACGGTTTCGTTCGCTTCCTCCGCTGAGATTATTAAGAACTACAGGCGGACTACAATTCTAAAACGGCGCTGAAAATTGACGTCATCGTCCACTTCTATTCGCTGATTGGAGGAAGTCTGAAAGTTTAAATGAAACATCTTGCTGAACAGGACTTTGCGGAAGTATTGATGCCCTTCAGACTTTTTTTTAAACAAATTAAGATCTACAAAATGTTGATTGTTTACTTGAATCAGTTCTTGGTATGAAAGCTTTTTGTTTCTTCCAGCCACCGTTAGATGGACCGACACATCTTGGTAGGTTTGCAGTTGTGCCAAGTTATTTTAATTTCCAATTAACAGATTGAATTTACGATTAATTAATTAGGTTATAAAACATTATAATTAGATTTTCTTTGCTGTCTTTGTGATGCTTTTTGTTCTCTAACCAACAGATGAGTAGTAAAGGGAGTTTATGATAAATTTCATAGTTTGTACTTTTTTGCTTTGGACTCCTGCATAAAATCTCAAGTTAATACAGTAAAATGTTTTATTTTAACAAAATGAGGGAAAATACTCTTGCAAGGTGCAACACCCTCTGAGGGTTAGACAGTTACACAAACATTGTTTTGTGGTTTTAACTTTTAATTAACTAAACTGGTGAGAAAAGTCTTTGTTGATCTTTCTTCCTCATAACTCCGGCACAAGACACAAGCCAAAATCTGGGCCAAATCCTAACTGATGGTGGCGCTTTCTTGTCTCACTGGAGCTTTAATTCAACCAAAATGTGTCTAGTTTTGCTCATTCACTCATTTTTAGAAAACTAAGTTGAAGTTGTCAGTGCAGCTTAGACTTCTGAGAGGATAAATCTCATTATCTCTTGCTTTATCCGGTCCTTTCACTGTGTGAAGATTCCTTCCTTGATGTTTTGTTTTTCACTGAAGATGTTTTCTTAGCCGCCCTACTTGTTCAACGGCCATTGTCTAAAAACCTTTTACCTCCACCAACTTGCAGAGCAAGATCTGCATGTGTGGAAACACAATTACATAAATTATTATACACTAAGATGGTGTATAATATGGTGTAGATTTTATCTCCAATCCTTCTCATTGGAATTGAAATCTGTACAGAATTGCTGTCTAGTATTTTTGACGTTACACTATGAAGATTCAATCTATAGATGCATGTATATTTTGTAGTTTCTTGCACAAAAATCTAAAAGATAATGTGGAAAACTCTTGAATAATGCATGTAAACACCCAGGTTTATCAACATATCCTTTTCTCCCAGTATAAAAAAGATTTTCTGAGCTCCCTCTTTTAAAATTTACCACCTCCATACCGTTCAACACCCTGACAGTGACAAGGTCATGCATAAACTTTCTTCAACTTCTAAACTTGTTTTGCTGGTCATGCTACATTTGACAAAACGCGACAAGATGGCAGTTTTTTTTTTTTTTTTTGTGTTCACGTGAAACTTTTGAACTCATCATCACTGACAGAGTCAATAAGACGAGAAGAGTAACAAGAACAACAGGTTCGGGCAAAAGCTGGAGTTTTTTACTTAAAAAAGAAGCTGAGAATTAAAACGTCTAACAGGGCTTTAAAAGATAAATGTAATTCAGTCCAATTATTTACTCCAGTTGGCATAAAAAATATCTTAAAACTTTTATTTTTTAGCTGTTTTATTTTTTTGAAAAGATAATTACTATTAAGGCTTTCTCTACATGTCAGACTGAGTGCAAAACTTTGCAAAATAAGATGTTTTTTGTCGTTCTGGTCTGGAAATAAACTACTTTCATATCATAAGGTTATTGTTGTATGGCAGCTTATGAGGCCATGACTAATAGAAATTCTGATCTCAGAAATCCTAGAGAAAAATCTTGGACATTTCTGAGTTTGAAAAGTTGAAAAATTGCTTGAAAAACCCCCCAACAAATTTTTATTAATTTCAGAAATTTTCAAGACGAAACTTGGAAAATTCAGCATCTAAAAACTTGAAGATCCGGTAGAAGAAAACCTCAGAAATTTTACATAATTTTCAAAAATTTTCAAGAGAAAACCTGAACATTTCTGCATCTAAAAAGTTGAACATGTGCGACTAAAAACAAAAAAATTTTTTGATTAATTTCAGAAATTTTCAAGAACAAACTTAGAAAATTCTGTCTAAAAATGTAAAAATCTGATAGAAAAAAACCTGGAAATTTCTGCATCTCAAAAGCTGAACATTTGTGAATAAAAACAAAAACATTTGAAATTTTCAAGTAAAAACTTGGAAAATCTTTCAATTTAAAAAGTTTAAAATTTACTCAAAGTACTCAGAAATTTTGAGATTGATCTCAGAAATGTTGGAGAAAAAATGATTGACATTTGGAAATTTTCTGAGCTTCAAAAGTTTGAAAACATTTTGACTTTTTAAAGTAGGAAATTTTCTTTTTTTTTTCTGGAAATTTTGCTTTTTCTAGCAAAAGTTTGACTTTTCAAACTCAGAAAATTGAGATTTAAAAAAATGTAGCTGTTTTGTCCTGCTCCTTTAACCCGCCGTCGTGTTCTGGTGTGAATGAGTGAAAACGAACTCTTTGGATCGTTCACCTCAGGGCTTCGTCTGTCTGCCTCCGCGCTCCTCTGCTGCTGGCTGCTAACTTCCTGCTTCTTGCTGCTGCAGGGCAGCTGGTGATCAATGAGCTGAAACTAATACGCTCCTTGGAGCTGAATGAAACTGCAGCCTGCCTTTCATACAACACATCTGATCCAACATGAAGATATTTATCGCAGCAGATTTAAGGTGAACATTTCAGAGAGAAAGCAAACAACAGTTTGATTTTCAAAGCTGAACCAATCATTCACTCTGTTACATCCCTAATGAGGCTCATCCTTGAAGTGATCAGCAGTTTGTGTCGTCCCTATGTGGGCGGACGGGTCTTTCCTTAAATTGCCTCTCCGCTGCTTTCATGTTGTAACTGGACACATGGGATGGCCGAGTCCTCCAGAGACCATCTGGATGTGTGTGAGTGTGTCTCTGCACCAGATGGATTACCAGGCCTCTCTTTCTGAATGCGCTCCATTCACAGGTGGGGCCTAAAACCTGCTGCCCCTTTGATGCTCAAGTCAAGATCCAATAACTACCTTTGCAGCGAGAAGCACAAAGCTGGGACGATTCCAGCGGCTACACGCCATCTGTATGCAAATCAGATCCTCAACACAAGGCAAGGAGC